CAAGTGCTAACTCTCTCACGATATGGGTTTTTCAGTACTAAATGTACTTCACATCTTACAAGAACACATGATCATTCTTCGAAAACTGTTCAACCTTAAACCAAATTGTTGAATTATTTTCCTAAACTTACACTTAAGCTTGACATATGGGGAGGTCACACTACTGACATGTCCAACATGTGTTTATAAATATACCCTACTCTATACATCTTCTCATATAACAACAGTAATAGACCCCCCACATAAAACATGTAGCATGTAATATCATAGAAGTCATTAAAATGAACACATACAGACATGAGCTCTGAACTATTTACTTGAGAATGTCAACCAGACAGCTGCTGAAAGTTGCACAAGACACTAGACACTAGATTTTCAGCAGGTTGCTCATGGTACAGTTGCAGGAGCAGTGATATTACTAGCAGGGGTTACTTAATTAGTTGCACTCTGGGATATTTCCTCACTAATTAAAAAATATACTCAGTTTTCACAACTTTTAACTCAGTTTTCATATAACACAAATGTGAGTTACCATAATAATTAAATTACACTTAGTTGCCAGTTTTATTAGGTACACCTTGCTAAGACTAATGTTCATTCAAAGATGTTCATTCAACTTTATGGTCAGCTTGGAGGCTGTAGTTTGCTCTGCTGGTATGGTGTTGTTTGTAATGTTTTGTCCACACACCAATTATATCAATGGGTTACATAAAACACCTTTCTAAAATAGTTTCAACAAAACTGATCTTTATGAAGGTAGGATTTATTGCAGGGCTGTACAGTGTTTCTTAGTTTTACTATATACTATATACTATATACTATGGAAGTGACAATAAGTCTCATTCTCATTCTGAGATTGGTGTGCCCAATAAACTTGCAACTAAGTCTACAGCTCTGACTGCTACCCATGAATGACACCTTTAAACATTATTTCCCACCAAACTATCAAATTAATTTGTGTATAAGGCTGCAAATGTTTAACGGATGAAATAGCAGCCCAGTCAGTCTTTTTCTATGAGCTTAAATGATTATGAAAGTAGTTATAAAGAAATATGACGGCATGCATCTACAGTCTAACATAAGCATAAATGTGACCCCCTGAATAAATAAACAAATAGTAAACTTTCACTCACCTGGTTCATGTAAATATCCGGAGTTTTGAGTTTTTCATTTATTCCAAATCAGCGAAACAGATGAATGTCACCTCTGCCAGCTGCTGTCAGCACACACACTCATTCAAACACACTCGCACATACACACTGGGTCAGACCAACGCTTACGGCTCCATATACTCTTGTTTTATTTTGGCTGCGTCGACAAAAAGGCGGGCCTATGCCCATAAATGGTAAACGGGGCGGTGGAACGTTCCGGGACGCCAGCCAATCAGTGTCGCGTTCTAGACCGACGTCCTCCGTGTGACGCACGTACGGGATTCCATTGACGCAAGAGCCGGGGGAGCGTGCGTTCTAAATATAAACCAACAAACGACATGGGCGCTCACGTGGGGCTATTACTGGATGAAAAATGCTAAAAATAGCCGCAGATTGGAGGTGCAGACGTTTTCTGAGTGGAAATATAGAGATTTTACACGTTTACAGCAGGGAAGTGTGGTATCACAGGGCATACCAGGAAACACCTGTAAGGTTTCTTCATAAAACAGAATAAATTCATAGAAGGGCTAGAAATACCCTCTTCAATATTTCAACAAAACTCTTGGAGGAAAATGTACCATGAACACACATATCCGTTCAGCAAATAACTGTAATTATTTCATACTATTACTCCTGTACACATTTTGAAATCAAAATTGCTGAATCAAACCAAAAATTTATAAATTTGTATGAGTATACACATATAGACTCAATCAAATCAAAACATCTACCTCATGTGATATGACTGAAAGCTCCAAACCAGCAACTAAATGAACCTTGATTGTTTTATAAACTGCACTGACTCTTACTTTGTGATGATGTGTTTAAGAGCTGTTTGTTTAATCCTGTGTTTCTGTTTAACTGCTGTACAGCCAATTGCTCTTTGAAGACAAATGAAGCGATTGATTGATTTGGATACTTTGAGTCATTTTGACTCTATATGAAATTTTATCACTGCAATCTCTAATGTAGACTTAGGAAGAAAACAAAACAAAAAGATGACTACATATGATCCAGTTTTAGCAATAATATTTGACTTCATTAGACAAGGTATCACTTTTTGAATGGTTATTAATGATCAATTTTGTTGTATACATTTGGCAAAAGATGATTATTATTAGAGAAAATCTGTCCTCTCCAGACACACTGCGTACTTTGTCTTTTAACATAATTAATCCTGACCTCCAGAATATGATAATTACAACAATTTATGCTTTGAATTCAAGAAATGTGAAATCGCAGACCATTTCATACTGTAATGTCATCTTTAGACAATTTGCAGTATGCATGTCACAGTAAAAGCTTCATACGTCAGTATCAATTTAAGCATCACCTAAAAACCATAACTTCATAACTTCTCTCTGCACATGTGAACTTGAACCCTCTCAGGAGACCTTTGGGCATCATCTTGTTTCATTTTTAAATATGACGAATGTGCAACAGATCGTTCAGGGTGAGAAGCAGGTGAGATTTTATCTGAGGAGGGGAGAGCCTGCAGCTAATGAGACTGGCCGGGAGTGAATGGACATAATTACAGGGGTTTGAGTACAATGCTGCTTTAGGTATGAACATAAAATAACAAACAGATCGGGGTATACACTGGGGCTGAAAACTTGGGCTGAAAACTGCTCCACTGCATGTTGAAGGTCCTGGTCTGATGAGGCCAACTGAACCGCATCATCTACAAATAGCAGACTGGAAACACTCTTCCACCCGGCTGCACCTTGAAATCCTGTCCATGAAAATTACAAAAAGGATTGGTGACAAGGGACAACCATGGCAGAAGCCAACACCCACCAGGAACATGGTGTCCTGTCCTGAATCTCCATGCAACAATGAAGACCCCAGGTGGAGCCCGTTCCAGTACCCAAACCACTGACTTCATGAAGGCCTGATACTCCATGTATAAGCGCTGACAACAGTCAGGACCTCCTCCTATAGTGACTTCCAGTCGCATGGAGGCAACACTCACATACACACATATTTTCCAGTGTGAAGCTCAGCACAGCAGCACTCAACTGGGGGCTCATGAGTACTCTCTACTACTAACCAGCAGTATCAAGTGTAATTACAATCAGCCCCACCTTTACCTGCTGCAACATTAAAATGATGCTAACACATTACTGCATTAACAATTAGAATAAAATATTATATATTATTCCAGACAATACTTACAATGCATTATTCCAGAACAGTGGTATTGCACCTGAAGCAAGACCACTGTCTTGTTTCAACTAGTCTGTTTTTGTTGAAAACAGGTTAACATTATTTATCATATGTTAGAGTTGACATATTTTGATAGACAAGATAATTGACAAACTGACTGAAGTTTGGTCAGACACACCCAATGTGTCAACTTTTAATAACTGAAACTAAGGTAAAAGCCTCTGATCTAACAGTGAGTGACATTTACAAGTACTAATTCAGTCTTGCTGTGTCAGCGCTAGATAATTCCTTTTATACTCAAAACAAGTCCAGCTAGATTTCACATATAAATGTGAGATTATTGCACTTACTTTTTTAGATTTGCATTTGATTTTCATTTGCGGGAAAATATGTTTCATCTTTCATTTCCACCTACTTCCCTCTCATCCCTGATGCAGTCAGTGACATATGTCTACCAAGAGTGTGCAAGCCTCACGCACATACACACACACACACACACACACACACACACACACACACACACTCCAAAGCCTGCCTCGCTGTACGCTGTCATGCTTTGATATTAGGAAGATTTGAGCATTCCTTAGAATTTCAATAAGTGGGCTGTATTTACAGTAAGAATGCATAGAAATAATATTTAACACAAGTCAACACAAAACAGAAGCATTGTTGACAAATATATTTATGACAGATAAGCGACTTTTTTTTTTTTACATGCAAATAGGCTCTTTTTCTGTTTTGCTGTTAGCAGAGTAGTATGTTACAAAGATACAGTACATCTGTAATTTAGTAAACTTTTGAATATGCCGCCATTTGTCCTTTAAAAGATTTTGATGAAAACTGGGTATCCTCATAATAAGTACTGTAGCATCCAATGGTACAGGTGTAAAGTAAATCCCTTCGTAAATTCAAACTTGTGGTGGGGCAACAGACGGTAATTATTTCTTTAACTGTCTATTCACCAGATAATCAGTCTGAGGGCAATCCAATATATGTTGTCAACGTAATGCTGCATGACTGATCACTGACATCACTAACATCAAGACACATATGCAAGTGACAGCTACACAATTTGACATTAAGACAATAAATGAACATACAAGCATGTTAAATGTTACAAGTACACCGAATATCCAACACAAGACTGACTCACGAAATAGATTAATTTGATTAACTTCCAACACATTTTTGCTCAGTTTCATTACTTGTAATCAGCAATGTTTCATTAGATTAGTCACGGTTTCTGTGTGTTTTTTGACACTGAGTAAGTTTTCTATACACGACTTGGTAAATCTAGGAGAGGTGTACCAAACCAACACTTTCAGAACTCAGTTATAACTGAAGAGCAGAACTTTATAAGACCGCATTCATCAAATGTTTCTTGCATTATCATTAATCATTATCTCACCTATTTAAGAAACAGTAAAACCAGAAAGAAATGCATTGTATATTTCTCTTTCAGTTGGATGAACACTGACACTGAGAGGTATCTGAGCAGACAGGTAGGATAGTGTTGTTGAACAAGTTATGCTGCTGTGAGCTTATGCAGGTCCAAACAAAGCCAGGTCATCACTAGCTGCATTGGGAACAACAGGTGAAATTCAGTGACACACTACTGTAAATTTGATTAGCCATAGAAAAAGCGGTTGCAACATAAAATATATATATATATATATATTGCCTATTCATGTACTGTAGACACGCTTAGCTCTTTTATTTACAAACACAACAAATGGGTGCATTACATTTAAGTTGGCACACAATAGCAGTGATCAGACTGAGTAGTGAGATTTGCACATCTAGGTTGGTCTGTCAGTGTGATCGCTGCATAAGTGCAATTTGTCTGTACTCTGAAATAGTTCAGTCATATCAGGGATTACGTGCAAAAGAAGCACACATCAACACTTAATAATAAAAGCACACAGTTACACACTCATTTTCATAGTAATATAGGTGGTCCACTGTGGCCGTGTGCAGACTGGAGGATGGAGTGGAAGTGCTGCTCTACTTGAGGTGAAAGAAGCTGGATGGTTTGGTTGGTGCAGCCATGAGCATGTTAGCCTGGTTCTTGTGATTGATGTGGATCTATGACAAATCAATAAACAGAATTTTGGTGAACTAATTATGTTTGCTCATATTCCTTTAAACTGATACATATCTGATGAGCACAGTGTGATTTATAAGCTGGAGGTATGCTACACTAATGGAAATATTCTTGCTGTTATCTGCGCTGTTGTAGTAGTAGTAGTAGTAGTAGTATTTTATTTGTCCCCATGGGGAAATTGTTGTAGTAACGTGTCTCTGCCACAGTAATCAAAATAAATGTATGATTATGTTTAATCACTGAGCTAAAGATGTAGCATTCTGCAGTGCTGTTACCACTATCTTGAACGAATCTAAATGCAGGGTCTGAGTCTTCACCATTAACACTGGATTTGAGTGGTTCATAACACTTACAATACAAGGAGGTTGCATCCAAGGCTCCCCGTCGATCTGCATGGGCAGGGCTTTGGTTGTCCTGCACACAGGAAGGGACAGTGAGATGTAATTATCCTGTATCACTTATATGTGAACATCATGTCCAAATGTGTGCCTGTTTACACCAGACCACATGGCATGGAGAGGGATGAAATAACAGTCAGTTATTCTTGTTATGTTTGTCATCTGCCTGTGGGTAAAAGTACACAACCTGATGGTAATTTGAGAGGTCTGTGCCAGTCTGTGCCCGGCGCTCTTCAGCCCAGTGTAGATTTGTCCCATCTCTATAGCTCCTTCCAGCCCCACCACCTCCAAACGCTTATCGCTTATGTCTGCAGAATGACGAAACACACACACAGAAGACGTGAGGGGATTAAATCTGCACGCAAGTAGGCAGGGAGGGCCCATTGATAATATTTGAACACCATAAATTAGGTGATTTAGGAGAGTACAGATGGTCCAACCAACCACACCTCACCCTGTGAGATAGTTTTAAGAAGTTCGGGGTCATTGATAACCTCACTGTGCTCCACCTCTGGCACACCATCAGGCTTCTTGGACTCGCCCCAGAGGTTGGAGCCCCCGTGCATGCTGGGTATGTTGAGGACAGCTATGCCCTCCAGGGACATGCTGCTCAGGTCCAGTTGTCTCCCACAGCACTGGTGGAGGCACAACAACGGGTTGTTTTGTTTATACACAACTAAACAAAAGCTAGACTTAAAACATGAGCAAGTATTTGAGTTATATATTATTAATTTTGGTTGAAACAGCAGCATTTTTCACCTCAATCATGAGACAGTCCTTCAGCTTCTTACAAGAGGCAGAGATGGTCTCAGAAGTGGCAAACTCAAAATACCAAAGTTTGTTCTTCATTCTTAAAAATGAAAGAAAAGAAAGTATTTCACTATCACTTATATATTTTTTTCAAATTACCTGTTACAGTTTTCATTGGAAAACACTCACACAGTTCATGTGAATCCCCACCTGCTATTGAACCTCTGGGGGTGTTTCTCTCTCATGGAGTGGAAACGATGAGCAATAGAGGCGTCCTGCTCACATGGACACAAATACAATCATAATAAGTCATATTTTAAGCAAGATATTCCACTTTCTGTTTATGTCAAGAAGAAATTAACAGATTTTTCTATGATTAAATATTGCTTATAGGACTGAAGAAATCAATTTAAGTGGTATGTGTGCTGTTATTCCTCCCTTTTGAGATAGTGACTGACCACTCCAATAGAGAAGTAGTTGTTGATGATCTCATAGGGTACGGGGTCTCCTGCTTCTTGGGGGTCTTCTGGTATCACCTGGATGCTCCAGCGGTCCATGGGAACCATCTCGCTGGCCTCAATCTCCTTCAGGATCTCTCTCAAGTCTGACCCCTCGTAGCCTTTCACGGGATTACAAAACAAGCAGGATGAGTATATAACATATGGCGCCAATGTCAGTGCCAATACCTGAGTGAAAGTTGTGCGGTTTAGAGGTTGGTCATGGTTTTACCTCCTCCCCAGCGCAGACAGCGTGCCAGGTCGTTCCCAGTACCAAGAGGCAGCACAGCTACTGGAGGATTCACCTGGAGGTCCGCTTTGTCTGAAATCACGGGTATATTATTTAAGCCTTAGAGATATTTATCTCAGTCAGCTGAGCTCACAGAGACCCAGAGGGCCCCGCAGTACCTATAGCGTCCAGGAGCCACCCAACTGTCCCGTCTCCTCCACACACCAAGATCCTGTATTCACGCAGATTGTGGAAGAACTGCAGTCTAAAACACAAAGTCAAAGTTAATGTGAAGAAAAGTGGACGGACAATCTGCCAGTTCCACAGTAATGAAAGTGCTCAGTACCCTGGTGCAGGACCTCCATTGGACAGGTTGTAGACTTGACGTGGGTTCAGCAGGTACTGAAACTTCCTGAGCACTCTGTGGAAAACATACAGACAGAAAGAGAAATCATAGGGGAACTATTAAAAATATACTATCACAATGAATTGCCAATGACAGTCATGTTATAAAAACACATGTACTGCAACAACACATCATAATATCTGTGTAATTCAGAAAAGAAATATGTCACACGAGAAGCCTGTGTATTGATAACGTATTGTATGAAAATATTATGCTACTATACTGATCATTTATCCATATCAAGACACTGAGCTGCTTACCTTTCACCCTGCTTTCCTCCACTTTTTGGGTTTACAAACACCAACAGAGGATGGGTGTCAGGAATCGGAACAATCTGTAGAAAAATGTGCAACTGATTAAGATCCAATGGACTGTCTAAATCAGCTGGCAAATCTTTGTTTCAGCGTGTGGACCGATGGACACATGCTGCCATTCAAGCGACTGCAAAGGTTTTATATTCATTTCATATACTGCTCATGTTTTTCAATTTATTTGATCATTTTCTTAACTTTGAGGCATCATCATCATCATCATCATCATCATCATCATCACCCTTCAAGGCGAGGGTGATGTACTGTAATGGCAACAGCAGATATTTTTAGATTTTATTCAGCTGGAAATTGTTGTGAATGTCCATAGCAAACATAAGCTGCCATACAAACACAAGCACAAGTGTATTCAGACATATATCAAACCTGAGTGTGGACAAACTCAACAGACAGGACAGACGTCAGCGAAGCGGATTATGCTGCAAGTGTCTTTTGAGAAAGTTTGGATGTTTTTTTTATTTGTTTTTTTTTTGGCTGTGACAACTTGTTATCATTACCATATGTTAAAGACAAACATAACACCTGCTTCTCAAGCTCACAGGAGGTAAGTGTCTGATACTAAAAATATACATTTTGGGTTGGTGAATCGCTTTAAACTTGAGCGTTGGATCAAAGGCCTTTCTCTGCAGATGCAGACAAAACCATCACAGTTGTATTTTTCCATGACTGAACTGAGCTGAATAGACTACAAAGACGTTAGCAGAGTTTAAACATGAAATCCCCCCACAAAAATAATAATAATAATAAATATATAAATAATATGACGAATCAATAAAATTGGAGATTCTCCCAAAAAGCAACGGTATGCAGATGGTAGTTTGAGCAGACAACTTGAAAGAGACCTAGCAGAGAAAACACATGGGTGTACAGTTGGAAAAGAAATTAAAGTCTGTAGGAAGATTTGATAAAGGCAGACCTGCAGGATGTGGCCATCAGGAGTAACATTTAACAGGTTGGTATCCTCCTCCTGAAGGAAACAAAGGACAATTAACCGACAGACAACTAATAATAATAATTCTAAGAATCAAAATTTCCCTTTTTTCCCCCCATTTTTTGTTAAGCTGCTCATTTTACCTTTGAGACGGCGTATATGGCCCACGGAGGCAGTATATGATCTCTCAGTGGTCCACAATCACAGGTGGATAAGCCCGAGAAAAGACACTCATCGTGACGCTTAAAAAGAAACAAGACTCTGTAAACACAGACAGAAGCGATCCTCTCTAATTCGTGCATCAATGTACAAAAACAAACACAATCCTCACCATCTCCTGGCACCACACACAACGCCTCCCTGCTAAAGTTTTGATCTTCTTGTGGCAGACCTGACACTTGGTAGAGTTACAGTCAGCTCTGATCCAGTCGTGAGCTGCTACCTGAGACACAGAGGAATAGAAGCAAGAGGTGTTGTCCCACTTAATTTAGTATAATTATCATACTTTTCACCCTTTTAACACCCTTTATAGAAGTGACTGCAATACCCGGTGTTATTCTCACATATTCTTCTACTGGAAGGTCTTATGGTGCTGATCAAATTCAGCTGCATACACAAATTTTAATGTTCACCACTATGGTGCCAACAAAAAAATCCAGCCCTGAATGACTGCAGGAAAAATTACATCATTATTTACTTAAAAAGAATCAGCACAGACCACACCTTCCTCAAGAGCAGCTGTCGAGGTTAGAGACGACTTCAGATTTATGACTTTTTGGATAACCATCGCCTTGGCAGACGTGCATCACCAGATCAAATATCCCTAGAGCACACTGGCACCTCAAACCTTTCCAAGCAGCTGAAACATTTTGGGCAGCTCAGTGTTATGATCCATTACAGATATTGTGAATCAGTGAGTTGAGGCTTTGACACGCCACTGGAAAAAGACAGTGAACAGATCATTGTCTACGCTTGTGCAAAATTAGGACATTTACCAGATGTACGGAGCAGACTGTGCCGGCTGTAATCCGCACTTAAAAAGAAAAAAAAAAAAAAAACACTGATGGGCTCCACTTATAACCGACTAATGCACCCTAATGTTGTTAATGTGTTTACATTCGCTGCCATTTGGAAAAAAGAGAACAGGCATGAATGTATTCTCCTAAAAATATAATGTATATATATATATATATATACATATAATAAAAACCAATAGAGGGAACTGAAAGTGAAAAGGGATCATTGTGGTTTCTTACACTAATCTCCTTTTTAGATTTGACAAAGGTACGAGCACAGGCTTCGGGATTCTTGTTGGCACACTGACTGTGGACGGTGTACTTGCAACCTGTAGGAAGAAAAATAGACCCATATAACAGAAGTAATCAAATAAATTCTCTACTAGAATTATATTACTTATATATTATTTTATATATTATTTTATAACTAATTATATGTATTAATTATGACCCTGACAAATAACAGACAATACAAGTAAATTGGAAAGTAAATTGGAAAGTAAATTGGAAAGTAAATTGGAAAGGTTTGACTCCTCCAGTTAATTGTTACTGTGTATGAGGTACATGTCTGCGCCCTGGTGGCAGCTGTGAGCTCTTACAGGTGCAGCAGAGTCCTTGCTTCCCGAGGCCGAGCAGCATGCCCTGACACACACTACAGTAGGTCGGCTTGTTAAAGTGCTTCATCCTCCAAATATGTTGCCCATCCCGCTCTGTCATCTGTGGGTGGGGGGAGGGGGGAGGGGGGGGGATTTTCAATGGACTTGAGTACGAGCAGTAGTGCTGTGTCCTCAAGGTGTTCGCATAAAGCAACATTAACAAAACAACTGAGGTTGTAGTGAGGCTGTAAAATGTTGTATGTCCAGTACTTTTCTTTTTCTTACCTTCAGTCCGAGGAGAACAAGTAAAGGTACATTGTTCATGCCTCCCTTCACCCATTCTTCCAGCGTGACGGTCCCACTGTCGTCCAGATCGATCGCTGTCATCATGTCTTTGAGCACCTGCACAACCACAAACATGTACTGATTATTTGTCATCTGTGATCCTTTTATTGAATCTCAAGTAGTTTTTTGTTGCATTCACGAACTCATGAAGCTCTCAGCTGCTGTAATGAAACTATCTTCCTCAGAACAACTTCATAATAACGAATAACAACTTCAAAACCTTTTCTGGGATAGCAAGTGATTTTCTGATAGAAAGAAGCAGTCTCATACTGGTCTGAGCTCAGTCACATCCCAGCCCAGGTAATCACCAGCCCGCATCATCTGGGTGATTATACGATCCACTTCCTGACGGAGAGACAACAGAGGTCACATTCACAGTAGCCTCATGGTGTATGAAAATCCTGCTGTGTGCTGTGCATCCAAAACCAACTACTCAAAAAAAAAAAAAATCATGTGTGTTACTGAAAACATTTTTTAAAATTTAATTAAAACATTTTTTTTTCTGAAACTATCTGCCGACAAAAGTTGAAACTGTAGTCCAAGTGCAGCTGGGTCTCAGTTTTTCAGTGTCACATGATTGGCTTGAAAGCTGTTTTCATTTTCTCTTTTGGATAAAGAGGGACTTGTTTTGCATAATGAGCCGGTTTATGTTTATTGGACTGTAAAGTACTTAAGTAAGGCTTTTCAAATCTGTCGCAGATAAGCAGGGGCGTGAGGTTAAACGTATTAACTCGCCTTGATTCATAGGTTGGACATATTTGTGGCGGTGCTGCTGTGATTGTGTCCATGTCAGTATCCGTGACACCACAATATATACAGTACACGAGCTGCCTGTTTACTTTCTGTCACCTTCTACTATTTCAATTTGCAAATAAACTTCAAAGTGCAGATAGAGACTTTTTTGAGATCCCAATAATGTGACGTTGACATTTTCAGGCTGTCTTAAGTGTCAGTTCAGAGGTCAATGATCACCAGAGATACTTTGCAGAACTAGTTTCAAACAGAAAATATGAAAATTCTGTGAATTTGTGGGAAACTTGTCAGTGACTTGGAGTAACTTACAGAGCTGTCCAGGAGTCCGTTGTTGTCTTTGTCGTAAAGTTTAAAAGTAACTAGAAACACAACACAGAAAATCAGTGATCCTGCCATTGTTTCTTCACTTTCTCTGACCTTACAAATAATCAATCTTAATCATTCAGTGGTGAATGTATGTACAAGGCAGTTACACCATAATAAACATGTCACAAAATGTTCAAGAGGTAGATGACACCAACATTCAAGCTTCTCTCGTGGCTGTCCTTCCTCCAGCACTGAGAAGTAACAGGACACATCACGAAGAAAGACCCCTCCTGAAAGTAAAGAAATGTACAGAACCTTCTGACCAAACTAGAAACCTTTATTACATTATTCAGCTCTAAAACAGTATGGTGTTTTTTCTTTAAGTTCCTGAGGGAACAGCAGTATAAAAGTGAGCATTTTATCAAAGGTTGGTTTGGGAACAGGTGCACTAATCTCCAGAGCTACGCCCGCAGCCACATTCCTGTGACGCAGCGCTACAAAAAGAGACAAACAAACAGGTGGGCGTTGGAAAAAGCGTCCGACAGGAAATGATATCAAAGACGTTCTAAGGTGTATTACCAATCATGATCTGAGCTGAGCGTGACTGTGGAGCTGAAAGCATTTCCTCTAAACACCTGCTCAGACATGCAGAGTGATTTACCTCCTTTGGGTAACGGACTCTTCGTGTTCCCATCCTGCTCTACGTGTTGAAAATAGCGAAAAAGGCGTTGGCAGAAATCTGTGGGAAAGTCATCCACCTCTAGATACGTCTTGAGAAAGAGACAGAAACCCACTGCGTCCATACACTGAGGAGAGAAATCAAAGTAGCCATCAGAGGAGGCACAGGGACAAAAGTTTATGTTATTGTAACATTTGCATTAATGGCAGCGCCCTATTTTACCCCGGACTATCATTTTTGGATCATTTCCAAGGAGGTTTACTAGAAGAACAATGATATTTGCAAATATAATTACAGATAAACAGAGAAAATGTTCAATTAGTAAATTTCAAATCATTAAATTTTAAATAATGTCATTATTGAGAGTGCAAAATAGTGAAATTTATCTACAGTCAAGCTGAAAATTCAAGAAATATGTAGAAGAAAGTTTCCAATATTAAATGAATAATATAATATTTATTTGGCCTTAAAAGGCAATTTTTGCAGGAAAAATTCACATTTTCCCAATAATTAGTACAAATAGTTTTCTTCAGGAAAATTCCTACAAAATCTATTAGAAGAAATGGGAAATGATCAACTTGTAAAGTAAAGTGTAGCCACAAAGATCTGTTTCCATAGGAGCAGTGACAAAGACTGACCTCTCCAAAGCTGTGCTGGGCCAGCCGACCTCCAGGGTGAAAGTCCTTGATCACATCTTTCACCCTCAAACTGCTGTCTGCAAAGAGATCAGCTGACGTGAAACAACATGAAGTTCACTTCCATTAACACTTCCCAGATATGAATCTGTTCCATCTGTATGCTCTGGACATGACGGACGAAAAAAGAGAAGAATCGCACAGAGTGTGTGTGAAGAACAAAGTGAGAACAGAAAGGCTCAGTGACTAATTCAGTTCTTTGTTTATTTGTCCCACACATTGATTACATGGCTCCTGAGTGCGGGAGAGTGCATCACCTATTGTGCACAGTGTGCTTCCTACATTAAATTTGGGTTTTGACCTCACTGTCTGAGGTAACACACGGCAGTGCTTTTCTCAGGTCCAGACAGGAGCAGGTGTAATTATCCATTCATCCATTATCCCCAGCCCTCCACCCCCACCCTGACTAAACTACTAAACTAAAAGCCCTTAGACCCATTTCATTTCTTTCAAAGCCTCTGAGTGGAAGGCAGAATATTTTTAGCCCCATACCACTTTTTGTTTCCTGTCAACAGGTCTATCAAATTCTGCATTATCTCAAACCCCTGGTGCAGGAGCATGCACTTACATTTTGGAGTTGATGTTTGGGTTTTTGTGTCAATGCTGAATGATCCTCCGGAGTACACAGTGGAGTGTTTTTGAGTTGATGGTGCGTGAATAAGAGGAACCTCCTCAGTCGTTTATCTTATAATGTTGATGTAAGCACTTAGTGGATACTGCTGCTTTCACTTGCTGTGTGGTTTAGAGCCAAAGGACAGATTTTCAGCAAGTACAAGGAAATTTTGCACAGATGTTTTCAGCATTTTACTTCCCTCCATACACCTAAACTGGGAGAGTGCATTTAAAAGAGTATTCTGACTGATTTAGTCTCGTCAATTTTCCTTCTTCTTCCCGGACTTTGAATGTAGTAACACTCACCTCAACTCTCTTTTTGTATTTTTTTCCCCTCTACTTTCAGACAACTTCCAAATCATTATTCTTATAAATTAATAATCTATGATTTTCCTCTAAATCATCAGTGTTAAAGGACATAACAAAACTTACAACAATGTAAACATACTCAACTAGAACTAAAAATCATGCATCTAAAATCTTACTGAAGTAAAGTGCAGATGTTCTTATCAGCTAAATGTACTTTAAGTATCAAAAGCAAAAGTATCTCATATATTAGAGTATATTATAGGACTATTGTTACTGATGCATTACTGTTGCAGCTAGTCAAGCTGGATGACCATTTTAACTACATCATATAGAGTCTGGCTGTTTAATTTGTAACAATGTCTCATATTTTATGAGCTGATTATATGTTTTGTACGTAAAATCTTAAGCAGCAAGGTAACTAATAACTAAGGCTGTCACAAAATACATGTAGTGGAATAAAAACTACAGTATTTCCCTCTGAAATGTAGAGAGACATTTTTTGACTATATTGATCTATTGATTTCCCAAAAGAGAGATTATCTCTTTGATCGCCCCACTGCAAAGCAAGTGCAGAATGTAGCCTGAACTACAAAAAAAGCTCCCCTTCAGCTGGTCACTGTATGTGTTACATGTATTAACACGCCAGTAACATCAAGTAATTGTTGAAATAATGTAAAGTGAGTGAAACTTACATTCCATGTACTGCTGCAGCTGGATGAAATCCACAGGTGTCAGAGACCCTTCTGTGTCATCAGAGGAGGCCATGCCGATCAGCTGAATGAGCGAAGAGAAAACACAGTCACGGGACAATCACAGGCTGAAGCGCTGACCTCGAGAAAGGTTGACAGTGCAAGCAATCTTTCATATAACAGATCTAAGGCCATCAACTGTGGCACTAGCAGTGACTCACATGAACTGGTTTACCTCCATTCCTTGGATTGCACACATCATTAGTAAGTGAAACACTCCCCTGCCTGTTATTGGACTCTGATCAACCACAATGTCTGCTTTCAGACAGGCTGATAACTGATGATTCCCAGGAATCACCAGTGAAAATGTGACCTACTACACCGGGAATATAGCAAATGTTATCATGCTGATAATTGGAATAATCTCATAACAGGCTCTGACAATTAGCTCTGACCTGAATTTAAAAAAAAAAGAGCTATATATTGTGCAGGTAAACATTACCGTATTCTCTGCACTGTCTCCTAGCCCCTAAAAACCACTATGTAATATTCCATCAGTTTAATCAGCACCGTGCTGTACCACTTAGAGTCTGACAGCAATTCAGAAATCAACAATTAAGGTTAAAAGGGGCATCCATCAGAGAGGATTATAATTTGAGGCAAGAGTGACTGACAGGCATGACTTTTTTTCTCAGCTGTCTATAGTGCTGCACAGGTGTTCAGTCACTGAGACAGGAAGATGACGGAAGCTGAACCCTCCAAGACTCCTTACCTTGTCTCTCTCTGTCCCCAGAGTTCAGCAGAGGTGAATAAAAACTGTCCCAAACACGGAGCTCCACCACACGGAACTTTGATATGCTGGTTGACGGCAGCTGGTACTTGTGAGTAAATGTGTGCCGCGTCATTAGCGGATATAGGGGATTAAGAATGGGCGGAGGAGGAGCTTTCAGCCATATAATTACAGTTAGTGGCACCGCGTCGCGCGTGAACGAACACCAACACACACACAGACACACACACGCACGCACGCACGTACGCACGCACGTACCCTTCCAACAAATCAACGCATTTTCTAAATTCTGAGGCTTTAATCCTTAAAATCAGAATGAGGGTCACAGACTCTGGTCTCCAGCTTCAACAGAGTGAATGAGCAGATGTGAATGAATGAAATGCTAAATATGAAATCATGAATTGGCTCTCCACCATTTTACAAGTGACAGTAAATTTGGCTTTTCACCTAATCAAGACATTTGTCTCACAAAACCAAAATAGGCTAGGAGTGGGACATAAAATCAAACTGTGAGCGCATCTTGTTTCATAAGGAAGACTGAGGCCCAGCATGGCCAAAAAGTTGAAAGGTGCCTGGTACGATTTCCCAAAGACCAAGATGATTTAATCAGGTCTAAAATGCAAAAAAAAATATTAAATTTATAATCAGATATGACAAATTATGATTTACTTGTTTCTCGTTTGTGATGAAAGATCAATTGACTAATCATAGCAGCTCTAAAACAGATGTCTATGACAGCTGAGTAAACTCCATCTGCAGAGGAAGACAGTTTAAACTGTTTAAAGCGCTGGAAAAGATAGTAAGTAGAACTGTTTAGTCAAACTACTGTTTCCAATAACAAGACTGAACTTGTAAAATCGATTTTATAAAACAATCACAGCACCCTATTGGCGGTTATTGTATGTTATTAAAGAAAACAGGTCACTGTCTGTTCGCTGGCAGTAGGTGGTGGTAATGCGCCTCAGTTACAGATGACAGCCGCAGTTAATGAGTAGAAGAAGAAACGGTTGACGCAGGTGTTTACGTTTTCCTTCTTCCGCAGCTGCCTAAAGCGGACTAAAATTTACCAATCTGACGTTAAATCCAAACTTTAAGGAGAAACTCGCGGTCATGTTTCTTATTTTTAACTTAAGTATTAGAGGTGCTTAGCAGATCAATATGCTTAAGGTCGTTTGCCGTCCACTATAGGCGCTGTATCGTGAGTTTTCCTCATCATTTATCGCAAGCAAAGCTAAAGCTAAATCTAGCAGTGCGTTAGCAGCGGCTCAGCGGCTCAGCGGCTGTGGACCAAATTTAATAAATCATCTCCTGATCCGCACTTTGTCCAGAGTTAACTTAGATATCAAGCAAGGCAGTCATGGCCACTAGGCGTCTGACCGATGCCTTCTTGTTAATGCGGAACAATGCAATCCAAAACCGGCAGATATTGGCTGAGCAAGTGAGTACATACGACCCCCGTCTGAGTACACGTAGCAATGCTGCGGTGAGTGGTCTGCATCGTTTTGACATTTTACTGTGTGTGTTTGCATGTAGCCAGTCACTGTGACCTGTTAGCTAGGTGCAGCTGTGTGCCAGTAGCTGCTAGTTATTCTTAGGGAAGGTTTCACCACCGGTAGAGTTTGTGTGCCCCGTCATGTCACCTCAAGACTGACGGAGGTGATGGAGAAGGAGGAGTGTGCAGCCATATTTTCATATTATACATATATGATATAAATTATAATATATACTAGAGGGGTCAGTGTATATTGGGTGGGGTTTTGTGAATGTTAAAGCATGTTTTTTATGTTCATATAATGCTCCTCACTACTAAAAAAAACTCCATCATGTTTTGATGTAGTCTAGATCAAATCGTGGCTGTGACTTGTATTTCATTGTTCCACTAGGATAGAATTGGTTAGTTATAGATATTCTATCACAATATATGCAATTGTATATTGTGATATTGTTATTTATGGTTATATAGTAAATGTTCTGGAACATGTGTTGAAATTATTCATGGAAATGATTAGCTGACAGGATTGGTTTTGGACAATTGGATGCCTGAAAAATCACAGTGCTTCATTACATTGATGCCAGAAACATACAGTGTATAAATCCAGTATTTCCATTTTCAGTCCTGCTTATTGACTTGCAGCGCAGTGGTTAAACAGATTTTCTCCCTGGATATTCTTAAGCTGAGGTGGTAAAATGACCCAGATCATGGTACAGATGACTTTGTCATTATTCTAGTTAGCAGATGAAGACCTAAACAATAGTCACACTTGTTACATAAAGACATTTGATGTGAAATAGCACTTCTTTTTTTACCTTAAGTCATTTTCTTTTATTTGATGAAAGATTATTGTTGATGTTAGCAGAAGGAGTCTTTGTTTCAGGTGAGGTGGCCCATCTCCCGCTTTCAAACACTCCAGGAAGCTCTGCCCAATACATGCAGAGACATTAAGAGACACTTCACCATAAATAGTATGGGAAAATCTCTCATGTCTAACAGTTTGTCTCATGGCATATATTGTTATACTGCCCAACCCTTCACTAGAATGTGGCTGGTTAGCTTCTCGAAGTATATAAATGTGTGACAGATGTCAAGGAAAGGACAATGGAAAAAGGTTGAATTAGACTCCTGAAAACAACTGCTTGTCATTCAGAAATACTAATAATCTTTGTGTTGGGCTAATCTCTAATGATGCCATTTAGAAAAACAAGAAGGCTCCTCATCAGTTTTTTTCACACTTAATGTAATCTGTTATTAAGAACAGCCATCGTTTCCCCTCACTCTGGGGAAGAAATGTGTCACTGTACTCTACATATTACTCACATTTATTCCTGTCATTATCTACCTCCCTGGTGTTAACTAAAATGCCATTTTAGATCAATTATGAGAAACTATCAAACACAAGTTAGCCCTACACAGTTCTTTTCGGGCTCCTTTTTGATTGCTTTTATAGCTTTCCACCAGAAGTGTTTGCACTACAGTTGGCCAGCAAGCAGGTGTGTGTGACCATTCACACTCAGCTGTGAACATTTTGACCAGTTACCTGCCAGCTGAGCTAGATTAATTCCTGCCAGCCAGCAAACAAGACTGTATCCCATCATTTGAGGTAGCAAGGTTTCTGTACAGCATTTTCCAAAATATGCCACTGAATTTCAGCTACTCAGCAGCTTAAGCAATGACTTTTCCTAAGCCTGATTTTTTCCTCCTATAAACATTTTCTCTGCTGTTGCTGATGGCTTGGAAAGCTGATTGTTTCAATGACACAACAAATTAGCACACCCAAATCTACAGAGCAGAGATCTTTAGATTGATGAGGTTCCTGGACGGACACGTCTGTTAATGCTGTGTATGACAGAGTGCTGTGCTGGGGTTTAGCCCAGGACCACCAGGAACATTAGCAAGTAGGCTCAGAGACACTGGTAGTGATTTTGTGGCCTGATTCACACACTCTCTGTCTATTCTCCCGCTGAGAGAGAGAAAAGAGAAAAAATGTTACTCAATCATTACTCAGTTTGTCCGCTGCATTTTTCCCTTATCTTGGATCAGCCCAGAAATTTGGCTTTGGGTAGTTTGACTCCCTTGGATCATGAGATGATACACCTGTTGGATCCTGGTCTTTGACTTCGGCTCTGTGTACATCATCATTCCACATAGGCTAACTGCTTTAGCTCTTTGTTTATTTCACCATTGATAGTTCGTATTACCACATTATAGAGTAGTTTTTTTCCCAATAGTTATCCATCATGTTGCTTAGTTAGTTATTAGCTGCCAGTGGCCTTCTAAAAAATAAATTGGAATAAAAAGAATAAGGAAGGAAATTTCTACAGATCCTGAAATAGAGCCGCCCTTCCCTTGTGTCCTTACTGGACATTTGAACACGATTCCAACCACATTGTGTGTTATGTAGCTCAAATGAAATAAGTGGATGTCAAAAGTTTATATAGTTAATGAAGTGTATAGTCTAATATCTTGTGTCTTGTAGTGTTCAGTGTACGTTTGGTCCTGTTGTCCTTTATATTAGGCTTCATCCATTTATGTGGTATTACACTGTTCATTTAAATGTCTCTGCAAACTCCACCACTGTCACAGAGAAAAGCAAATCTGAGTCTGACATGGAAACAAATTATTACTGTATTTTTAGAGCAGTCAACCACAGTCAAGCTATCAAAGTGAAAAAACTTAAAAAATATTTGACACAGGTGTTCTTTGCTAAGTCACTTTGTTGTCTATTTAATTTGATTTTACAGTAGTGCAGTTAAAAAGATTACAAGGCAATGACTCAACTAAAGCTACTTTATTTTCCATCAGAAGATGTACATTCAGCTAAATGACACTGCTGTATACTCAGGTTTAAAATAACTGACTTTGCCAGAGGGCAGCAGGGGACTTTGCCAGACAAAACAAGACACACATGGGGGACATAATTATCCAAATCAAGTCACATCTCTAAGGTTTTAGTGACCAATCAGCTACATGACTTTAGAATTTTCTATTACATATTAACTTCTTGCTCATTTTAAATTTTCTTTAAAATGTGCTTTCCTTTTTGTTACTTACACTCAGATGATCTTGAAGCTCAACCGTTTCTGCTGTCTTTATTCTTATTCTTTCTTACATTTGTTGATTTTTTTTAATTGGAATGATGATGTCAGTAGTGTAGGGATCATTTATGATTTAAATCTGAATTCACACTGTTTTTACAGTTTTGTACATAGTAAAAACCTCAGGACAAACAGATGAAGTGAAAATGGCTAGAATTAATTTAAACAGCCAGACTTTATGCATCTCTGCTATTTACTATTCTTATCTCAAAGTAATTCAATTGTTGGTAGGAGAGGATGCAAACACGCCTTTCTGTTATCCACTGCTGATTTTCCTGGGCTCACCTTCTGTTACTTCTGTCTTTTTCTCCTTTTCCTTGTTGTGTAATGGATGGGACCACTCTGCTCTCTGCCAATCACATTAGGAGCTTGATGAGGTACTGCTGTTTCCCTTCATGGTAGAATTTAGACTCGTAAAATGGTGCACCATCGTCATTGTGTTGAATTATTACATAAAATATTTTAATAAGATTATTTGTTTGCACTTTTAAGTTGGCTGATGATCGAATGGCCCTGGTGTCAGGACTTAGTCTGGACCCTGAAGCTGCCATTGGAGTCACCAAGAAACTGCCCCCCAAATGGATAGAAGGAGTTGATGAGGTACAGTTTGAAATTGGAAATTAGATATATGTAGATCTGCATCTTTGTGCTTTATAAACTATTATAATATTTTAGAAAAGAAATCAGACATGAGTAAATAAATATATTTAGCCGGTAGGAGTCTTCAGATCAAACCAGTTATTCCTCCAGTAGTTTGTGTACAAAATAGTCTTTACTGGGTTGTGAACTATAAATCATTGCCTTTCAGATCCAATATGAAATCACACGGGTTCGGCAGAAGATGAAGGAACTGGCCTTACTTCATGACAAACATATGAATCGCCCCACACTGGACGACAGTAGTGAAGAGGAACATGCCATAGAAATCACTACACAGGAGATCACACAGGTATATTCATATTACAGTTTAGTAATTGAGATAATGCAAATTTCCCAGCATATTTCAATCGTTCGAAATTGGCAGATGTTCCTACTTTTATAATTATGTATAATTGATCTTTTGTCCTCTTTATTGTTTTAGGGAGTGACTTCTGACAATATTTTATGTTAAAGAGTTTGAAATGAAACTTTGCTCATTTCTACTTGCTCACAAGTTTTGTGTTTACTTCAGATGTTTCACCGATGCCAGCGAGCTGTGACAGGTTTGCAGTCTCGTTGTGGTCACTGCACCGAGCAGGAGGAGAGACTGTTGAGAAACGTGGTGTCATCTCTGGCACAGAGTCTGCAGGACCTATCCATCAATTTCAGGCACACACAGTCCAGCTACCTTAAACGTAAGAACTACACTGAAGCTGGTCTTGTTCTTCCTAAATCTTCATTCCTTACTGTCTCTACTCACATATTTTGACTATTGTCAGGGTTTTATCTCATGTCATATCACTGTCATCTTCATGTTGCTTCAATGCCATCTAAGCACAATGTACTTGTTTTGTCTACCAGGTATGAAGAATCGTGAGGAGAGATCAAAGCACTTTTTTGACTCAGGACCTTTAATGGAGGAGGATGAAGATTTAGCACTATATGACAAGGTGTGTGGCTTTTATGGCTTTTTTCATTTGTCCCCTGTGTGCACAGTACAATAAAAGCAGAACTATCACTTATTATTATCATTATTATTATTATTATTATTATTATTATTATTATTATTATTATTATTATTATTATTATTATATTCATGAGTACACACAAGATCAGAAAGACACACAAACATTCATTCAATATCTGGACACACAGTGAGACAATTAGAATTTAGCATTTGTGTTTATCTTTCACGTTGGTTTTTGTCACTTTTTACTATTCCCACTAAAAGACAGGAAATGAAAGCAAAAATATGAATCTTTATTTTTGTAAATATAATGGTCAGGCTAACTACATGTACAGTTGCATTTGGAATATTAATTCTACTCTAAAATCACCTAATGTTGTTCTTTCATTATTTTTTCTTTCAGGGGTTCACAGATGACCAGCTGATGCTGGTGGAGCAGAACACAGTTATGGTTGAAGAACGAGAGCGGGAGATCCGACAAATAGTGCAGTCCATCTCAGATCTGAATGAGATTTTCCGGGACTTAGCTGGAATGGTGGTTGAACAGGTATTTGAAGCAACAATGACACAGTATTAAATAATGGTCCATTCAGTGTGTTTTTGTCAGTGAGATGTCCAAATGACTTCTGAAATGTAACATCCAGCATATTTAGATATTTCATTTCATATTTGGTATTTTTTCATTAACAAAGTGAGAATCATAATTATTTAAGTATCGATGAATGGCTAAACACTTAAAGATGAATTGACCTTCAAGTCAAAGCAAATCAAACTTTAAGGAAGGTATTTTGCAATGTCACACTGAACAGCTAATACACAATAGTGTCTAAAATAAATAATCTACAACTAAAATAATCAAAAGAAAATATCCTGCACTAACAACATCCCCCATTTCTCTTTAAGGGCACTGTTCTTGACCGAATCGACTTCAATGTGGAGCAGGCTTGTGTTAAAACGGAAGATGGATTGAAACAGTTACAAAAGGTAAACACAAAATGCTCATGCCTTGGCTAGTTTAACATTTTTTTGTCACAAATGTACTGTGCAGTCTGGATATACCATATTTAATGGGTCATTTTAGATGTAATAATGAAACAACCAAAGGGGAAAATTTACCATATCTACAAACCTTTGCGGTTAAATACAGAAATCCTTACATGAAACTGAAAGCAACTGAAGGTTTTTGACTTTTATTTTTTTCCATTTTCTTTGCAGGCAGAACAGTATCAGAAGAAAAACAGAAAGATGCTGGTCATTTTGATTCTGTTTGTCATAGTGATTGTTCTAATTATTATTCTTTTTGGAACAAAGTTTTAGTCATGCATTCCTCTGGCTTTTGTTTTCTGTGTGGGCATTTGTTGTGCATCTGTGTGGACTTGGACTTGGTCTTGGTTCTACTCAAAACAAAGCTGAATGCCTTTCATACCCACCAGGAAACGACAAGAAGAATTCCATGTTTCTTTGCGGGTGCACTTTGGGCTATGTGGAGATATTTTATGGTCCATTTTAATGAAAGAAACAATCTACAGTCTGTTTGAGCCGTGGCTATTTTATCAAGTGACTTGCATCCAAATCACTCCAAGACTCTTTGACGGAGGTATGTCAAACCAAACCATGTTGACATATCTGTCTTAACAAAAAAGAAAAAAAAGAAAAAAACTTTGGTGTATAAAAATGGACTGCCGGTGTTAAATTGCTAAGGCAGAGTGTTCTCTGCTTGAACTCTAAGCACGAGTTGTGACATTTGTTGTGTGAAGATGCGTCATTTCTGTTCAATATCATTGCAAACATTTTGTTTCCGTGAATGAGATGTGACAAGAACGAATGTTTGTGAAAGAGAAAAATCATTTTCATCTCAACATTACATGTATGTACTGGCTCAGTATTTTACCCTACCTTTATATATAAGGGCAGATATGATTCATCCATTCAGTACCAAAAATATTCCTTCGGTTTAAGGACCACCAGTTTTTTGTATCCCTTTTCACCCTAATTTAATAATAATACTGAGGTCCTTTTTACTCCACTGTTGGCCTGAGGAGGGTGTAGACAGCCATGAGCATCCTCCAATTCATCCTATAAGTTTAAGATCATACCGGTGTCACATCTGCTGTACTTAGTGTTAAATGCTCATTTTTAAAACACTTGATTGTTTTGTTTTCCATGGTCCTTGCATTAAGTGCTACCTTCTTAAAACTCTTGCAGTTTGCACATATTGAGGCCTGAGGGAGGGGGGGGGTGGGGTGGGTGTTATGGATGTAATACTACTGTCATCTGTGTGATGAGAAGAATTATTTATTTTTTAATAACTTCAAATAATCAAATGGTTCAGAGGTGTTCTGTTTCAGGCAGAATTACTGTATATTGAGTAAAGTGTATCTGAAGTCTGAACCCAACAGTTATTGTCCACCCCGCTAAGGAAACTGTGATGTAGTCCAACACAAGCAAATGTATGAAGACGGCGTTATGAGGTTGTTTTTGTTTTGTTCTTTTCACGTTGGACAAATTACATTTTAGTTGGCTGTGTTGGAAATTCTCTACATGTTCTTGTGTTCTATAAAGACTGATAAACTGAAATAATGAAGAGCTTTATTCAACATATCTGTACGCTACACTTTACACACCTGTTAAATCATCTATCTTTGTCATTGATGTGATGTTGTGTGTGAAAAATGGTTATGTCCTAGTGGTAATCCACTTAAGTTTTGTTTTTCCAAACAAAACAGGTGAGGAGACAGCAACTTTTTTTTTTTAATAAACCTGGAACATGATGGTGTTTTGTTTTTTGAATCGCAGCATTGATACAAGTGGTCTTCCCCATCAAACTCATCACACATATGGAGACATATATACTATTAGACTTACCTATCCTTCAGCTGTAAGTTCATCAGCTCTAAGTCACTTAATGGACTAGACACTTTATCAAGTACTTTGATAATGGAAGACGGTGATAACCATTTTTAAAGCCAACACGCAGACATCTGAAGGCTATTTCTAAAAGGTGAGCATCTGCTTGTTTTCGTCTGCGTTTGGTTTAAAAGGTACAATTTAAAAATATCACCTTAGCCTTGGGGAAACTGTAATGGGCCTTACTCAGATCATCACTAATTTAAAGGCTGCAGAAGCCACCTAGTAATGGTATGGTGAACCTCAGGTTAATATTAATTTAATGATCAATTGGATTGTATGTAGTTTTTTTTCCCCCAAATAACATCAGAAATATGTGATGATGTGTACAGAGGTGAATGCAATGTAATCAGCGTATTATATTACTCTCCTCCATATGTAAAAAAAAAAGTAGTTAAGACTATAGTAATACACTGTTGAGGATTGTTGTGGACAGTGTTCCTTAGGGAAATGGGACCATTTTAGTGTATTTGACAGGCTCTGTAACCCGGAAACTAAGTGTCGTCATGCTACTTTTCAAAGTAAAAGCCTTGCGCAACCCTATGTTTTCACTACAGACATACAGATAACTAAATATTATTCTAGTTCACGGTGAAGTAAGGGAGTGTAATTAATAGCTCCCTTTCTCTCTTTACACAGTGCAGGCGGAAACTAAAACGACGAAACAAACGCAGCTAAATACCTAGCTGGGTTAGCTAAACTTATAGCCAGAGTTAAACAGATAACGCCCAGTAACAACACTGGGGAAAATGCATCTCAAAAATCAGAATAAAAGGCAAATTAACAATTCCCTTTTTCTTCTCACGTCGCGACGACTTTTTACATCCCTCGAACAACTAAAAGCTGTTTCTCTTGGTGAGACAGTAGTTAGTTCTCATGTTGCCTGACCTGGAAGACGACCAGCCGACGTGAACTTAACAGGCTTTATCGAGTGCATGCGATAATTGATTTTTATTTTATTTTATTCACCACCAACCATGTCTTGTGCCGGGGATGAAGACGACCCATTTCCCGTGGACGACTGTCTGTTTGCCGAAACATTTTCTCTTGAAAATCAGTACAATCTGTTCGGTGAAGAGCTGAAGATAAGACAGGTGTTCGGTGCCAACCTCGGCGTGGCCGCTCCGGTCTGGGAGGCTGTAAGAGCATATTAGTCACGTGCTTTTTTTATAACTGTAGAAATATCATCACTGAGTTTGAGTTGTGTATAACTATTGTGTGTGTGTGTGTGTGTGTGTGTGTGTGTGTGCGTGCGTGCAGGCATTACACTTGTGTCGTTACTTCGAGGAGCAGTCTGTGGAGCTGAGGGGAAAGCGCATCATAGAGCTGGGAGCGGGGACCGGTGTGGTCGGTATTTTGGCAGCACGCCTCGGTATGTTGGTTGTTTCTGCTACTACATCCATGTTCATTATTCAAAGTGACATTATACGATCCTCCCGAAACTTCCCCGACTGGCTGTATGTGCACATGGGAGATTGTTTTTTCATCTTTCTGTGGGTTTGCCTCAGTGGACATGTTCTACACACTTGCAGCTGTTTATGACTCAGTCCTGAGCTCACTGCTGCCTCCATCAGACACACTGCAAACTGGCTCCTTACATGTCTGTGTTGTGTTGCACATTTACCTCATCAGTCATTTAGCATTGTCAGAACAGATTTTTTTTTTCCAAGTTTACAGTACCTGAACTGTATAAATACATATGGTGTATGTATTTTCTTGCCATGTGTATAACATGTCTTTATTTTCCTGCAACCTCCACTTGAGTGTTTCATCAATAACATCATACCCTTTCAGGTGCAGCTGTGACCCTCACAGACCTCCCTCTGGCTCTCCCACAGCTTCAGGCCAACGTCTCAGCTAACATGCCGTCCAGTGGTTGGCCTTCTCCTCCTCCCACTGTCCTCCCTCTGTGCTGGGGTGAGGACCACAAAAACTTCCCGACTGACTGGGATCTGGTGCTTTGTGCAGATATAATTTACCTCCCAGAGACTTATCCACTGCTGGTGGAGACGCTTACTCATTTGTGCAAGAATGGTGCTGTGGTATATCTCTCATCCAAGATGCGAAAAGAGCACGGGACCCCGGGTTTCTATGAGGAGTGTCTACCAAGCAGATTTAATGTGAAGCTTGTGCACCGTGATGACCAACAAAACATTAATATCTACAGGGCATCTCTAAGAACAGACCAGTGAAAGCAGGGGTAACTGTCTTCAGGCCTGGGACTAGGATTAGTTACTATACTGAGACCAGTTTCTTAAGTGCCTTTTAAGACAACTTAAAGAAAAATGCAGTGAATGCATTCTGCAAAATTATACTGTAAGAAACAGCAGCTCAGTTTCAGAGTTTCAGATGATACTCACTCTTTCTTTAGTTGAAATTGTGTTTTTCATCCTGCATCTACAACTTGTTACACTTAATTTGTATATTCCTAAAAAAAAAAGAAAAAAGCTGCTGTATAAAGAAATAAATTTATTCAGTCGGTCAGTCAATCATATGAAAAGTGAGTTGAGTTCACATGCTCTGTCAAGCTGCAACAAATAGCAGAACTTACTTTGAATTGACTGATTTTTTACTTAATTAATCATTGGTTTGTTTTATTTATATATTTATATGGGTATTATCAGTTACTTGAGATAGATGTAACATCCTATGAATATTTCATTTTTTACAGCAGGGAATGCTGAATTTTACAATACATGTTTTGAACAATGAAATGTGTCCTTTGTGTTTATTAGTAAAGTACTCTGATGATATGTGCATTGTCTTCAAAATGTGTGTGAAGTAATATTTTTGTTGTTTAGTAGATTTCGACTGGGCAATGCTAAAATAACAAAACATTCAATAACACTCGACTGCTCTCCAGAAAATGACTGAGGATCAAAGTTCAGCGCTGGATTTAATGGGCATGAGCAGTTACAGCTTCTCTCCTGTTGATAGTACAGGCTGTGGTCTGCTGATATAAAGAAAACACCATTTTTTTGTGTATGGGTCATTAATATTCAACACAATATTTTTTTGAGATACATTAAACCCAAAACAAAGTTCATCACATCCCATCCAACTATTCTGTCAACATCAACAGATTGTCCTCCCTGCAGCCTGCTGTCTGTACATACTTCATCCCCTCTCTCCTGCTCTCTGCTGATGTACAGACTTTCTGTTCAGAAAAGGAAAGCCTGTTTGTTACGCTGGAGAGTTTTAAAGAAAGGGAGACAACCCGTCCGCTGCCCGTCTCTCCCTCTGCTACAATTCAGCCGACAAAACAACAGATCCCTATCTCCATGCAGAGTCTGCTCGCCATCACGCCCAGCACCTCCCACACGAGTGCCAAGCAAAGTGCAGATCAACGGTTTTGTTGATATTCATTATTATTAGGGCAAAGTTATGGAAAACTGTGTTGCTAGGAAGTGGTGGTCATGTTGTACTGACAGGAAAACATCCAAGGAACTGGAATTTACATTTTAAATATTAATCATGCGCTTGACAAGCATTTTTAGATTTTATGTTATCTAATTTTTGATAAAAAAAAAAAAAAAAGTGTGTGCAACTATGTGAACAGTGACTGGTCCCCAAAAAGTAAAAAAAACATTTTCCTATATAAAATAGTTGTCGTAGTAAAACGCTCTAGAGCTGTTTCAGATTCCACTTTCTTTCTTCACTTTTTGAGAGAATGATGGAGATAGTAGATAGTATTTCTAACAACCTGATTAAAAATTCCTCTCTGCTATTTGAACTCTGCATGTTGGCTTGATAAAAGGAGGATGGGCTTGCATGTGTGTGTGTAAGGGGGGTGGGGGGTAAAGTGGGAGGGGGAATGAAAACCACAATCCTTTTAAACCAAGTTTTCCTGTTTGACTTCATTAGACCTCATGTCACCTCATGAGCAGTAAGGACAATAATCTGAAAACAGCAGCTGAAGGTACGTGTCGCATGTGTCTACCTATCCCTCTAAATATGTATTTACTATCTATCTACTTACTTATTTGATTAGTGTTACCTTTTTATGAAACCTTTTAGAGACTTGTTTTTATTTAGTAAACTCATGTCAAATTTAATGTTAGAAAAATAATAAATTCTTCACAAATGTTTTTAGATCTTCTCATTTTATGTATTTAGAGAACAGGCACAAAAAAAGCTGAATATATAATAATTTTTTCCTTGTTTCAGATCTTTGTATCAGAGCAAATGATGGAGTTCTGGCCTGAGCATCAGGGGCAATCACCTCTATATGCCAAATTTGGTACTGTTCCTGGGAGAAATTGTTCACATAAGTGAGTTTAGCGCTATGAAAACTGTTTAAGTTTTAGATAATAAAAGAGTTGCCTTTTTTCAAAGGTTGTTTGACAGACTTAATACTTTATTGTAGCCTTCAGTGTTGATACTCAACTTGTGACAGAGAGTAGTTCACTGTGTACTTTATTTGCACTTTGTAACCCCTGATTAATTTAAAAAAAAAATACTTCAGAGATTACAGGTCCAGATTGCTCTTATTATTGTCAACATTATATTCACTTACTAAATATCATGTAGATGCAGTTACGCATGTTGAGCTCATAAGAGCAACCACTTGTCATGGAAAGATTTTCTTCAAAAACAGCATATCATAAAGCGAGCTGCGATGTGGAACTGTCATCTTTGCTAAAATTATATATTTGATACATTTGAATTAATTGAAACATTTTACCACCATTTTACCAACAGCTATCATGACAGACATCAGGCAACCCATTATCCGTTGTACTATGGCGAGCAGCAGGATCAAGGCAGGGAGTCCAGTTACTGGACTTTACCAGGATCAAGAACAGGAGGGGCTCCACAGGATTACACCAACTGGACGGATCCAGAGCTATCTGCCACAACTTCTTCACACTTCCCTTTTATTCTGGACCGTCACACTAAGCAGCATCAGGACCTGGGCGAGTATCAGCCACATGAGGCCAGAGACAGAGAGTGGACAGCGGCTCAACGAGCGGCAAGGGAATACGAGAGAGGATTTCTGAGGGAGGGATGGCAGAGGAGGTGGGAGCCCTGTAGTCCAGTTCGCTACAACAGGGAAGTGTCTCTTAAGAGGAGCGACAGCAGCTATCGAGAGCTGGAAGCTTGGGCAGCTCGGTATAGCCATTCACTTCCGAGGAGGAGACGTATAGAGGCAGAGTTAAGGGGCGCCTCTCAGGGCCTGTTGGACAGCAGCAGGGCTCCAGAGAGGGACAGCAGAAGTGGGACAGATCCTCGAATGGCAGCACTGCAACAAGTCAGACAATCTGCACACATCAGAGAATCAGGAGTGTGGGATAGGGGGGGCAGACAGCAAACTCTGGCCTATTATCCAACACAAGCTCCTGCCCCTGACACAAGCCACATGTTGGACATTAAAGAAAAGACAGGCTACCAAAGGAGGATGTTTAGCCAACCTCCTGGCTATATTGCTCCTCCTCCCTATAACAGCCCACATAAAAGCTCACCTGTAATGCACCATTGTGACATCAGCTGGGAGCAGGATGGTAAGAGACAAACCTACTGGTCACAGCCCACACTCAGAAAGCAGGATGTGTCTGTAGATCTGCAGGATAACAGGAAGGCAGAGAAAGAAGACTTCACAAAACCAGATGGGAATAAAACCTGTGCAGAGCTGGATGGACTCAAGCACAGAGAACCAGGATTGAATGCCTTACAGGCAAGCAGTCCTATCAGTGATCAGAATACACACACGCAGCCTGAGTGTATGTCGTCTTTGCAACAGCCACAAATTATACCAGCAGTTCAGACTACAAAGACAAATGAGCAAATGTCCTCAAAGGTTATTGAAGGAAGGAAGTTCAGATTAAATAAAAAGACAGGTGGGATGACCATATTCTGCCTGGTGTCCCGAATAGCTGACAACTCAGAAACCCCATCCTTGCCACTTTGCACTTCCCAAACAAATATTCAAACCACAGAATTAGGAGAGGTTTCTAAAGGTCTGAGTGATGGTGGTGACATTTATCAAACACAAAAGTTTGCAGATGAAGTAGACTTCAGAGCGCCAGCACTCACAGAGCAGTCAAATACTTCTGATACAATAAATCTCAAAGCCAAACAGCCGGAGACACCAACCTGTGTAGATAGTGAGATGCTTGGAGATAATATATCAAATAAAGCAGAGACAGATGTTGTTTCCCCAGAAAAAACAAATTTAAACGATGCAAATTCTACATTTGGGAGACAAGTTGCACCGTCAGTCCAGCCCGTGTCAGTCAAATATCCTTTGTGGAGGGAGCCAAGTTTCACAAGCAGGGCAGAAACTGAGAGTTCATCCACAGTTTTGAAAACAAACAGTGAGGAAGGAGAATCAGATGGTCCGCACAACCGAGAAGAGTGTGCTACAGTTCATCCAATCAATGTTGAAGTAAGGAGACTGGACATCAAGAAGGACACACAATCTGAGGACAGTAAGGGTCTACTGGTCATTGACACAACATGTGTTGTTGTCAAAATGGAGCTCATTCCATCACCAAAGAAAGAGCATGTTCACTTTATAGGCTCCACACCAAACACTGAAGACAGTCCACATGATATTCAATCAAGCACCTGTCCTGAATCAAACAGTCAGCTGAATCAGGATGAGACTCTGAACACAGAAATAAACCCCTTGCAGATAAATGAAAGGCCTGAGAGTGAACTAGAGTCAGATCTTGGGGAGAAAATGGCTCCTGAGGGAGGAGAGGACATCTCTTTTCCCTGCATGCCTTCATCTTCCATTTCTGAAAAGGAAACCTTGGAGCAGCGTGCTGAAAGGATCCTTGGTATCCCTCTACACGACTGCATCCCTGAGCAACAACCTGAAGATGCTACATCATTCCTTGATTCGTGTGTTGAGAGGCAGGATGTGGAGGTTGAACCTTCTCCAATAACAAATGAGATTCACGATGCAACTGAACAACTCCCAGTGGACACCGCAGAGGAGGAAGGGTCACAGAATCACTTTGAAGTTGGCCAAAGTGAGGAGGCTGTGCATTTGAAAGAGAGTGATGGTGCTGAGGATGAGGTAAAAGATCAAGATGATGAGGATCTTGCAGGACCTCAGGAAGAGGTGTCTAATATGTCTGAAGAGAAAGACACTGACTCCCAACTAGAAACAGACATCAAAATGCCACAGGAAACGGAAATAGCTGAGGACATTCTGCTTGAACCTACCAGTGATGAGGGTACAACTGAACAGAGTCAGGAAGAAAATCTGCCTGTTGAAAATGATACCTCCTCTCAACATCCACCTCAGTGTTTCACTCCACCCAAAGATGTCTCTAATTCGTCTTTGTTTTCATACTCCAACCCTGCTGCTCTCTCATATATCTCACAGTCGAACACAGAAGAAGGTCTTGATCCCAACTTGGCTGCACTTGATACAGCTGAAAATGTTGCTCCTCATTCCGAAACCTCATCCCCTCCTGGCACACCATCACTGCAACTACCATCTCCTCTTCCCCCTGGATCTGCCGAATCTTCCCCAAGCGACACTCCTCATACACATCATTCCCCAAGCCCTCTTCCTCCTCTTGATTTAATGTATCAAACGGCAGACACAATGTCTGGCACTGAGGATCAGGATGAGGAGGGTGAAACATCACAGCTAATAAACAGTGAGATCAGTGATGCCTTTGAGGACCTTGAGGACCAGGAGGTGGTGTCACAGGAACAATTTGAATATGAACAGTCAAACAATGCTGTTTGTGTAGGAGAGAGCAGCGCCATTGATGAGCAACAAGCAAAAGATGTTGAAAGGGACCCAACAGACCTTTTGGAACAGACTCTTGAAACATCCCAAGAAAATGCTATGGATGTCAACATTTTGCAGCAACAACTTGAATGTGTCCAAACAGAGGATGTTGTTTGTGTAAAAGAAAGTTACGTTACTGAAGATCCACTACAACAAGAAGCCAGTGGGGATCCTACAGAACTTTTGGAAACCGCAATATCCCATGAAAACGTGACTGACAGTCAAACTCAAGTAGAGGTCATAATTTTGCAGGAACAGTTTGATAATGGCCAAGAAAAGGACGCCTCCACTGTAAATGAGAGCCATACGACTGAAGAGCAATCACAAAAAGAAACGAGTCAAGATACAGATCTCTCAGTACAGACATCTGACATATCCAACGAAAATGCAACGGACAGTCAAGTAGAAGTGAAAGTTTTACAGCAACAATTTTATTATAGCCAAGAAGGGGATACTTCTTGTGTAAAGGATAGTTATATGAATGAAAAGCAATCACTAATAGATGCTGAGGAGGATCCTGCAGGGCTTACGATATCCAAAGAAAATGCTACAGACTGTCAGACTCAAATAGAAATAGAAATTCTGCAAGACGTTGAACCAAAGGCTGAACCCTCTGACTCCACTTCTCCCTCACCTTCAAACGAGGTGTCTGAGTCACCTTTAAGTGTCCTCTCACCCCCCGATTTTCCCTCTCCACCTTCTCCACCTCATGCATCACCCAAGTCAGACACAGAGACTGTGTCTTTTCTGGGAACAGACTCAGTCTGTCCCTCAGCTCTAAGTCCTGTCATTGCTGATGCTTGCATCCCAGAAACTGTCCCACCTCCTCTTCAACTGAACTCCTGTGAAGAATCCCTTCAGTTTTCTTCTTCTTCTACCTCTGAATCAGCCCCAAATCTGGCTTTCAGCACATCTATCCCTCCTCATGAGGGGGTTGAAGGAGTTTCCCTTGACTTATCCGACAAAGAAGAGCCCCAATATCCCAAATCCCTGTGGGATGCGGTAAATCGCATTAGGAAACATACAGCGCCTGACTCTGAAAATGAAGAGGAGGAAGTGAGTGAGCAGTGGGATCCAGAGAGCATAGGGGAGGATTTGGGTTGCCCAGATATGGTATTAGACATGAACTCTGAGAGGATAGTCTTTGATGAAGTAGGGCAACACAAGGTTTCAATAGAAAGTGTTGAGGATGTAGAACAGGATCCATGTCATGAAGAGCCAAGCAGGCATGCTGAAGAAGACACACTGTCCTGCAGCAGCATCAGCAGCTCTGGAGACACTGTTATTATAGCAGAAGAAGACAAGGTTGAGGAAACACCACCTGATTCCATGACAGAAAGCAAGACAGAGAGTGGTGAGTTACCGATGGCTGAAGGAGAGCAATGCTGCTTTGGTGAAGTAAAAGATGAGACTACAGCTAAAGAAGGGGCAGAGGATGAGCTAGACAAGGTAGACACAAAAGAGTTGTGTCTGACTGAGGAGTGCACAGCTGAGGATGGGAATAAAACAGTTCAGGCTATGGAAGTGATGGAAATGGAGCAAAAAGAATGAGAAGGAGGGTTTGACACCCACAGAGGTCGCTGCGGTGTCAGATGACATCACAGATTGAGATTGTACAGCTGCAGTGGAGGAAAATGAGTCTGTAACATAATTATATAAAAAGAAAATAAAAACACTGGCCCAATATATTTAATTGGCATCTAACAACATTGTACTTAGTTTTTAATGAAATCTGGAGTACTTTTTTAATGTAATTTTATAGTTTTTATTTTTTGACTGATTGGTGATGCATTTACTTTTATAGAAATGTAAGAATTTGACAGTTGGTAAATCTAAAATATTCAAAACCAACTCTATTTATCTACAAAACTATTCCTGTAAACCAAGTTTTGCTACACTTTTTCTTAAAATCTAAATTAATATTTATGTGCTACCTCTAGGAAAGTTTTTTTTCATAATATGCAGTGTGAGATAATGGAAATAAATAGAATAAAATATTTCATTATTTGGAGTGATGTCATGGTGTGGTGATATTTTTGGCAAAAATCCAGCCATTATTCATTTTAAGTTAATAAGAAATGGAGTGCATTAACCAAATGCTGTGGAAAGTTTATGTCTCCTACAATAAATAAAAATGGGTTAACAGTGTGTTAAAAGATCAGACCTTTTGTAAACTGGAAATCACTCCTTAGTCTTATATTTAGTTTCTCATATAGTCTTTCAGTCTATGTTTCTGTATTTTAATTTCTATCAGCAGCCCATTTTTCTGAATACAAATGTGAGGCAATAAAGAAGGATCGGTTACTGTATGTGTGTCCTCTGCTGTCATTGAAAATTGTTAAACTATACATTCAAAATGTTATGCACTAATACACCAAATTCTGAGGGAAATCTATGTAACTGCTTATGTGAACAATTATGTAAGTGGCAGATTTATTGATGTTAAATGATTTTTATAAGACTCTTAGCTTTTTGATTTTTACAATAATTTGGATGGATATTTATAGTCAACAAGAGTCTATGGAGCGACAGAGATCATATGCTTTTTGAGCCTGAAAGTACTCCGCCAACAGAATGGACAGAAATACTTTGAAATTTGTGCATCATCCAGTAGAAACACATATATACAGAATATCAAAACTGGGTCACATGATTTCACAGCAAAATGTGTATGATTAGGGTTAAACTTCTATGATTTAGAAAATAGATGGTAAACTCATGTTGATGTTGTACAAATATATATATTGATTGAAGACAACAGATGCAGAAAACTTACAAAATTTATATATAAAAAAGGAAATTTCAAGAGAATGTTCACATGAGACAGTAAGTTCATTTTTTTCACACATTGTAAAATAAATGATACCAAATATAGCTCCTGGCCTTTCTATAGTGACAGTACAGCATGAGGATTTTCCAGCTGAGTATGATGCTTAGGACTTCACAATCAGATTGTGGACAACAGCACACTCTAGTGGAAATAAATTAGTTTGGTTTTACTAGACTAAAGAAAACTTCACTCTACTCTTGAGACTCAGAAGTAAAAACGAAACACTCTTTAAATGTCATAATACAAGGGGATTGCAGCTGGTTTTGATAGTGTTTAATAAAAAATAAGACATGCCACTAGCCAGCTCCTGAAGCTATTACTGACCAAATATCTAATTCTTATTTTATGCTTTTTTATTTAATATGACATTTTCCTTTCTGGATTTGAATGGCACCATGGAGGGAAAACAATTTTTAACAGACATAATTACTATTACTATTAACCCATACCATTTGCAACATAACAGCCCTTTTACAAATCAGTACTTTGTTGTCAGAATTGAATTTACTTTGAAACCTCAGCAGACCCCAATAGTTCATGTCTTGATCTACAGCCATTTACCATGTAAATAATTGAGATAAAATAAGTCCCTGGGAGTGTTTTAAAGTGTTCAGCACACAAGAAGCTACCAAGTCAAGTTGGAATTCATAATTTCACACAAAACAGTGGATGAAGTTTTTCACAACTTAAGAGTTTGTCATTCTTTAATTTTCTTTTTTTTTTTGACAGCTGCGTCTTTCAATTAATCTTCAGTTGTAAATTTCTCTAGTGGAAAATGTGTGATCAGTTGATTAACTAATTAATTTCACAACAGCAATAAAAATACTGAGGTTCTTCTACTGATGATAAATGGGATTGATTGGTCCTTTGAGTACTGTGATGCTACCTGGGAAACATTTTTTTGGCAATAAAGGCACATTTTCTCATTTGCCGTACAGTGGAACTAATTCCACTCAAATCTGAAATCAACTTCATTCTTGATCTTACGTAATGTACCTTATAACTTCTTTCATAACCCAAAAAAACTAGCACCAGTTATTCTTGTGATCATGGACTGTTACATAAATATTGGTGAGAATTAAAAACTCTCTACTAAAGCTAAAACTGAAAGTGTAATGACACTCGTGTTGTCAGTGAGTAGTGGCGTCAAAGCACCTCTGCATAGCTTTGGGAGAGACTTTTTCATTATGCATGAATATGGACTTCAGGACCACTTGACCAAATTTCAATGTAAACTCTATGTACTTGTTTTAAAGTGGAATTCTTACTGGAAATATGCAATTAATGTTGTAAGAAATCCTGCATCTATTTTTAAGTCTGACTTTATTTTTGCAATTTCACAGTTTCAGTTTTATCCGGTGAGGACAAGGGCCTTTGTATGAGAAACAGAAATTTGAAAAGAGTAATGACTTACAGTTAATAAAAAAGTGACAGAAGAGGTGTGGCTAAAATGGTCGTTAAGTTCTCCATGGTCACAGGAATAACACTTTTTGTTTTGTTTGTGGATTTTCTATTATATAGATTTTAAGGATTTGTATACATCTTGATCCACTGCCATGGCATAAACCGGTGATAAGTGACAACTGAAAACATTACAGCACCCAGTGTCTCCATCTCAGCTGGGGAGAGATGGCAGCCATGGCGAAGTGATATCAAAGTTCATCATGGGGCATTTTCAGAGCGTGGTCGCAGAGGTCTGCAGAGCACACAGGACAGGAAAACAATTAATTCAAATGCAGACATTGGAGTAAATCCACATTACATAAGTGTGTAATTGGGTGACAACTAACCATATTTTAAAAAAATCAACCTAAGTCATGTCTAAAAAATAAGGTGAGCTGAAAACATACCTGTCCTCTTGCTGCAGAGCTTGTCTTTAACATTATCGGTCTCATGAGCGAAGAATTCAATGATTTCATCTTCATGCTGCTCAACAATGGTTTCACACTGGAGAAATTAGTCAAAACCAACTGTAAGAAACTGTACAATTCACGCTAGACAAAATAACAAAATCTACCATAAAAGCTTAATACTTCAAGACCATTAAAACCCAACAATGGATAGCTAATGCAGTATATTGTCTGCCATTGGCACAGGTCATTGTAATGTCTTGAACAGAAAACTGTACTCACTGAAAATTTTAAACTGGCTGTAACCCTTGAATCCAGCGTGGCCTCTGAGAGGTCCATGGTCTCACCGCTCCGGGATTTGATCCTCACGTAGGACTTCCTGTTTGTTGAAGAATCTGTGTGCTCGCCATAGTCCTCCATCCGTTCGCACACAATCTCCATCAGCTCCAAGAGGTTTCCCTCTGAGCGAGCCAGAGGAACCTGGTGGCATCAAAGGTCATGAGGGAATGAGATTTCTCTCCATGTCAACAGTCAAACCAACACTTAATGGATTTTGTGGTTTATTTTCTGACATTTACAATTATGTTTTCATTAAAGAGATACTTTGTGTGTAATATCACATCAAATTTTTTTTCTGTAAAATGTCTGTCTCTAAGGACGACTTCTAAAACAAACAAGCTATACACCCTTGTCTGAATTAAAAAATAGTATAAAATTTGAAAAGAATGTGATTTATTTATACATATATGTTGACAAAGATATTCGGGACTTACTCTGATGATGTACATGTGAAGTACTACTTCATTGTGTACAACAGTAGTAAAGGGATGCAGCCTACAGAGTGGGTTGGACACAGATTACTACGTGGCTGTGCTGCTGCAGCCTCACCTCTCTGATGGACTGGCTGCCGTCCGGGTTGATCCTGAATGATCCAGTCTGGATCATTTTCTTCGGATCTATCTGGGAGATGGCCCACTCCATCTCATCTACCAGAGCCCTGCAGGCTGAGAGGAGCACACGCTGAGATTAGGATTTCTGTGTGAGTGTGTGCATGTGTGTGTGCAGTGATCAGAGCGTGAGCTGGGGAGAGACACATACCTCCACATCTGATGTCCTGTCCTTGTCTGGCTGCATCGCTGAGGCTCAGGAGGAGACACAGAACCGTGCACGATGCGAGCAGGAGAGCCGCTTCCCTCATTTTGCATCTAAACACAGATTCCATCATCACACAAGCTGACACATCAACCAGCGGAAGAAACAGCTTACAAGTGACTCGGTGTTAAGTTAGCCGGTAACCCCTCAGGGTCGCCGCTAGCGACAACAGTCTATCTGTCCCACTAGTATAAACGTGGAGAAAGACGCGGACACAGAAACACAGCATGTAAGAGTGACCCCTTCAGTCGCTTACCTGTCTCTCTAGCGGTGTTTCTGGAGACCACCTTCAAGATTTTCCACGATGTTCCATCGCATTCGGTGAAATGTGGTGACGTAGGCACCGGAGCTGCTGGACAGGATGGAGTCGAGCTCGAGAAGGCGCCCCCACGTGACCGGGAGGATCCTAACAGCTCCGTAGGAACAACTCCACCGCTCAAGTGTTACCATGGCAACCTGTCAGCTCAGCAGAGCGTGGGGCTTCTTCGTTTCATCAGCAGCACGTTGTTGTTTGAGATGTAAGGGGAAAAATAGTTGTCGACTGAAACAAACTGAAGATGAACATGTGAGGTGACATGGAGAGGAATCATGTGCAGGGTTTCAGGACTAACGCTCATGAGAATTTAACTGGTGTAGTTAAGTTGAAGAAAACAGGCTCAATACAACAGGGCCCCTATTGATCCCCAAAGTGCACGTTTTTTTGTTTTTTTTTTACAGTTAAAGTTAAAGTCCTTTATTTTAAGAATAATTTGTGGGTTTTTGTCTTTATAAAAACATGAAACAGAGAGGCAAAGGGGTATGACATGCAACAAAGGTTCTCAGCCAGACGTCCAATCATGGACATTGTGGTCATGCTGTATTCACTTTAACCATTAAGCCATGCCAATTAAAGTTTTTTTTGAAGCAAAAATGCCAAACATGTAGCAGCTTCTCAAATGTGAGTATCTGCTAGTTTCCCAATTTTCATCATAGTAAACTCACTATTCTTTGACATTTTATTCACTGACCAATCAACTGAACAAAAATAGTTGTCGGATATATTGATAATGAAAATAATTTCTGTTTTCTGCAATACAGTTCTCCTATGATAGAATAATACAACCATGTCTGAAGTTTTCTGTGTGTTAATGACCTACTAGCTTAAGAGCCCCTGGGCGGTTGCACACTTGGGAATCCAGCCTTGACTACTAGAAACCACAATAAAAGTAGGTGAAAATGAGTTTTGAAAACCAGACTCTCCTCGTGAGGTAATTGCTGGTATTAATAAACAGACTTATCAAAACCCTGCAGGCATATCATGCCTATTTTGTGCAACAGGTGTTAGGTTATTTAAAGTGTCCGAGTAAGACATGGCAGGGTGGCATTGAGCCACTGTATGTGCAAAACCAGTACCCTGAAATTGAGAGCAGCCAAATATAATTCAGCCAATCATTAATTTCATTATTTATACCTGTGATTTTTACCTCCACCAAGTAGGATATATTTTCATCCCTATCTGTTTATGTGTCAGCAGGATTAAGCAAAAAGTATTTAACTGATTTGCACTGAACTTGGTGGAGGGATGGTGCATGGGCCACGGAAGAGCCCTGGCCCATGGCACAAAAGGCACAACATTTAAAGGTTACTTTACTGTTTTATTCAACAAGAACAAAATATTCAAACATAAAACAGACCTGGAGACAAAAAAAAATCAGAAAACCACCCTTTAATAAGCTCTCAATTCTGTATCATACTGTACAATTTAATCAAATCAGAAAAAAACATATTTCATTCATTTAAAATACAGTACAGTACCAGTTTCCTGTCTGGCCATGGGGCCAGAAAATGGTCTCTGAATAATGCCTACCTATTCCCAAATTCAGATAATATTCTTCATAATAATTTGATACTCTGATACATGATGCAGTAATCAATTAATATATGGAATCAATTAGGTCATTACCATGTTTTCATTGATTTCATTTAGATAATACAGTCAGAAGTTCATATGATGTTTGCCTGATGTACACACTTCAACCAAATACATGTCTCCTGCGGGGAATATGTTTAGTGACTGTTGTCCACCCAAAATCATTTACTAATTGCTGAGCATGGCTTCTCTGCTGTGATCCCATCAATGGTCCCCCAAAAAATTTAAATCAGTTCATCCTATAGCTTACAATGTCAACTTTTCTAACTTACACCTTGGCCCAATTTTTGTCATTAAGTGCTGGTACATTTGTTTAAAAAAAACAACAACAAAAATGCTTTTTGCAGGAGTGAAATTACTAAAATCTTCTTATGCACAAATATTAGTTTTTTATTTGGCATGACATGTCATTTCAGTTGCAAAGGTCAGAATAATTTTTTTTTTTTAAATTTGTGGCAAAGTTGGAATTCAGTAGTGCACTTCCCATTGGAATGGATGTAGATCTTTCAGAAAGAATGATGGCAAATGAAGAACTCATTGGCTAAGAGAAAAATAATTCAAAAAATATATAATCTTTGAAAAAAATCCCAAAGAAGACAAACCTATACAGAGGTTGCTTATATTTTTGCATTTAAATGAGTATCACAGTATTAGTTGCAGTGGGCAGGAGTTTCTGACTTATTATTCTTATTCTGACTGGAATATTAAATTATCATCTAGAGATGATAGAGATACAATAAATGAGGCACGGTGGTGAACACAGGAGGCACTGTGGTCGTCTGCACAGTAATTAGAAGACACACGTGCAGTCAAATACTTGGGGAAAATGAAAAGGTTTTGTTTATTAGCAGCCCTAAACAGCCCAATCCATCATACCTCTGAGGTGTTTCATGATGGATCCTGCTGGTGTTTGGTGTATTTATTTTATATCATTTCTTTCTTCTTGTCTAGTATCCTCTCTGTACAGTTTTTACTCTTTTTATTTTCTGTAACACTGTTTCTGAAAGGTGCTATGCCAATCAAGTTAAAGTTAAGTGCACAAGAAGATATGCAAGTATCATAGTGTAACAGTTAGAGGCATTTGTCATATTAGCACTCTGCTGCCAAGCTCACACTTGTCTCCCACATTTGAAACAGTCAAACTTGCTCATGTTTTAGACGATTACAAACTCCTGTGACACTCCTGGTACACCAGAGTCTAGGAGCCCTGAGATACAGTGAGCATGGCCCCTGTTTCTGCTCATGATACAACACCTCAGATCACTTCTCTTATTCACCGTTAACAGTTCCTCACCTGTTTGTAGTGCCAACTATGCTGTACTTTTGTGTGACAGATTGCACTATTGCACTCATCACACTTCTGCGCAAATTTGGCTTTATCAAAAAACAAACAAACAAAAAAAAAAGACTAGCTGCTACTTTAACTCCACAAAATGCTGACACAAATTAAATGAAAATCATGTAAACTACATACAAGCCTAAGAAGCATTCATAAAACTTATAAACTACACATAAATAAACAAATCTTAAAACAAACTGACCTAAGCGTAGTTATAATATACCTGCCAGCAAAACAGTGGAAGAACAAACCATTCATAATCCTCTGGCAACTCTGAAAATGTATAAATGTATTGAATGGGAATGTATACATGTGATAAAAACATACACATGTATCATCATGTGGCTTAAAGTTTGTGCCTGTTGTCACAGTGTCTTTTTTGACACTACTAACAGAGAAATAAGGAATTTTTCCTACCCTCCACACAGTAGATTTAGTTAATTATGACCAGTTTTTAAAAGGCTTGGGAATACAAACGTGTACATCCCCAAGACCAAAATGTATTTGAAAATATTTTGCATAAATGTAACACAAAGAGAGTGACATAAAACTGTCATTCTCTTACATTACAATAAAAACACAGTAAGCAGAGTGACTAATAACATATAAACACCTTGTACATTCTTGAAATGTTATGTTCATATTCAATATATTAATTATAACAATTTATTAGTCTAATATTAACATCTAGATAATTTAAAGATTGTATTTGAATATAAATTAGAATAAAGGGTAGCTGCTTGGTATGCTTGCCACCGAAGACAAAAACTTAAACATGCTGCAACTTTGGTGTTTGATTTTTCCATTTGTTTTCACTCTGTGGGGATGTGTGCCGATGGAAAAAAAATCTTTGTTTTTTTTGTCATGTCAGGTGAACCAGAAAGAAATAGAAGGTTAAAAAAATCAAATGAAAAACAGGCAAGTCTAACATGCAGCCTGGCGCATCTTCAGTGCTACACGGGCTGAAAACAGAAAATTGTGTCTCTGATCTCTCTTATGACTCTGGCAATTTCCTGTTTTGGAGTAGTCACTTTATTTTTGTGTGATTTCTGACTGAAAAGTGATTTTTTCATCACAGCAGTATCAGCTTGGCAACTATCGCCGTCCTTTTCTTTACTGAGGCTATGGGGTTATTGACCTGTTGCGGTTCAGTCATTTAAGACGAGTGATTTGGAGAGGCCAACGGGCACAAATGTCATTTTATGGACATTGAGGTGAGATTGATTTATCAAAAAATGTGATATAGGTTACTGCGTCACAGTCACAGGAACCACTTTTTTTTTCTTTTTCTTGTTTTTTTTTTTTTTTAGAAATGTCTCATTTTTGAGTCCAGACATCTAACCATTATTTGCATAAACATTATTTGTCAAGAGACCTGCAGCATGTTGTTAGCTGAGACTGCTGAGACATTTGTGATAGAAAACATCCATCACTGAATTGAGCAGGATTAGAAGTCTGTGCGTTGCTACAAGGACACTTTAAAATGTGTTAGGCACACGAAAGGTGAAGGCGAACTCGTACTGACCAAGCTTCAGTGGTCCCACGCTTCAGTCAGGTAATCTATCAGTGTCCCTCAGTCACCGCAGTTCAACATCCACTCACGTGTCGTCCTATCTCTCAACCACAGAATCAGTGTCCATGTCGTTCAGTAGGTAAATGTCCGTGTGACGTGACAATCCCATCTGCATCTGAAAGAGACAGAAAAGAAGAGATGGAGTCGTTATGAGTGAGGAGGCTGTAATTCTATCATTCATGAGGACAACCTGAATTATAGAAGAAACACATTTGATTTTGCCATGATTTGTTTGGCTCCCAACTGATTTTCGGGCTTTCATGAATGAATCAAGTTGCAAACTGTCATTCAAGAAAATAATTAAGAAAAATACTACTGCAAATTTTCATACTGTAAAAAAAACCCACAGAACTACCTGCTAAGTACACACATTGTGCTTATTATAACCTGTGAAAATGTCTGCGTTTCTGCAGCTCATTTTAAACTAACTCTACATTTGACTTTGTTCTTTTTTTTCAGAGAAGAGGAGAAGAACATAAAAGTAGAGACTGTCAGGTGTTAGTGGTTTACTGAACTGTTACACAGATATATTAATAAGAGAAAAGATATCAATCAATGCAGTGTTTTGATCAGAGGTCAATAAGGTCCAATCACTTCAAAATTTGAATTTGATTTTTTTATTATTATAAATTGACTAAGGGTGCTCACCTTGGGTCAAAGTGCTACTTTCCAAATTCAACTTTCCTCATTTAAACCTGGAAAAGAGCGTTTGTCCTACATACAATGGAATGGTCTACCATCTACCCTGATTAATTTAAGGTGGAAATATGAAATCTACAGGTGACATATGTATATGTAGTTTCATCTTTTAATCAGTGTGTAGAAAACCCTTTAAAAAACAAATCATGTTTTATGTTTTACATTATTCTCACAGGCCACTTTAATAGCTAATGATGATATTACACTGTAAATTAAAGCTACTCTGTATTGTAGTTAGAAGGTTGTACAGCAAGTTATCCTGTTAAGTACATTATTCACTGCAACATCTTGTCAAGAAAGTACCACAATTCAAGAATCATTAGTGTTTTTCTAAAATTGTTATGATGAGAAAACCCCATAATTTGTTTTTTTTTCATTAAACATAGAACTAAAAACACAAAGATCATGAGTCCTTCTTCAGACATTCAGACAGAAGACGCCAACAAATGTCCATGTATCCATTATTTCCCATTTATTTTGGACACATGGTGGTTTTTCATCCAGTAGCAAAGGACAGACACTTGTTCATTCAATCCCAAAGAGCAGAAATGAGTGATAACTTCAGAAGACACAGTCTAGTAATGTGTAACTTCAGTGCACAGTGCGACACTGAAGCTTTCTCTGTAACAGTTTAAATGTGCATTTTCCAAGAGGTTTTTTTTGTCAGAGAGGTATTCACATGACACTGTATGGATTGATCAACCCACAACAGCCTAAAAAAGGTCAAGTTACATTTCAACCAGCTCTATGTAAACCTATGAGATACTTTATGAAAACCTTTGAGAGGTATGAACCGGTGGCCTGCAGCTGTACCTGGGTCGGCCACACTTAAGAGAACATTTAATAGCACAATAACTGAGACCTTTACTATTATTACTGGGGCAACACAAATGGCTCCCAGTCCAGTCTCAGCTAGCTGGGCTTCATTAACCATATATATTGAACATATATATTTATCCTGTTACTGTATGAACTGCTCCACAGTTCAATACTAATGCCCTTATTGGTTAATATATAGATCTTACTTGGATATTGCTCAGTTAGGTGCTTGAGTAAAGTATATACCATCTCATTTTCAGTTTATTGAGTTTGCCTTCACTGGTTTTTCTTAATTTCTTTAAGAAATTGGAAAAATCAAGCCATAACATTGATAAAAAGTAGATGTTTTTTTTTTTTCTTTTCCACATGCACTGCCAGAGAAGCTGAAAGTACAGTGTTGATAGCCGGCACTAAATCAACCCCATTAAATACTGAAGCCATGTCAGTTTGGTAAAAGAGGCTGTCCAGTGTTTCTAAGTGAAAATGATTTATGATGTGAGCTTGATCACCACCTCCCTGTCTTTGTTCAAGACTTGAACATGTTAGTTACGGGAACAACATAGAGACATAATTTCCACATCAAACTGCTGCTGCCAACTCCTCCTGTGTTTAGCCACGTTAGACTGATAACAGGCCGTGTGAGGGCAGAACAGGTGTTGACTTTAGTCTCAGATGTGAGCTACTGAGTATGGTGTCTGACAGCCGATATCAAAATATAATTATAAATAATCAATTTTTCCTAAGCACAGCTTTAATTCTCTTTGCACTGGTTTACTAAATATGCCTATTAGTTTGAGAAAAACAAGTAAAGTTTTAAACTTCATTTTGACCCTCAGGTCTGCTGCTGAGGAGACTTGTGTTGGAAAACTATTGTAAATATTAACAGTAGTTTTAAATTTAATTTAAACTAACAATGTTGATGCGGGGGAATAACCAAGGCAAGAATTCCCAAATGTTGCCAGACCCTTGCCATCATGTGACTACTGTAAACTGATTATAGTCAGAGCCAATGACGAAAAGAAAAAAAAAAAACACACCATTGTAGTAAATGAGAAGGTGTTAAATAACTTACATTGGACACAGATGCAGTGCACCGTCTGACCTGAAAGAATTTTATTGTGAGCTGTAGTATTTTTAGACTTTCATTCACAAAATGACTACTTCTGAGGGCCCTCGAAGCCAGACTTGTGATTATGGGTTATAGAAATAACCATGGCTTTCTTTGAACTGGTTTTGACTTCTTTGTCATGATAATTAAAGGAATTATGACTACAGCAAACATAAAAGCTTGTCTTCTCTTTGCACAGCAGTATAAATATGTTGCAGTGACTTCCTCTCAGGAAGTCTAACCAAAGACAAATGATGCTCAAAAAATGTTGCAAAGAGAGTTATTTTGGAACAACAGAACAAAACAAAAATGTTTTAAAGATATATATATATATATATATTTGTACATCCAACACTCTCTGGCGCCTGCACTGTTAAAAACATATTTTGATGCTCAATTTCCTTCATATTGAATTTCAATTCACTGATAAGCTCACGTGCGATGACTCACCCCAGCTGCTGGTATCCTTATTATTTAGGCACTAAAAGAGGCTCTGAGGATGGGGCTGCAATCATATAAAGCTACATTTATTTCAATGGAGCGGTTAAGTTCAGGCTGCATACCTCAGTCGCAGACTTGGTTGTATCCACTACATGTCCACTCTGGACTTGTGCAAAACATAGAGACAACTGGGGCTCCACACAAGGAAGTGACAAATGAGGTATATGCAATACTTCTGCATGATACTGAAACTTGTCATTTAAGCTACTTTGACATGTTTGACAGGAATCAGCTCACAACATTAAAACCCCATAACCAAAAGGTTTTTCTTTTACACAATAAGGGCTGGATATCATTTGGAGATTTTTAGTACACAGAATTAGATTAAGAAAACTTCCTCATGTATCATGTAACAATTGTGTCGTTTTGGAAATAGAATCAAACTGCTATAGAGAGCCTGAGAGATGACGAGATGATAGTAGATAGTAGAGTATATAGTATAGTATAGTATGTTGAGGTAGACTGAGTGGAAATTGCAGCACAGTGAGCAGCTCCTCCAACACCAGGACATTGGCAGGTTGACAATAACAAGGTGAGGGGGCTCACAGAGAGCAAAGTACTTGATGCAGCTGATATTGTCACAGGGAACATGGCAATGAATCTGGAAAATATAATCACTTCAAGTAGATAGTTAGGTCAGCTCTTGCTTAATGGAAACAGTGCTAAAAATAAGTGTGGAAAACAAAGTGGCTTCACCAGCCATGCTGATTCTGGTCTTCATGACCATATAACACTATAACCTCAGCAGCAAAAGTGGAGTCTTTCATACAGTGTGTATGACATGTTGCATGTTTGATCAATTTTTTTTATTAAAAATATATTTATAGTTGAAAATTATTATTGCAATTGTGGTAATTCTAAAATTTTGATCCTAAATAAAAATGTATTTTATTAGGGCTATTCACATCCTCTGTGCTGCTCTGGTCTTCCCACAGACATCAAGCTTGTTTAAAGAATTTGCAGCTGTAAGGCCCCAAACACTGTGGCTACTAGTGTAGTTTATAGAAACCAGCACCTTTTCATGTTAGCTTAAATCACTGGAACTTTTGTGTAAAACCTTTAACTTCGAACTGATATCCTCCGTCATCCTGCTCATGACGACCAAAGTAGGTGAAAACACAAAGACTGCTGGGAATGTCTCCCAGTATGGAAACGCATGCTGAGCTGCTATTCCTAAAGTGTAGATGACATTTTATAAAAAGTCTGAAAATACTGACAATTAGGTGAATTATCGAGTCGTATGCTGTATGAATCACTCATGTCACAGTGTGTCGCTTCATAACCAACGGTAAATACTTGGAGGATTGTAACAATTATTCATTTGTAAAATGATGTACGTATATTTCCTTAGGGGTTGGCTCAACCATCAAACACTGGTATCTTATATACTGTGCTGGTGTAGTATTAATATGTTTGATTGATTACCTAAAAAGCACCAAATATTGATACCCAGCCCTACACAAAAAAAAACAAAAAAAAACACGTGACATTAGCAGAAAATGTGCTTTCAAGATCCTATCTGATCTTGACAAGTCCTGGTTGTGTACAGGGCTCAGAGTCTCCGAGAGGAAAGAAGAATGCTGGTGGTTACTGTCCTGTTCAGCTCTAGGAGTCGTACTCTGACTGTTCCTCTATCAACACAGCAGGTCGCTTTCTTACCCTGCTGCCAAAGTCCAGGCAGGAAACCCCCAAGGCAATCAGACAGTGCCATGCCTGCAGACGATGAGAAAGGAGAGAGAAGAGAAGATAGGTTTTACACACACGCTTATGCACTTTCACTTAAAGAATAGTGGGACACTAACTTAAACATTTAGTAAGACAAATAATATTTGCTTTTAAATACAGAAAATTTATCAAATAATCACAATTAATGAAATATGTTTCTCATCACTGTAGCTTTTTATAATTTTATTTGTTATACATCGATCAATTCTGCTATAAAACCGCATTTTCACTTTTCATGTTGGATCCTTGGATCTTCGTTAAGTGTGAAGTTTAACATACTGAGGAGAGTTGTGGGGCTGGGTACTCAGTTGATTGTGATGTACTTCTGCTTTTGCTTTTGCACACTTGTCACTGTGCACCGTGTGTTCCCACAATTCAATTCAACTATGAAGTTTAGACATGTATACAGACAATGAAAAACAGGCCTACAGGTAAAACTCTGGTAAATAAGGCACAAAGCAAAATTGGTAGACAGCACTAACTTGGATAGTGTATTATAACCACATTTTTGTGTAGCACGTATCATTTGTGGAAAGACTGAGCCAGTTAGTTAAATAAAGTGGATTAAAATTGGGCAAACAAGTTTATACTTTGTCACAGAAACGTCACAAAATGTCACATATCTAAAGCCAAAAGGTGACTGAGAAGTGAATGTAAGTCTGCAGTAATCTAACTCACCAGGTAGCCTACAAAGCACAGATAGGCTACGGAGAGGAGAGCAGCGAGGACGTAGAGCAGCACACTGTTCAGCGCCGTCACATAAACCACCACAAAGTACATGTTGATTGCACAAACCACCAGGATGACGATGCCTCCGGAAATCTTCCAAAACCTAAAAAAAAACAAACAAAAAAAAAACAAACAGGCAGGCAGTTTATTCAACCATTGAGAAATAATGAAATAAACACGGAAAATAGTCCGTGTTCTCGCAACTGTGATGATGTCCTACAGATTTATCAAAGAAACCTCAAATGTCCGTAACTAGTTTTCTTGCATCACAGTCCTTCCTGTGACTCTACTGAGTAAATCCCTAGTTTGCGTAATACAGCTTTGGCCTGTCTATGAACAAAGTGACTGCCTTGGGTTATTTTTCATAAATAGTGTCCAACTAAATTATCTGTCTCTATCTGTAAAGTTCTTGGTTAAATAACACACTCATCTGGAACAGTCACTCAGATGACCCCGAGCAGACAAGTTGCATTTGAATAGTGAATGAATGACTAAACCTCAACCAAAACAAATTCACCTGGTGAAGTTTCAAGTTGACCTGACTTTGATCCTAAAACAAATCGAGTCAGGGGTCTGTCTCTGTTAGTTTTGAATTCGGCTAATAAGAACAAAAGACTGTCCCATGGTGGACTTGGGTTTGGGTTTTCTCAGCACTGCCTATCATCTTTTTGTTTGACATGCACTAGATATTTATGCGTTACATGTTTTATATGGTCAGATACACTGCTGACAGACAAAAACGGAGTGAAAGCCTCAATGATGAAGGTAATTGCTCTGTCAGTGAACAATATAATACAGTACATGTAGCTCAAGGCATACAACTAATAAATACAGTGTGTACTGAGAAAGTCAATTATTACACATTTCTACAGAGAGAAGAAATTAATGATTAAAGAATGTATTTCACTCACAATCCGTTTGCAAAGTCATTCATAATGGATGTCAGACTGGTGAAGGTCAGAATTGGGATCAAAGCAAATGGAAGCTGTTGGATGTAAAGAAAAGTCACACTGAATATTTTACAGGATTATGTACCACACAAAAGGAACAATAAAAGGAGGATAAGTGTCAAAAACCGGGCTGGAGATTGTGTAAGAGTAAACTAATGTTAAAGAACTTTTTACAAAATTGATTTTTGAGAGTTTTCCTGTTGACTGGACCTGACCTGCATGCTTTGAAGCACATTCAGGAAGTCGTTCATGCCTGTCAGATGCTGAACGTCCTGGAAAATGGCTACCAGCAGAGTAGGTGTGATGGCGATGGAGCGGGTCAGCAGTACCCGTGCAAAACGAGACCACCGGAGGTTCAGGAAACCCTTGGTAATTAGGAAAGCACAGCAAAGGATGAGTGTACACGCTTAGATACTGTACATCTTTGGCGACACGCTTGACTATAAAATAAAAAGCAATAAAGCAACTGCTACATTTCCCACCAACAGATATTCTTACCTCCATGACAAACTGCCCAGAGTAAGTGCCTGTCATGGTGGAGCTCTGTCCAGCTGCCAGGATCCCTATGGCCCAGATGTAGAGAGCTGCAGGGCCAAAGAAACAGCCCAGGACCACTCCCTGAACAAATAGATGAGCCGAGAATGAACTATCTAATTATCCATCTAACTAATGTAGCCACAGACAGAGAGATGGTCATTCAATTATGTAGGGCTGGTGATAATTACCGTAACTAAGATTATTAACAAAGAGATGGAGAGAGTACAAACATTCAGAATGATATGGTGAATTTAATGAAGTTGTTTTTACTCTTACTTTATTTGAGCCACACACACAGGTGATTCAAATTGACCTTCCTGATTAAACTGATTTACTACAACTCTACAGTATGTACACATGCTCTGTCCCAATTCAAATATATTAATAGTACACAGTAAGTGCTTTACACTAAATTGTCACTATAACTTGCTTCTGCAGTTAGTACACAAAAAATGAATGTAATGTTTTATCAGAGAAAATGAAGTAATACATGTTCTGCCAATCAAACCGTGACTTTGGAAGGTCACTGCCAACTAAACTGCACAAAGACAAAACAAAAATGTTTTCCCACAGATGTAATACTTTTTTGATGGTTTGTTTTCCAAGATCTTTCTGGAGCTTTCTCATCACCATCTGCAATTCATGTTGATTTTTTGCAGATGAGAGCAGCTCCTGTATTTCCATTCTGCATTGCTTCCATTTGTACATCAACAACACACAGAAACATCAGGCTTTTTAGTCTATTTAATTCTGTCACAACATAACACAGACTCAAAACCTGAATGAAACTGTGACACAGACATGCAGCCTACCCAACCTAAGCAGCCTAACCTAACCACCAAACCAGCCTGCCGTACCACCTAACCTTGATATGCCTTTAATAAACCAGAACCAGTGACAACACCCGTGCTGAAGTGCGGGGCCCTAAAATAGAAATGGCCATTGTCTTCATCGGCAATGAATGACCATGTGCTGGTCACAAGATGAGAAGATTTCTGCTGCTTCTTCTTCTCCCTCTTATTATTATTTTATTTCTTCTTAGTATTTTATGTGATTAATTCTAATAGCTGAAGTGCAGTTCCTAAATCTGACTTAATAATAATGCACACCATCTACCTAATCTTTAAATCCCAGTGGGGACTTAATGTTGTAGTTTTGATGCACAGACGTACCCCTTTATAGATGTCCACCTCCAGTGTGCCGTTGTTGAGAGGGAAGAGATCTGTGTGTGGACTGCCAGTTGCATTGCAAACTGCATTCTGCAGCCAGGACAAAACACATACAATAAGCATCAATTTGATATGCACTGTGTGCAAACAGCACTCACAAAACAATTACTTCACTGTATTTCAGAATGACCAACAGAAGCTTCAGTCATACTAAGTAAGAGCAAGAGATTTCAATGTATACCCACCACGTCCATATTGGTTTTATTGTAGAAGGCCTGAGCAAAGACCGCCACGACAAAGACGTTGATGAGAAAGGAGACGAAGAGAGCGATAGTAGACTCAATGAAGTAGTATTTGTTGGCTTCTTTTACTTCCTTCTTATTTCTGCGATCGACTTCCCGAGACTGGAACATGAGGGAGTAAACAGAAAAACACTCAACACACAAATGTGCTCTAATTTTTGACTTGTTGACTCCTTTAGGCTTGAGTCTTGTTAATCTGCAGGTGACGACAGTTATGTTTCTAACCTTGACCAGCGCTGAGTGCAGGTAGATGTTGTGGGGCATGATGACAGCGCCCACGATTCCCACTGCCTGCTCCAGCTGCACAGGCCCACAGTCGGCACAGTAGGGTACAAACATCCCCTTCAGCAGCTCCCCTTGGTCTGGCTTTACCAGCACGTACTAAAGACAGGCGACAACAAGTCAAACATGTCAGCGTGCTATGAATGTCTCTGTAAAAACCGTGAGACATGTCAAACAAAATCTTAAAATATGTTTTAAACCTAAAGGAGCCTTACCTCGTAACCAAAGCTAATTGCCATTACAGTGATGAGGAAGCCAAAGAAAGCTTCAAGTTTCCTCAGGCCTGCAAAGAGATAGAAACTTTATCAACACAGCTTTTCGAGGAACGACTGGTAGCTAGTGGTTGTATATCTACAGAAGAGAACCGCATACCATATTTGTCTAGAAAGAGGAACACGAATGTGTCTGTTATGGTGATGAGGACTCCTCCCCACAGTGGGATCCTGAAGGAGAAACAGTCAGTATTTATCACCGTTACAGAAAACCACTACATATGTTTGCAAACACCATCTATGGATGAGCAATAAAGATGTTACCTTCCCACAGAGAGGAGGTTGAGAGCTATGGCACAGCCGATGACCTCCTGCATGTCTGAGCCAATAATTGCAAGTTCAACCATAAGCCAAAGGATTATCCGAGGAACCTGAGCAAGAAAATTAATTAATATATTATTAATCTGAGTTTTGCAATATCTAAAAAACAGAAATAGAGCACTCATATTGACAAATACAAATACACCCCTGGCTAAAAAAAGTTAATGTACAACAAGAAAGAGGAAGTTAAATGTGTAATGAGAGAGACGGGAATGCTCACGGCGGGATACTGGCGGTTGCAGACTTCAGCCAGGTGCATCCCTGTGACGACCCCGAGGCGTGCAGCTAACCTCTGCAACAGCAGCCCAATGATGGTGGCTAAGAGGAGCACCCATAGGAGCTGAGGAAGAACGACAAATTCAGCACAAATTGCTTCAACTTTGTACGAGGAGTTTTATTTGGGCAGACCGCCAAATAACAGCCTGTGTAAAGTCTTGTTCATTTCGGACATTATGACAGAAGACTGGTATTTCTTTTTCAGAAAACAATGCTGGTGCTGTTGAGCACTAACACTGATAATGATGGTATTGATGCTTTGTTGAGTATCAAAACAAGAGACAGAAAAAAATATGAAAGCCATTTGTCTTCAAAGTAAAATAACTTTCATAAAAAAGGGGGAGCCGTGGCAGCAGTCATGTTTGTATATGTCACCTTAAAGCCGGCTTTAGCTCCAGACTGCAGGTCGGACTCGATGTTCCCCGGATCCAAGTAAGCAATGCTCATCAAAAACCCTGGTCCAGTGAAGGCCCAGAGTTTTCGGAAACTGAATATCTGGAAAGAAACCACTGTTGTAATTTCAATAATATTAACATATCTTATAGATCAAATTAAAATATTTTTGCTGTCTAATATCTAACAAATTCTGATTAATTGCCCAACAAGAGCACTTTGCTGCTCATAAAACATCAAACAGTTGCCGTCAGTACCTGGTTGCCACCTTCAGGAATGGGCACCTTGTCTTCAAAGTACGTGGAGAACGGTTCTTCCTGGATCTCAGGTGAGGCAGGAGGAGAGATGGAGCTGTACTGGTTTGTCTGTACTCCATTCTCCTGCGGGGAGTCCTCTAACAAAACCACAGAAGAAGGAAAAAGGGGTTAGTTCGTGATAAGATAAAATACATACGAAAGATGCATCTTTCCACCAACTGTTAACATGTTTCCATGCTTTATATCTACCGAACCCGTCTCAGTAACTGCTGCTATTTTTTTATAACCTGGAGCTCATGCTTGTAGTTTGAACTTCATTGTCATGGGACTTCCCACACTAGCTTATTTGCAGAGATCTGGAGATGTTGCCTAATCACTGTGTAGTCTTAGTGGAATGTCACCTGCAATGTACTGACGCAAAATGCAAAATGTCTTGTTGGCTTCATGAAATACTGAGATCATCTAATTAGTAAAGATTAATTTTGAGAGATTCTGTGTGTGGAGAGACTTGAACCGATGCAAAAATTGTTGGTTTTCAAAACCAAACAAAGTCTAACTGATTTTAACAAATTCATATAGTTAAACGCAAACACTTCTTAACACTGCATAATATCATTCTCCAAAATGCTTAATCCACAATATTTAAGAGACTTCTGGGGTCCAGGAGCTTTATTAAAGAAGCTGCATGCACTTCAAGATTAAGCAGTTTGTGCCAGTGTAATGACTAGACGGTGAAAAAAAAAGAAAGTCTCAGCACTGATAATCTAAAATCACTTTCACATAACCTCAATTTCAACTGCTACATAAGTGATTTAGTGTAAGACTTTAATTTACATGTATGTAGTTGGTCAATAATAACATGTAATTAGAACCACATTATTAAAATCTTGAACCCAGTGACTGAGAACACAATGACGAGATTATGTTCAAAAGATCAGTGAATATAAACACAAACTAAAACCTAACATAAAAGCCATTCTATGATCTGTAATTACTGTTTAACATTTATGACAAATATAAAACTACAATTCCTTTCATTTTAACCTGTATAAGTTGTGTACTACTCACTGAGTTTGGACTTTTCATTCTTTCCTCCCTTCATCTCCAACTCACTGCTGGTCCCAAAGTCCACTGTTCCCTCACAATGTCTCTGCTTTTATATGACCCAGTCTTTTTTTTTTTTTTTTTCCATTAGATGTCACGATGACATTCTGACATCATGTTTCTAAAAGTGACCCGCCAAGAGGGAGAAGTAAAGACAGCACAACGCCCAAATTTGTGCTTGGGATTGTCAACAAAACAGCCCATGGCACAAATAATAGTGTGACCTGCCCTTTACCCTTCAACGAATCACGCAGCATCACGCAAGCAGCAGTTAAGTTCATAAAAGAAACTAAGAGAATTAACAGCATTCAGACTCTTAAATAACTCCAACAAAATGATTAAACCAAACATATTCCAGCATTAGAAATAAAGAAAATATATATTTCTTTTTGTAGATAGTTAGTGAGAGCATGAGTTTTCAAAAGTTAAACTGTGGTGCTGCAAGTTAAAATGTACTGTTGTGAAATATTGTTTTAACCACTCCTGTCAGCATGCACACTGACACTGATCATATACCGCAGCCTTAACCAAATGCCCGGGGAGTTTAATGTTGGAGAACATAGCAGGGTGTGTTTATAAGGCGATGGTCATGTGTCTGTTATCTTAAGCAGTTACCTTCGAGGAGGTCTCCGTCTTGCACGGCCTTCATCAGGGCTGGCTGAGGGATCCCTGGGATATTTGAGGGATGGATATCAGCCTCCCTGCAAAAAGACAACAGCAGTTACATAACCTGACAACCTACAAACCCATGACTGTTGAGGGTGAAACGGTAAATGTCATGCTGCATTAGTGATGCTTTGGTCTCTAAAATTAACTTTCAGTACGTTGCCAAACAAACTAATTTCAGGTTTTCTCACACCTAAGAATGAGTAACATCAACGTGAGACATGACTGTGCAACATTTTGTTCCCCCTTTTTTAAAAAAAACAAAAACATTAAAAATCACAAGTCATAAAAATGACAAAGCAACTTTAACAGTGTGCGAAAGGACACTACATTGTTGAAAACTTTTAATAGGAAACGAGTTGACCATTGGCGTCGCAGTTTCACTTCCACCACATCCATCCTTCCTCTAATCTTCGGCTCACAACCGTGTAAAACTTGTGCTCTCTGACAATGAGTGGAGGCTGCTCTGAAACCACATGACGCCTCTGGTCATATGAGGCAAAAGTCAGGCTGAGACAGCAGACTGGGCAGCTTTCCCAGACAGTCAAGGTTTCCATCAGAGTGCAACTTCCTCCGGCTGAACATGTGAGTAATTACCATCATCAAAGTGACAGGTTCTTTGGCACTTTCCGCAGTAGCACCAATGAATTTAAAAATATTACAATTTGAGTAATATATTAGTTGCCAGTAAAATGTGTGTAGTGTCTAATATAAATGCCCAAGAAATATCATGTTAAATTGAATCAACTTTTCCACAGGTCATGAAGTTTACTGCTCTGGAGAATGACTGGCCCTTTCTAATAAAACTACCAAAATAAGGAACTTACTTGTTCTTTCTCTCCTAGGGGCTGTTTAAACACTCTGTTTAAACACATTTATCCTCCAATTTTCCACCTTCTTAAAAATAAATAAATAAATCAAATCAAATCAAATGATTACTCAAAAATAAAAAGACATGAAAAAAATGTGTGTTCATGTGAAATAATGCTAAAAATTAATTTTAAAAATGGGCCAGATTTAACAGTAAATTTTAAGCATGGGCCTTATGAAATTACGGGATCTGGCCGCTGACAGTTACTCATTACTGCGGCTGCAGGATGTTTCAATTTTCTGCATCTCTTGAGACACTGGCGCATTTGTCATGTGTCCTCATGAGGGCACAGTGAGCAGCCAGACCACATAAAGACTACAAAACGAGGTTTGAAATGATTTCTGACACCACCCAATGTGTCGGGTCACCATAGAAGAGATGATCAATAACAAACCATTTATAATCATAAACCAGTACAAATTATCCAGATAGTTTTAATACAATTGACATTTTTGCAGCCACACATGATGATGGAGAGCAGTTCACGTGCATCGGTTTGCTCCAGTCATTTTTCTCAAACTAAAACAAGTCCAAGCAATTCTCCTAAATCTCTTAACGACCACCCAGCATGCTCTCACACACCACCATGAAGGTTTACGTCTCCCTTGTATAATCTCACTAACCAGGCATGAAAGAATAACATCCTTTGGGGGGGACAGTGGCTGTGATCTTACTTTGATGTTTCTGATCATAAGTCATGTAAGACACATGTCTAATCATGTTTCAGAGTATGTTTACTGACAAAAATCTGTCTAGATTTCAGTGTGCAGGTATTAACTTTGTTTTTAATCTGACTTCCTCTGTCCCAGCATCTGATTGGAGCTATAGATGTACATACTTTATCTTTTCTTTTTCCAGCACAAAACAGACACGGCAATTTGAAGTAGCTCCTGTTTTTGATCAACTTACAGTAGCTGTACTTTTAGTTTCTTATTGGGCTCAGTGTGACCTGGACTCAAGTCCTCGATTGTGTAACTATCTTTTAATATGTCAGCACTAATCTTGTCAAATTCCATAGGCACCCACGTGTATGTGGTGATAAAGAGTTAGACTCTGATAAAGTCTTGCAGTAGCAATGAATTTCATCAAATTGAATCCATATAATATTCTAATAACAGCACCAATACGACGTTCATTAGAAAACATCAGTTTATGTATTCAACTACATGATTTGTTTTGATTTTATGAATGTTTGAAAAGCTGGACTGGTCAATGTTGTGGATCTAAATTTGAAAATGGTAGGCGTACTAAAAAGATTACCGTAGTCATCCATTCACCTTCCCCTAATGAACCCCATGGGGGCCTAATCTGCACAGAACAGATTTTACAATCACAACTGTACATCTATGACAACTCCCAAACTGACAAATGGTGTCTAATGTTACACCCTTACAGGCTCTTATACTCCATGAAAGAAAAGAATCTCAACACAGTGATGGCAAATATAAAAGAAAACTGTTTTGAAATGTTAAGCATGAACCAAAGTGTTTCTAGTCCTAATGTTACTCAGCTGCAATTTCTAATGTAACATTTGACTTGCAGAACAAGTCAGTCTCACTATTTTCACAAGGACTCAGGAGCGGCAAGAAATATCAAAAATTCCATGTCCAGGACCAACACAGCTCTGTTCAACACAACAGACAATCAGCTGCTATGAAAGTTAAACAATGAGTTGTCTCTGATGTTGTCTATCCAGGAAACTCCATGTTTGAGAACTTGGCACTCGCAAAAACTGGCTAATCAAGAACATGCCCACACGTCACTCACAGCATTGCTAACTGAGCTATTAATGTTAATAATTCACATATAGGCAGGTTCAAGGTATTTGAGGGGTGGTTTCAAATGAATGTGTATTACATAATTTGGCATGTACATAAGTTACATTACATTTTGCAACAAACGCGACTGTGAAAAAAGATTTCTCTTGCTTAACATTTACTGTATTCATTACTCGTCATAGGTAGTGAGTAGATTTCAACACCTTAAACTCCACTGACAAATGTACACAGGAGAAGATTTGGTTTATGTAGACTTTGACAGTCAGCTATCCTTCTCCTGCAGAGTGAGTTTCCAACACAGTACCACTTACTTTCAAGGTGCATGAAGTAAGAAAAGCTCAAAACTCCAGCAACACTTGCAGACAACATATTGTCCTTAATACTGCAATTACACCTTGTTATTACAATTAACAATTATTTTATTAGTGATTAATTTGCTGATTGTTTTCTCAATTAATTGGTAGGTCTATGAATTGTTTAAAAACAATGCAACGCATAAAGACATTCAATTTACTATCATATATGACAAAGAAAAACAGTAAATCGTCACATTTGAGAAGCCAGAGAATATTTGACCTCTTAGCTTTTAAAAATTATTAAAACAATTAAACTTTTTAAAAAACGACTCTTGAGGATGCTTTTCCTTCTCCAAGCACTTTACAAGTTGGTGACATTACTCCAGAGACCCCGATTCTGCTTCTGAACTATGATAATGAGATGCTCTTAGCAAGGAAGAATATTTCCATAGCAACTGCTCTGACAATAAGTACGCCTATCCTACCAGCAGCTGAGAAAGCCAACATTTCTCAAGATCTAGCACATTACAGTAAATGTGTCACCTAAGGACTTCAGGACGATGATCTGATTTACAGCTTTAACATCTGAATTAACATCTCAATTACTGTGCAACACACTAATTACAGCTCATCCTTGTTATGCTGAAATCATGTAAATGAAGTTTACAAACTCCCAGAGTAAGTAGTGAGTAGTAGTAAGACTCTAATCACAATTTAAACCAGAAACCAACGCTTGACCTCTCGACATGGTAACTTGTCCAGTGGGTACAGCTGAAAAGAATCAAAGCCTACGCGCTCATTGCCGGTGTAAGTTAGATGTGTATAACCCAGAGCAGCCTTGACCAACACCTTCAAATCCTGTCGATAATGAAAACATTTGTGCGCCAACATCAACATTGTCAGTGCACTGTTACTACTACAAGCTAACGAGTTTCCATGATGTGTTAGCTATCAGGTCGGATCTGCCAACGAGTATGAAAACATCCTTACCTTGGTATACGGTATGAGAAGGTAAAATAACAGCCTGTGTTTTGTCGATTAAAGCCGCTTTTAAAATGATCCCATGTGTATAAATGTGTTAGCTAAGTAGCATGTTAACGAGCTAAATTCTGGCAAAGTCGTATCTGTATGTTCAGGATGCACTGCGCATGTGCATTGATCTTGAACTGTTCTGATTGGGCGATAGATCTGAATGATCCAACCCTGGGATAAGGCTGTCAGGCGCACTGCTGGTCAGGATAAACCAGAGCTAATCGTGTTGGATCTAACCACTGAAAAATGCATTTCATTTTATACGCTCATCATATATTTTGAATGTAAAAACTCTATCTTAAAAGTAAGTAGTAACAAAAGTTGTTACATGTATGTAGTGCAATAAAAAGACTGTTGAGGAGTTGAAGTGTAAAACAACACAAAATGGAAAGTTTAGTACCTCAAATTTGTACGTAAGTAAATGTACTATTTATCCTAATAGTCATTCATTCATACATTCATTCATCCATTCTCACCAGGACCATAACTTATCCAGTCGAGCCCGGGTTCTTTTTTGTATTCATTTTTTATATGAATTAATACAAGGCGTGTTGCTTATTTTACAGTTTTTACATTTATGATGATGACATTTTGTGAACATTTATTTAACAAAAATCAAAACTATATAAACCCATGATAATATTTAAAAAAGAACAATAAGTCTAGTTGAAGTACCTGACCAAACTTTACCCACTCCTCTAAATCACCTTCTTTGACTTCTCTCGCGATATTCTGGCAGCTGTGGTGTACACGTCACATATCACAGATAGTAGCTAACTAAGCTAAAGCTAGGCTAACTAGCTGCTGCTGAGGGACATGTAGCCAGTCAAACACTCAGTCTGTTTCAATGAAGGATCTTCCAGAGTGACTGGGACATGGAGTTAAGAAATATCAAGGACCAGGTAGTAAATAAAGCTTCTGCTGTTGTCTAACTCAACGTTAGATAACCAACAGGACTCCCCACTAACACTGCAAACAGCTGGCTAGTCATGGTAGCGACATGTCGAGCAAAGTTTGCTACAAGGCTTTTTAATGTCAAACATTTCCTGTCATATAACATTGGACCAGACGTTTCAGTTTGCATGATAATTTGCACGTTCGTTTGCTACAGAATTTGATATTAGGACTTAGTTATCCACCAGGATCTTGTCATTAGGGTAATCTTTGTCCCTGTTAAATGGGGTCCAAACTCTGCCAACATAGCAGCATTTTAAACATCGGCCTTTAAATGGATCCATATTTCTTTACTACATACCTACGTTTGCTTCCTGCTATCTGTGGAAGACAGATCTTGATGAGTAGGATCTGGCTCTCGCCCCCTAGAACCAAAATAACCCTTCACATCCACAAAAAGTATCGCATGGAATTTGGAAAGTCTTTTTCCCAGTCACTTAAATGCCAATACAATAAAACATGTCTCCACCTGATGGCCTTAACTTCACTGAAGCAGATTGCATCATTCCAATTAAAATAATTTGCTCAAGTCAATTTAATCATCCATATTATTACTGTAAATGCCCAAATAGAAGATTGTTACTTACTCTTGTCTTAACTCAGAATTAATTGGAATTTCAGCATCTCAGCAAAGTTTTAAGTATTTGTGATCCAAATGATTATTCTGATGAAAGATTGCGCTTTATTTCTGCTTCTGTAATTCACTGCTTCTATTGTCTGACAAAGCGCAATGAAATGAATCCAGTTTTAATGTAATTTTACTATGTATTTTGTCATGTTCTTAATCTGTTTTGCATGTCAAATCTCTATTTCAGTCTCCATTGGTCCAGGCTATATTCAGCCGAAACACAGAAGAAGTGACATTTTTGTTGAACCAGGAAGAAGATGTCAATTCACTGGTAATATTATCCCACATTACTCAGCAGTCATGATGTTTTTGATACTCTGTATCTCATCAAATTTCCATACATTCAGCTGTGCAAAATGTCTCAGCTGTGCAAAATGTGAATTAGATCAAATGTTTCATTTGAACATGTAGAAGAATCTAAAGAAAGTTGAATTTGCATATTGTTCAAACCTTTGGAATTAGAATATAACAAAATAATAATATAATACAGGATAATCTGGTAAGATTAAATAAAAAATATCTTTGCAGCATGTTGCCCTGTTTGATGTTTTTTTTCCTCTCAGGACCAAGAACAAAGCACACCACTTCATGCTGCTGCTTATCTGGGAGATGTCCACATTATGGACCTACTTATTACTTCAGGTAGGAAAAAATATTTATTTTACTGTGAAATGCGTGCTATTGATGAATGCAATGAGTTAATCCTATACAGAAGAACTAAAACATAGCAAAAAACACTCCTAATTAGCCTAATTTTGCTTTTGCACTGTGTTACAGATGCAAATGTCAACACGAAGGACCAGGGTTTGCTGACTCCTTTACATCGAGCCGCTGCGTCACGAAATGAAGTATGTTCCTATTTTCAAAAAACAAAAAAGGAGAGTTTAAAAAAAGTCATATCTTAGGACTTGACCACTAGATCTTAATATTTAATTTGCATCTTCAAGGAATTTTGTGTTTTTCTCTCAGAGGGCTGTGGAGCTGCTACTAAAGCACAAAGCAGAGGTCAACACAAGGGATAAATTCTGGCATACGCCTTTGCACATGGCAGCTGCAAACTGGGCTACAGGCTGTGCTCAAGCTCTGATACCACATGTTTGCAGCCTGGATGTTACTGACAGGTCAGGGAGGACACCACTGCATCATGCAACACACAGCGGCCATGGAGAGGTAAAGTTGATTGTCTGTGATCTTTAACCATTTATCCCTTTATGGTTGATAGTTATCATTTCAATGCATAAGAAGGCTTGAAAGTAGATCTGCTTTATGGAAGTGAATGATGTCTGGAGAACATTTTCTTGGTTTCTGGCAGTTGTTACAGCATTTTGGGAAAATGTGTTTTTGTCATAATATATTAATCTAGTTTCACACAATATTTATTCCTCTGAGGAGCCAAAATACAACCACAGCCCTGTTTGTTCCAAGTGTGTTTTCTCAACTGTTGCCAAGATAAAATGCTGCTATCCACTGGACTATAGTTGTAGATTGAGATGAGTTGATAGATACACTGGTTGATCCAGTTATTGTGTTTCTGCAGATGGTGAACTTGCTCCTGAGCAAAGGTGCCAATGTTAGTGCCAAAGATAAGAAAGAAAGGCAGGCCATCCACTGGGCTGCACACCTCGGTAAGTGGTGTCATTCCTCTAAGAGACACAAATGTATGGTGACATTTGTCCAAAACAACTCTCCCACATGAATTTAAGGCAGACAAATGTTTGTCATACACCACACTAGTATGCAATAAAATGGAAGTATTTGCACCCAAAAAAAAATCCCCCCAAACAAGCCACTGAAAAATGTCTCAAACAGCCATAGATGGCCAGAAGGTTAAAGTCAGAGGTTATTGGCATTGACAAACACATTGTCACTTTTGAGAGTATAAGCACATTCAAGACAGAGAAACAAGTGTCTAAAAGAATTAAATGTTGAACTGTGGCTTACATGCTGACAGGATGGCTGCGACATCAGTGCATGGTTGACTATTTGATTGGTTGAGCTCTGAATTTGTAGCTTAAAAGTTAGGATAAAATATATTTTCTGACTTAAAAAACAAAGATAGACTTGCTCAAAAATTACCGCTCTTGACATATAGCTTTATTATGATTGATGAGTTATGATAATATATGGCTGGTTTGACTTATTATCACAACATCAGTCTATTTAAATTTGATTAGTTGTTGACTTTTTGTATTTATTTTTTTTATCTTAACGAGGTTGAAGTCTGATTAATATTATATTAAATTGGCCTGTGCATGAACTGTGCTTCAGTTTCCAGGATACAGGCCAGTAGGCATTGTTTTGTGCGAGCATGGTAGATTCTTGTAGTAAATGTTAAGCTCTTCTTTCAGGACATGTGGAGGTCATGAAGCTGCTGGTGTCTCACAGTGCTGATGTGACTTGCAAGGACAAACGTGGTTACACTCCGCTCCATGCTGCAGCTGCCAGTGGGCAGTTAGACGTGGTCCAATATCTGTTGAGGCTGGGGGTAGAGGTAAAGTGGTTAGGTCACAGAACTGTTAGGAAATTTCCATTGTAATTAATTATTATAGCTGCCATTTATTTTATGTACTGTATATCGTGTAGAGGAGAGTAGCTCTTAATGTGCTCGATGCTGCAGAGAGTATTTGTCAGAATTTGTTTTTGCTTTGAAGTGAGAATGAAGATATCAGGGAACATCCTGCTCAGTTACACTCCCAAAACACTGCATTCTGTAGTTAGAAAGGGTCTGATGTGAAATTAGGTCTCAGTAACATAGTACCCTGCAGAGCCCTAGGCCTGGTTTAATTTCAAAGCTTTAGTCCCGTCACGGGGTTTAGATCACGTCTCTTCACATGTTTTCCTCCTCTGCCTCTCAGACTGATGAACCCAACATTTTTGGGAACACGGCGCTCCACATGGCCTGTCACACAGGCCAGGACACCGTGGCCACTGAGCTGGTGAACGGCGGCGCTAACATCAATCAGCCAAACTACCAGGGCAACACGCCACTGCATCTGGCTGCTGCCTCCTCCAGTGGGGTGCTGTGTCTCGAGCTGCTAATCAACAATGGGGCTGATGTCAACATGCAGGTAAAGAGGTTGTTTTTAAGAAGTGGTTTAAAAAAGGACAAAAAGAGGGAAAAAAATTGTGTCTTATTGGATCATAATTGGTCAGAGCCTTTTTTTAACGAATCATGTTGTTTCCATTTTCTCTGTTTAACAGAATAAAGAAGGAAAGAGCCCTTTACATATAGCTGCTATGCATGGACGCTTCACAGGCTCCCAGATTCTGATCCAAAATGGTAACTTATGTTCTAAAAAAATATTTACACAGCATCCTGTTAAAACAGTAAAACTGCATCCTCACAGCACAGTCTGACTTAAAATATCACAACATGTCCTCATCTGAAACATTTAACACCTATTAACACTATGTTTCCTTCTGCTTTTGCACACAGGTGGGGAGATCGACTGTGTTGATATGTATGGAAACACTCCTCTTCACATTGCTGCCAGATATGGTCAGGAGTTGTTGATCAGCACTCTGCTGACAAATGGTGCTGACAAGGCCAGGTAAGTTTCTCCACTTGGATGAGTCCAAACCTGAGACTGTTTGATGATGTATTTACACTACATCACCTTTAAGTTGCTGGTCTCTCAATGCGCGCTCTCACTTTAAGGTGAGCTGACCAATAAGACCTGCAGAGTCACATCTTGTCTCCTCTCCTAAGTGTTTGAAATTAAATGCATACCCCAAGATGTGAGTCATGATAAACAGCCCCTCAGTAAATTGTAATATAACACTGACCAACTGAACTTTGGATAAACCAATGAATGTCTATATTTAGTATCCGTCCCACAACCCCACCACACACACACACACAGATTTATTTATTACAAGTGATCCTATAATTATCTGCTTACTTACAAAGAAAAAACTTTGAAAATATCAGTTATTTTGCGCTTAATTTCCACGTTTATGCAGAAAAAAGGTTTGCAATTAAGCACATACAAAAGTAAATAATATTTGTTCTCTAAAGACAGGGGATTCATGGGATGCTTCCACTACATCTGGCGGCGCTTTACGGTTTTCCAGACTGCTGTCGAAAGTTACTGTCTAATGGTGAGAATCTGTTTTGAGTCATCGAGATCTGATTAATTCTCTTGCTTGTTGCGTTTTAATTTACTGACAAAACTGAAAGTGTTCTTGTGTGTCTTTAGGTCAGTTTTACAACATCATGCCGGCTCAAATGTCATCAGTTGGGTTTGATATAAACATCTTAGATGACCAAGGGAGGACCTGTCTGCATGCAGCTGCCTCTGGAGGGTGAGGGAATGAACACACACACACACACACACACACACACACACACATTAATGTAAAGTCTACAAGCATTTACAATTAAAGAGTTTGACTCATGGATAAATGTTTGTTTACAAAGTGATGCCCATTATCTAGACAGTTCAGATCATTATTTTCCATGTCTAAATATTTTAATTAATATTTTCTTTGTTGGGAAAATGATATTTGTATATTCTTTATTTTTTGGTCCATTGCATAGGTTAAACATATGAAATTATGATATATTTTGTTTGTAGTAGCTCAGCTTGAAGTGTGGTGTCGTTTAGTGAAGCACTACTTTTAATTATAAAAATCTATACCTACTCTTTGCCTGGTCAGGAGATATGCAGCCGAAAAAGGCAGCAAACAGTGTGCCTGAATCATACGCACAACATCAAACCTTTCCATAAGCTGTCTGACACAGATCTGATACAATTTTAACTCTTTTTTTTCTTTTCTTGTGACAGAAATGTTGACTGTCTCAACCTGATCTTAAATAGTGGCGCTGAACTAGGCATTAAGGATAATTTGGGAAGGTAAGCGGCGCTAAATAGCCAGAGCTAAGAATTTAACTGTGTTTCTGTGTTGCCTGATATCATAGCTGAACCCTGTTGTACCTCGCAGATCTCCTTTGCACTATGCTGCAGCCAATGGGAACAGCCACTGCACGATCTCTCTGGTGAGAGCCGGTGCTGAGGTCAATGAGCTGGATCTGATGGGCTGCAGCCCTCTGCACTACACTGCTGCTTCACACACCTTCTGTGGGTGAGAGAGCACACACAACTTTATGTTTTATTCATTTTTCTATGAGACAACACAGCATCCTGCGGACAGTTCTTTGCTGATAATGACTGACTTCATTCAAACCTGTTTTATTGTGTCCTTCTTTCTTTCCCCAGTGGAAACACAAACTCTGATCCTCACTACAGCGTGGAAAAGGAACAAGAGGCCTCTCTGTAAGTCTCATATTGTTGTCATATACACATATATCACAAAGTAGATCAAGTTTAACTTTATACATTAAATGTGCTTTCCGTTAGGCAAAATGCCACATATGGTATTTTTCTTGTTAGTGTATGGTCACTTTAAAGCACATGATCTCAACTGCATGCATCATTTTACATTTCATGTAGTGTGAGTAAGTAGTTAATGAGAACAGAATCAGAGATAAAATCACAGTCAAATTTATGCTACTATCAGACAAACAAAATTATTTATTATTTATTATATAGGATGATGTTTAATTGTGTTAGACTGATTTGATTATTTAGAAAATTTTGACACTGCAGGAAAAGGATCAGATGCACTAAAATGAAACTTTCATGTGTTGTCATGTGATATTAAGGGGAGTGAATAATAATTTTCTTTCATTACTTGTTGTGAGAGAAGAATAAAACCCAGGCATGATTCCTAGTGTTCCTTTGGCTCTGTGTGTTCAGGTGTTTGGACTACTTGCTCGACAACGGGGCGAACCCAACTCTGAAGAACAGTAAGGGTTACAGTGCCGTCCACTATGCTGCAGCTTATGGGAACAAACAGCACCTCGAACTGGTCAGTGGTGTCTTTGATTTAGATACTTTGATTTTTTTTTCTAATCGATTGCACATTAAATCTAATTTTCTTTATTTTACCTCTGACTCTCTTGCAGCTCCTGGAGATTTCTTTCAACTGTCTAGAAGAGGTTGAAAGTAATATTCCAGTCAGTCCTTTGCACTTAGCTGTGAGTAGTGCAAACACCACAAACCACTCCTGTTTACATCATGATATGCATAATCACTTTTGAATGAAGGCCACTTGTGCATTTGACTCTATTAACATGCATTCTGCCTACACTACAGGCATATTATGGTCACTGCGAGGCCCTTCGTTTGCTGTGTGAGACATTAGTGAGTCTTGATGTGCGGGACATTGAAGGCCGAACTGCCCTCCACCTGGCTGCTCAGAGAGGTTTTGCCCCGTGTGTGGAGGTGCTGCTGAAACATCAGGCCTCATACACACTGAAGGAGCACAAGCGCAAGTGGACGGCTCTTCATGCTGCAGGTGTGTGTGTGTGTTTGTGTGTGTGTGTGTGTGTGTGTGTGTGTGTGTGTGTGTGTGTGTGTGTGTGGTCAAAATATTATTTAAAAAAATATGTTGTACCTTTATTATATTATATATATATTATTATATTTATGTGTATTTTTCTTTTATTCCTCTCCGATGTGCAGCGGCTGAGGGCCAAATGGACTGTCTGCTTTTACTGGTCAACAGGGAACAAAGTGCCGACATCATTGACAGTCCAGATACACAGGGACAGTGAGTCACTTGTTTTTTAATGCTATGATTTGTTATTATTGATTGAACATCAGACATGCTTAGCTTTTAAATACAATACTGCTAATTTCTACAAGGGCAGACTTAATTATTTTTCACATTCTGACATTACAGAATATAATATATGATAAAATGGACTATTTTTTCCAGTCTGTTTTGAGAAGGTTGTGCATTTCAGTTAAAAAAAAACTATTATATAATCGATATTTAATGGATACTAATTAGACAGAAAGAAACAATTAACAGAACTGACTGAATAAAAAGTTACAGAACATTGTGTGTAGATTGTCTTTTGTAGGTATTGATACAAAATGCTAAAAATATAAATCATTGCAAATAATATTCTGCCACAAAGCAAGATGACAGTGTGTTTATTTGCAATGAAGTGGTGTATAAGGAAATTATTACACCAAGTGATTGTTTGATGTGACTTACTAAACAAACTTTTTTTTCTCATATTGCATTGTATGCAGATCAAACAAACAAACCCAAGACAATTTTTTCCAGTGCGATATGATCAGAGAATTATACTCATTAACCCTTACAGCGGTAAACTCTTTGTCTTGTTTTGTATGCAGGACGGCTCTCATGCTGACAGCTCTGGGACGTCACACCGACTGTGTCCACATCCTGTTGGAGAAAGGAGCGAACCCTGATGCTGCAGACAAAAAGGGCTTCACTGCATTACACAGAGCTGTACGTGTATTTTCTGTGTGCGTGCGTGTGTGTGCATGTTCCATCACTTTTTTAAGTGCACTTTATAATTATGAAAATGGGGAAACGCGTCCCTTTACAGCATCCATGATGTTCCAGATGTTTTTCTCCTCTCCCATCATATCTTGTGTCCTCCCTCTTTAGGCCATGTTGGGCAGTGAGGACTGTGTATCTGCTCTGCTGGAACACGGGGCTTCTGCTCTGTGTAGAGACTCTCAGGGAAGGACCCCGCTGCACCTTGCAGCCTCCTGCGGTCACACGGAGCTTCTCAGCAATTTGCTGAAGGCTGCTATGAAGGTTGACCCTCTGGACTCCATGTTGGACCACAGAGGCTACACGCCCACCCACTGGGCTGCTTACCATGGTGAGACATCACGACACAAATTCCTGTCAAATGCACTTCAACGAAAAGAGATGTATTCTGTGTTAACAGAGTAAATATGAACCCATATACGGTTAGAACATGAAAAAAACATGTATGAATGGACATTTCATGCACCAACATAATCTCTCATCTCTGGTTTTTATCCACAGTGTTATCTTAGTCTCTAAATATTTTCACTCAGTTTCAACACTTGGCTATCTTGTTAAACACTTGCATGGTCAGATACTGTGTTACCATAATTTTACAAACATTTGAATATTATTTTAATCATTTGTCCATCTGTTTCTTGTTCTCTACAGGGCATGAAGGATGTTTACACATTTTACTTGAAAACAAACTCTTTAGCAACCAGGAAGGAAATCAGTTCACCCCATTGCACTGTGCTCTGTGAGTATCATAAGAAATGTAAATGCTCATCAAAGATTTGTTTATTAAACATAAAAAATAGATATAGTGTGTCACATCAAAATGTAGTAACTGTTCTTCCCCTGCAGAGTTAATGGACATGAAGTTGCTGCCGAACGTCTGGTGAAGACTGTTGGACCTCAAATTGTTAATGTTTGCGATGCCAAAGGAAGGTGGGTTCTGCTCTGAGCTGAGCCCTGCTTTTCATAACAATAACTGCAGTACAGATGAGTCTACAGTTGTACAGTTGTAAATGTATAATATTCTATGTTTATTTTAAATGTGAGCATACATTTGAAAACGTGATAATAAAACCTGATAATACATTGGCAATTAAATAGTTTTCAAGATGATTATTAACTATTTATGGGCATTTGGTCCAGGATTTCTACATAATTGGCAGGTTTTATTACAAAAATTGTATGTTCGGTATCAATACATTAAAAACATATTTTATTTTAACCTCAACTCTATTGATAACTCTAATATGGAATGTGTTTACACTTGCAATATTTTCTATCTTTAAATGTACATGATGCCTAAAAGGACAGCAACATGTTGCACAAACTTACAAGCAGTATAAACTAGTATTTCCCTCAATCATAAACATCAACCACATTTATATTTTACCTACACAAGCATCTGCTAATGAGGAAAACTCAATTTTTGTTGGATTTATAAATTCAACTTTGGTGGGTGTGACTCGCATTTATATGATTAAAAAAATAGCTATTTTTATTTTGTATCATCTTTCCAATAACTTGCTGCAAAGTAAACTGAATTGATTTTCCGAGGCTGTGAACCTGTCTGTTCATCCTGTGTTTTATGTGCATGTTGTGTAATTGTAGGACCCCGCTGCACGCAGCTGCTTATTCAGGAAATGTTGCTGGGCTCCAGCTGGTCCTGGCCCAGGGAGCAGAGGTCAATGCTGTGGACCACTGTGACTGCTCTGCTCTGATGGTTGCTGCTGACTGCGGACAGACCATGGCTGTTGGTATGTGAAATTAAATGCCTAATGTCAGTCCGTTAAAGCGTGCACGTTATTATTCTTATCTACACCTGGGAAACCTCAAAAAACATCAAGACAACTCGCAGGTCAAGAAGAGGACATTTCTGCAAGAGATCTTCAGAGTCACTCTTTTATCCATCTTCCCTCTCTATTTGCTCCTGATTGTGTTCTCATCGTGTCTGAACATTTTCATTTCGTCCCGACAGTTATTTCTTTTCAAGTGCTTAATCATCCATGATGATTTAAGTGACACAGAAATACTTGCTACTTATTTTATCACGTGTACTGTGGTTATGACCCTCACAGTCCTCACTAATGTTTTCCTTTAATACACCACATAAGTCTTTTTCCCTGATGCACTGATAGTAAGTCACTCCACATGAAAACACCAGCTAAAGACATACAGGCCTTTGTTTGTTGTGAGAGATGTCTTATTTTCTGCATTTCAGAATTCTTGCTGCACAAAGCGAAGCCTGAGCTGACCCTGGTGGATGTTAATAATAACACAGCCCTTCACTTAGCCTGCAGCAAGGTCACACACACACACACACACACACACACACACACACACATACACACACACACACACACACACCTGCATGTACTGTACGCATTCTGTGGCACAATAGCATTTGCATGTGTGTAACAGCAGACAATGTTTGCAGCTGTCAGATAATAAATATATAAAATATAACCGAGGTTGAAATGTAATCAAACTTGGTTTCAAATTGAAGTGTTATGTTAGTCATATTGTACTAAATTTTAATGTTGAATTTCCTTATTAAACCCTGAAATGGCTCGTAACAGTAGGAATGTTTTAATGTGGTGCTATAACATTGTACAATGTGCAATTCACTAAGCGAGTCATTAATTATTAACAAAAACATTTGATTATATTATAAGTAGTTTCTACAATATATAACGTACGCACTTTATCACTTATTTGATTGTGTTTTTTTCTGCAGGGTCATGAGATGTGTGCCCTGTTGATCCTTGGAGAGATCAGCGACTCCTCCCTCATAAATGCAACAAACAGCGCTCTCCAAATGTGAGTTGTCTTGAACCCATGCCCACTACACGTGCACATAGTCAGTAAGGAATACCACTGATCAAACTAAGGTAGAAGAAGAAAATCAGCTGGTATGGATTTTGAAGTTTGGTATTAAAACACACCTACTGTGTGTGTTGATTACACAACACATCCAGAATACACACGTTAATAGATTGGGGCCTGAAAATATCAAAATGTAATCCATCAGAGAATTTAGACTAGTTATATTTTGACTGAGTGCAGGTGAACACGAAAATGCTCCATTGAATTATGACCTGGAAAAACAATAGAACGGGTATGACAGAGATTTTGATAATGAAGTCACAACGTTACAAAAAAAACTTGTAATGTTTTAAAAAATAAAGTCTTTGTTCAGGGATTTTTTAATCATTTGTCATCTGAGCTACAGGCTGTTCATCAAAGTTGCCACAGATTTGTATATTTTTCTGCCATTTCTTTTTCAAATGTATAAAAAATAAAATGCATTGTGATGTTTTTCCGGCAATTATTCAACACTGAAACTCGGGAACAGAAGGGGAGATTGTGACCATATCGATCTGGTTTGAGTGTTAAGAAGTTTTCCATGTTTAAAATATGACTCTCCTGCCATTGGCCCCAGTTATACAGAATGTTCTATAATATGGTTGCATTCCTCGGAAACATTTACCTCTGTCATCGGACCCCTCTCTCTTTCTCCTGTAGGCCTCTTCACATTGCAGCGAGGAAAGGCCTGGCGACTGTAGTGCAGGTGTTACTGAGCAGAGGAGCGGCAGTCATGGCTGTAGATGAGGAAGGTCAGCAGGAATTATTGTATTTTTTGTGATGCAGTACCACAGTGGCCCCTTCTTTCAGTATACAGTGTCACGTAATTATTTTCGTGGTGACCCTCTATAGGCCGCACACCAGCTCTGGCCTGTGCCCCGAACAAAAACGTGGCAGACTGTCTGGCCCTGATCCTCTCCACCATGAAGCCTTTCCCTCCCAGAGAGCCCAGCGGTGGTACAAACTCCCACTTCAACCCCATCCTGAAGAACTGTGGCATTGCTGCCACCTGTGGCTCCAGTGGAAACCTGTGTCATGCCTAAGTTAAAGCCGACACTGGTACTATTGGCCTGCACAGGTGTGTGACACAGTGAAATTTCATCCCAGTGTAGCCCAAAGTCTCCACACGCACATACAAGTCTCCCTAAACATGTGTGGTTGGTCATGCATAGCTTCTTCCCTCACGTGGCATTTACACTTGTGCTCATGCACCAGTCGACCGCTTCTCTAAAATAGAGTCTTACACATTACTAATATTAGCAGACCTCTTAGATGATCTTTTCTGTTACATGAGTTGAGTTTAGCACATAAATGTTATTTTAATGAAGCACTAACTATTAGAAATGAGTGGAAGTTTTAGCATGAGCACACTATACAAGCCTCCTCCCCTGAACCCCGTCCACCGTCAGTATTGGCTTCATTTCTAAGCACATTAACCACCAAAGCCTGAAATCTCCATGTTCATCCTCAGCTGATACAAGTGCAAGAATACTAGGATGATTGTGTGTTTGATATGTGTGCGTGCGTGCGTGCGTGTGTCTGTATGTGTGTGTGTCTGCAGATGCTATTTTGCATATTAGACGTTGCTTATTGATATACTTGTTTTTAAAATATCTAACCGGTGCTCTAAACCTTTTATGCAATTAATAAGGCTCTATTTTCTTATTCTGTCCAGAGTGTAGCAGACACTACACTGATATAAATAACCATATTATTCTAATATCATGATTTACATTTCAGTTTAGTAAAAACAGTAACAAGCATGTGTATAGTTTTAATTATATAGTTTTCATAGAGTCTTGTGTATATTTAGTTCTCTAAATGAAGTTAACCTTTTACTTCTACTATCTTGAAAATCCCAAATTATTGAGAATGAACCTCAGGTCAGTGTGTACTGTACAGCAGGTGCAATAAAAAGCACATCTTGGGCTGGATGTTACATAACAAGTATAAAATGTGACAGAAGTATAGAAGCGTGTTTCAGTTTAATAAGCCAGAGAATAAAACAAACAAATTAAATATAGTATTTCAGACTTTGAGCAGGAAGGTCTTCTGACATTTCACTACATTTGCACCTAAAGATTAATTTAATTTCTGATTAATTCATTGATTATTTTTAAATTAAAGTGTGCATTGTAAGTTTTCATACTGCTTGTATTTTTTATTATTTCTGAGCAGACCTCTAAAACCAATAGATATTTAATTTACACTAATATAAGAGCAAGAAAAGCAGCAAATCCCTCAGATTTGAGAAATGGGCTCTAACAACCGTTTTTCATTATTGCTTGCTGAATTTGTTAGTTATCAAAAATTGTTGATTATCAAATTGTCAATCAATTTTCAGTTGATCAACTCATCAATCAGTCATTTCAGCACTATGTTTCAGATTTGTTGTCTGTACAATGAAGTGAAATTTAATGAACTGGTCACATATGATGCCACTAACAATTTCTGTGAAACACTAAAAACTGAAATCACTGTTTTTAATGTGATTTTCTGCACAAGTTCCACTGCTTCAGTGGGAAAGTCTCCTGCAGCCACACTTCCTTCATCCAAAGTGACCAGAAGCTGTACATTTCAGTGTCCAGCATTTATTGTCAATGAATAAATCTGTTAATAGTAAACATTTGAGATATTTTAGAGTTTAAATAAGAAAAATTGGCAGATTGTTTTTTTTTTCTCTTGCTAAATCAATTAGCACAATACATGCTGTACTAATACTGTACTGGTACAAAGATGTCACTGCCTCTCTTTCTTTAAAGATCAAGGTTTTATAAATGGAGTTGTGCATTTAATGTTTATCTTTTTATAATTTGAAAGCTACAAACACACACAGACTTTAATATTTCCCCCCTTTTTTTATTGATTTTCTTTTTCTCTAGTAATACCCGCTGTATTATCTTAAAATGGCTTTAAAGTATTTGCACTCTGACATAAAAGTTTACATTTTACAGTAGGGTATCCTCCTTAGGTTTATGCAAATATTCTCAAAAATTTGAGAGTATATTTGACAAATTAAACATTAATCCAAGAGTAGAACATTATCATGTGAGTGTCTCCTTCCTTGTGTCATTTGGATTAAATTACTGGGGAAACAACTTACTGGTTTTACAACTGTACAACAATTGTACTGAAATGTTTTGAATAATGTTTGTGTTTAGGAGTTTGTCTTTTAAAGCTTTTCATGTGAACAATTTATTGTCTTCCTCAACATCTTGCTAAGATTTCAGGGTGCATCGATTTGAATACTCTGTGTGGTTTAGTTGTGGATGACATTCATATGAGAGAAAATAAAAAAACTGCCACAATCTGAAGTTTAAGTTTTTTTTTCTTTCCATTTCCCATTTGAGTTAGGATGAAGGACACATTTTGGCAAACAAAATTCCTCTTTAGTTGTATGTTGTGTCTTTAAGATCAGTCTTCTTAGACCTAATATCACACCAGAGGGGGACCTAATCTGAAAGGCCCCCAAATGCCTCTTTGGCAAGCTCAGAAGCCACTGTAGTGCCACATGAGAGTAAAAATGAACTCTGACCCAACCCCTGTGCCTGACTCATTTTTGTCCAGTAGCCCCATGTCTTCTTCTTTATCTCCTCATCCTTCCCAACCTCCTCCTTCTCACAGCTGCTTTATTGCTTATTTTTGCTCCAGAGACCTTGTGTTCAGCAGATGTACACCCTCAGTCCCGATGTTCTTAAAGGCACCTGACTATTGCTCAAGGACAGACCTCAAAATTTGTGCACCTGTCCTTTAATGTCTACATGTAGTTCCTGCTTGTCGCCGGTAGATGATGATAAAGATTACACATTACTTACAGCCTTTTATAAATTAAACGGGGAAAGCCATTTGGTCCTCTTCCGGCTGCCGTCGCCGGTCCGGGTTGGGCCAGTGAACTATAGCAGTCCGTCCACTTTACAATTACCGTCAGCAAGCTATCTCTTTAGCAAGTCACAAAAATGGCGAACGTGGTGCTGGAGTTTAAGGCTTCTGCCGGTGACTCCGAGCCACAAAGTCGCCCTGTCCTGATTATCGGCCAGCAGGCCAACCTGCAGCAAGTCAGCTGGGGCCAAATCAAAGGAAAACTGCAGCCAGTCGTTAGCAAAGAGGTAACGTTGTGCACGATATTGATTGTTGGGTGACAGCTAATGTTAGCTTACGCTAACCCAAGTTTGTACAAGCTAACGAAGCTAGGTCAGCTAAATTAATTCAACGTTAACGGGACCTGAACACGAATAGCTAATCTTTACTAGCCACAGGTGTAGCTGTAACGCTATCTAAATAACTATGTTAAACAAGTAGCTGTAACACGAACAACTAATGTTTTTAAGGAGATGTTAACGGTCTTGTTAGAGATCAGTGAGACTGGTTTTTATTAGTCGGTGGAAAAGCTAATTATAACGCCAATAAGGTTAAATAAAACCACATTTTCTAAAGTGATGTTTTTAACTAATGCAAGATTTCTTCTAAAATCTTATTTCTTAACCAGCAGCAGTTAATTACTTTTTGCTGGTGAACAGTGAACGATTTTAAATTGGGTGACTATTGAGGTTAAAATGAAATGTTCATTTCCTTGCTTTGATAGTTGTTCACTTCCCCGGAAAACAACACAACTGTATGATCATGAGAGCACTGAGAGAAGGGTTGGAGGGTGAGATCATGTAGCAGGGTGCTCCTGATGACTGGTTAGAGCAGTGGCAGGTCCAGTGGTCAGACCCAGGCAAAAATACTCTGCTCTTGTGGTATCTATCCTAAGGAGCTGTAAGCAGTGAGTTGTCTGTCGTGCAAAGTGCTCAGAGGTGGTTGTGCAACAGTGGCAGCCAGCCTATAAACAGACTTGAGAGAGTAAGTCTGTGAGGTCAAGGAAAGGTTTCCAGTCATTTACAGAGCCTCTCACTATCCTCTGACAATGAGTAGCCAATATGATTATGACTCCACTGCTTACAGTGCTTTCATTTTTCCTGGGTCATAAAAGGAGTTCGCTATACCTAAGCTGATGATGCTGTCTGGAAACTTGGGTGACACCAGGAAGCCTCTAATCTTAAAACTCTTTGTCACATTTTCCGCTTGCAAATGGTTTCGGTCTGCCCACACACACATCTTAGCTGCTGATAACTTTTAGCCTCTGCAAAACTGTTGATTTTCTTGTCCTCAACAGCAGGAACACCATATTAAATCTTACATGGGATGGTATCTCCATTGTAGACACTGTCTGGGATGACAGGCAGTGAAGTAGCTTGAGGCTAGTCGTCCTTTCCTGCTTAACATTGGTTACTACAGAGTCTTGCACTACAGAAAGTCACATAGATTGGTGCATCAGATAATATACTTAGGCCCTGGTCAGACCTGGCATCAACATGTGTCTTGGCATCACAAGTGGATAGGTCTAAGTACGTTAGTTCACACCTGGCATTACAAGGCGTCTCCACATGAGTCTTCTAACCTCCACTCTATGTATGCAAATAGACACATTTATTATTTCTGTTTGCAAAGACCAAGTGCATTGTTGTTTTTAGCCAGTCCAATTGTGACAGACAGCTCTGTTGTCAATGTGTTTGTGAAAGACAGGGAGAAAGAGAGCAGGACTTATGAGGAGTTGAGCGAGTCTATGTGTGTAACTGTGCACATCTCTACAAGGAAATAAGGTTTTAGCCATTTGAAATGGTGAAAAAAAAATAATAATGAAAATCAACATGTGGAAGCCAATGTTGTGTTGAGTCACCACAAATAAATCAGTGTATGGGAAAGACTGAGAAGTGTAAAAATATTTTCATTCATTATGAAACTGGCAAAAGACCTCAGTTGGGTAGGGGGTCCTTCAATGTGGCCCAGGACACAATCGCATAGACACTGTTAAAAGAATGTGGCCATATGTGCCCAACACCACCTCTGAATGTGGAGTGATTGGATCTCTTTTGGATTTCACACCTGTACTTGGAGCTGTCCACTTGTGTTTGGATCACCTGAGATGCATGTTAATGCCAGGTGTAAGAAGGGCCTCAGCCTCTCCTCAGTTTTGTCTTATGTTTTCTCAGATCTGGCAGGCAGCTCTCAGTGCTTTGAACCCAAACCCCACGGACAGCTGCCCCCTGTACCTCAACCATGCTGCGGTGGCCGCGCTTCCATCACGGGTCAGCAGGCACAACAGCCCATCTTCTGCCCACTTCTTGTCCCGTCTGGTCCGTTCCTGCTTGCCCGGGGGGAACAACCGCTGCATTGTGGTTAGTATCTTCATTTGAATTTAATTTGTTCTGGCCTTTCATGTGATAGTTAATTGATCCCTTTGGGGGGAATTTTCTTTGCTTTTCTCACCTCCCTCAGGGAAGTCGGAGAGCACTTTTAGCCACAGATCAGTTCTTCTGCTTCACAGGGATACCGGGAGACTCCTTCTGGGTCTCCTGTGGCACTTAAATCTGGGTCATCCAGTTGAAGGAAGGCATATGTGACCAAGTGGCTAATATGACTGTTTCTTTCCTCTCCAGATGGTGTGTGAGCGTTCAGATGTGTTTGCATCCTCCTGTGCCATCTCTAGGGCCTTCCCCATCTTCTCTCGTCGCTCTACGTCCTTACGCAGGGCTGAGAAGAAGCACATCACTGTGGAGTTTGTGATCGTCGGGCAAGACAGCAGTTCTCTGGATGTCGCAGAACTTGAGGTACTATACTGTTTTTTTTCATTTTCTTTTAATTCTACACAGCATTTCAAATCATTTAAGCCCAACAGTCTGCCATAGCTGAAGGCTTTTCTTGTGTTCAGTGTCTCTCTAATGCTGCTCATGGAGTGCGGCTGGCAGCTCGCATTGTGGACACGCCATGCAATGAGATGAATACAGATCACTTCTTAGATGTAAGTCAAACAATTTATCTTTAGCAAATGTTGTTGACATTACAACAGGATCACAGTTCTAACAAATCTTGCTGTGGACCCCTATACAAACATTAATTTCTCTTTTAGGAGATCAAGGCTGTGGGAACTGAACTTGGAATTACTCCTGTCATTATTCGTGGAGAGGAATTGAAACAAAGAGGGTTTGGAGGTACCTTGTCTGTAGAACATACACAGCATATTTCATGGCTAGATATATTTACTTACTGCATGTTATACGAATGTTAAATCAAAAAAAAAATTCAGCAAATAAGAATATAATTATCATCAATAATGAATTTACTTTGCATTCATGCAGTCTGTAATCCCAATTTAGTGTAATTTTGTTTCACTTTGCATTGACATCTTTGTTCAGCTCTTTATAGATTGATAAGAATGTGTATCTGTTCTCATCTAAGAGACAATAAATTCTCATCTTGGTAATTGGTAGATAGGATTATCTATCTGTTTTCTTTCTCTTTACTTTTTGAGGTATCTATGGAGTTGGGAAGGCAGCAGAGAACCCTCCTGCATTAGCAGTCTTGAGCCACACACCAGATGGTGCGACCCAAACTATTGCATGGGTGGGCAAGGGCATTGTGTATGACACTGGTGGACTCAGCATCAAGGGAAAGGTATTCTTATTTTTCCTCTGGAGAAGTGAAAGTAACTGTTGTACATCATGAAAAAAAAAACAGTCTTTGTAATGTTAATTTCCCCAGAACATCACCAGAGTCTCGTTCAATTGTTTAAACATGAATGTCATTGTCTTGAGACTCTAAGAAAGCTGGATACTCTGAACTGCTGCTCGGTGCATAAGCACATACAACAGTCAGAGCCTTCCTCTCAGCAACTTGCAGTCGCATAGAATAGATCCTCTTGTTGTCCAGAGAGAACTCCATTGATTGACCGATTGCCTCGGACCACGCCCTTGTCTCCCATCTTACATAGCACTTGACTGCGCAGCGCATTTTGTCACTAAATCATGATGTACTAGGATTAATTTTACTAAACTGTAAAATGTATTTATCTGGATGGTAGCCTGCTCCAACTGTGATCTTGGTGACTGTAGAACTTGCATGTTCTGACGTCCCTTTACTGTTAGACTAAGCTTTAAGTTGATTCTCAATATTCCCTTCACATGTAGTTGCAGCTGCATGCACCAGTTTATGTAGTGTCATATGCAAAGGTAAGCTCTTATTCTACAGGTACAATGTTTACAAACCAGCCAGTGAAGCTTTTCTAATTATAAATCTATAGGCCGCTTGTCATGCACAAGTGCATGTAGAGGTGCAGCATTTGACCGAGATCAAATTAAGCCATCGCATGTTTCGTCACACATTAATGTGTCTTTTTGTAGACCACAATGCCAGGGATGAAGAGAGACTGCGGTGGAGCTGCAGCTATTTTAGGAGCTTTCAGAGCCACTATTAAACAGGTGAGGTGACCTTTTGGATTATCCCACAGCAGTTACCATAGCTGTTATTTTAACCTCTGTAATTCTGCAGCTTGAAATTTTTTTTTAATCATTTTCTCTCCCCTGTTTGCTTCAGGGCTTTAAGGATAACCTCCATGCAGTGTTTTGCCTCGCAGAGAACGCAGTTGGACCCACAGCCACACGACCTGATGATATCCACACTCTCTACTCTGGAAAGTAAGATTCAGCCTAATATATTGTATCATTCCCTTGGATTTTCATTCGATGGAGAAAGTGTCAAATTTTCTGATTTGAGTTGTATGCGTCTCATTGTTTTGTCTGTTCTGTCATGGTATAAACACACATAGTGTCATTTTACAAGCCAAATCAACAGGAATGAACATGGGGTGTATTATCTGTTATTTGTCTGTTTCATTCTAAAGGACAGTGGAGATCAACAACACTGATGCAGAGGGCAGGCTGGTGCTGGCTGATGGGGTGGTGTACGCCAGCAAAGACCTGTCAGCTGATATTATTCTGGATATGGCCACCCTGACAGGGGCACAGGTGGGTGACATCCTCTTAATGACTGTTGCTGAACCTTTTACAGGAGGTATGTTTTAAACCTCTATAACAAATCAGTAGAAAATAAACTTAATAGATAAACTTAGTGGATAATATTGAATGTCTTTATTTTCATCAACACTTCTCCTGAAGACACCAGAACCAACAGTGAACTTCGCCTTCAAATAGGTATTGTCTTGGTATGTAAAACCTTTTTGTTGTTTTTGTTGTCCAGGGGATCTCCACAGGGAAGCACCATGCAGCTGTGATGACTAACAGTGAGCAGTGGGAGGTCGCCTGTGTGCGTGCAGGCCGCAGCAGTGGAGATCTCGCTCACCCCCTGGTTTATTGCCCTGAGCTGCACTTCAGCGAGTTCACCTCTGCCATGGCTGACATGAAGAACTCTGTGGCGGTAAGTTACAAATTACAGATCCCTCAAAACCAGACGCTTAAACAAGAGAAAAGGCACAGATATCTGACATGAGAGAGTTTGAAAGACTGAATAAATATATTATATTATAAAGGTTTTGATAATACTGTCCCTGCATCTCCAGTATCTCTTGCACAGTATGCTTGGTTCATTGCACATCAGTACAGACTGGACCACATTACTGAGAGCTGTAGTAATGTAGTTACTAATCCCTTTTTTTTAGCTTTTGTTGATGCATCTTTTCTCCAGACAGGTTTGTCTAAATTGCTGTTTTGTCAAAACCTGGCACTTAGTTACCGGTTGTCAGCTAAGTAGTTCAAATAGAATATATTTTTCGGGGACTGATGTTATAATTTATTTCCTGACGTTTGTCATCCCTTTCTTGTGTTTCTACAGGATCGAGAGAACGCCCAGAGCTCCTGCGCCGGCCTCTTTATTGGTTCCCACTTGGGCTTTGACTGGCCTGGTGTCTGGGTCCATGTTGACATCGCCTCTCCTGTTCATGCTGTGAGTACTTAAGGTTTTGATGTGCATATAGATAGTTTGCACTCAGTTTGAGCTCTTGATTTTTGTCCTGTTGCAAATCAGGTGATAACAACAACTTCATGAAGTGGTTTCCTAATCATGACTTTAATTTACAAAGACGTGCACATAGACCTCTACAGGTTCACACAAATCCAACTTTTGATATAAAATCTTCAGCCACTGACTGACTATGGATAGAACATAGACCTTATAATTGTCCAAATTTTTTGGATTTGCATATGGATTTCCCCTATTGATATACAACTGCAGCTCTGAGAAATGTTCTGTTCTGTTTTATTTCAAAACAATTACTAGTGACTCAGTATCCTGAAAGAAAAGAGTCAGCAGAATGATTAAGGAAGTTGGCAACAACACCAGGATGAAGCTTAGCAGGCTCTCTTGGTTTAACTAAAAATTACATTAAAGGGACCTTTTAACTGAGTTTATAAAATGTTCTTGTGAGAGCACAGCTGAGATGAATGAGGTTGGGAGAATAGGACACAGTGTGTGGGGATAATACAAGAAGTTTACCTATTAAGCTCAACAAAAAACCCAAATCAGATTTTGATAGCTAAAGCATAAATTGTGCATTTACAATTGGAATAAAATGATGGTGCCGTATATTTTGGAAACAACTAAAAAATATGTATTCTCTGTTGCAGTCATGCATACAGTCCTATCATGATCTAGTAAAGACCAACAAACCTGATGATCAGATTGTTTGTGCTGTATATGGTGTCCATGTTGCACAGAGTCTAGTTGAGCCAGTCACATCTGTAGAAACACGGACTTTGAGCTTTGAGACGCTGTTCTCTGCTGGCAGCGAGAGTGCCCAGCAAGAGTGAACTGCTTTAAAAGGGAGCAAGATATCTGCAGCTACACCTGTGCATTATGTATTATTTCAATTCCAACACCTTTTTACAACTTCCCTGCTGGTGAGCCAGGATTGCACCAGCTCTTCATTTCAACAAATAATAAAAATCTGCTGATCTGTCCTGGTCTTGTGATTCAGCTCATAAAAAAACATCACTGTAGTTACATTTATCAAGATTATTGGGTTTTAAAAGGCACAAGGCATTAGGTTTCAGTCACATTACCGGGCAATGAAAGGTAATTACAGGGTAGCTTTACAGTAATGACACTGGATATTGTGATCTGACCCTTGTTTCTGTGTTTTATTTTGTCTGTGCAGGGGGAGCGTGCCACAGGGTTTGGCGTTGCCCTGCTAATGGCCCTGTTTGGTCAGGCATCAGATGACTCCATGCTGAACCAAGTGTCTCCTCTGGGTGCAGCCACCAACATGTCTGAAGACCAGATGGAGCGTGACTGCAAAAGACGAAGACTAGTGTAGAGCACACAGAACAGTCTACTCCCTGACTCTGGCTGCTCTGCTGTCACCACACACACCCAAACTGTTGAAGCAAGTGCTCATCCATTTAGAGATAAAACATTAAGCTGTGATTCAACTTCCTGTGTTTGATGAAATTTCACATGCTGAATAAATCAGATAATCATCAGTAATCCAGATGTGTTATATATGACGATGATAAAACACTGGCCCTCATTTGTCCTCATGACTTGGCACTTAATGCACTGATCACCTCCATATCATCTCAATTTTTCAGTTGCTCTTGACGAAAATGTGTTGATTATTATAAAATCTGAAAAAGCAGGTGGTTTATATCCATGACCAATTCATTCAGGTTTTCACAACTGGCCAATTGTGATTTTTTTTTTTCAGCAGTGATTCTTTGTAATTCATATTTTACATTTAAGGTTTTACCTCCTGAAACATTAACCTTGTTTTCAGATACCCACCTCATCAGCAGGCATTGTTATATGTTGATACTTTATGCAAATTGAAGATTACACCATACATGTTGTGTTAGATGTTGTGAGAAATACTGGATCTGAAACAGTAAAGCTAGATATTTCTTTTTCTTTTTTTTTTTTTGTAACCACTGCACTTTGTATTCATCCTGTGACGAGTTGGGCCATGTGATCTCTGGACCAAACGGAGGACTGAGTGCTGGCTGCAGTTTCACAATAGTGTCAAATTATTAATGACAAGCATTACCACATATGCTTTGTCAGCAAAAAATACACATACAAGAAGTCAACTGTAAGTATTTGACAGATTCCAGCACAAGTGTGATGTTTTTCCACCCTTTTGACAGTCATGTTCTCCTTCAATAAAGGCAGTGCCATCTGACCTCTGTGTTGATTTAAAATCCCCCAAAACTTTAAAAAAAAAAAAAAACAACAACATCCATTTGCTGGGTAAAAATCTCCTGAAAATAATACAGTAATATTGTGAGTTTTACTGCAGGCACATTGATGAGGACTATGGTGGCATCTAAAGACATCTAAATTTTAAGACTCAGATTCAGAATACTTAATCCCAGAGAAGGGCAATTCATTTCTACAACCTAATGGAGCCATATAAAGAATAAACAGAGTAAATAAATAAGTACATCAGCTGACATCAGCAATCAAACATCAACAACAACATGTCAGAGACAACACACGGACCAATGGGATGCTATAACGGAGACCAAGAAACCAAGACCACACTCCAGAGGCCCCATATGTGTGTAGGCTTCAATGAGTCAGGTGAAAAAAGAAATTTAGAAATGTACCAGCCAGGTTATGCATTCAGAGCATTTAGTAGAAAGAATACTTAAAGCATGGACAATCATGAACATGATTTCACTGTCAGCAAATTGAACTGCTGCTGCACTCTTAAAGCGTAGGTTCAGTTTTTCAAGTATTTCTTGAACCAGTAGTCGGGTATCCATGTGTACACTGAAACAGGATTTGCATGTTGTAATTATTCCTCCTGTTCATACTGTACATTAAGATTTCCCTACCTAATGCTCTTAAAGTGTAAGTGATGGGACACAAAGTCCACAGCCCTCTTTCTGTGCAGAAATGCATCCCATAGTGTATGTGAAGCTAACATGAGCCTTCAACAGTCAAGAGTTAATTGTTGTATCTCATATGTGCGTTCCTCAACATTTTAAACCTTAATCCCAAGTATTTTTTCACCCACTCGTGTATGGTTATTGTTCAGAAGTAGACTACACGTAACACCTTGTGACTTCCTATCGCGGGTGTTACGTATGATATGTTTTCATGGTCACATGACTGTAGTGTAGGTACCGGTTCCTCAACACGGAGTCTACAGACAGACACCAACGTAGAGGTCGTCTCTGCTGCTGTTAACAATCCCCAGACTCTCCTGTCTTCTCCCCGGTAAAAAGCCGCTTCGTGGAGCCGCCTGCTCGATGCTAGAGATGTCTCGGAGAGCTGCGGTTATTGTCTTGTTGTCGGCCGTGTTGTCCGGTGTGTCCGCGGGAGTGTTTTTCAACCAGAAGCAGCCCTGCTATATCCGCACACCGAGGAGAAACGACTTTGGAGTGAAGTGAGTAGAACAGATTTGTTTGCTCTTCAAAATGAGCTAGCTAAGAATTACGAAAAACTGAAAGTATCTTAACCATCTAGCTAACGTTAGCCCAGACAGCCGTTAGTTCTTATCAGAAACAGCAGCAGGCGGGGATAAACATGTGTGGTTAAACGTAACTCACTCAAAGAGTATGTCTTGATAATTGGCATATAAATATAGTTAACTTAAATGTAGGGGGAGAAAGTGGCTTGTTTTGGTTTAATCTCATTGTCTTTGTGTCATTTGCAGTAAAAAAAAAAAAAATACTGTTTAGACAGGTAGTTGTAGACTCATGTCCACCAAATTTTTATTTAATTTCACTTTCCACAAATCACGAGTGTTGGTTAATCACATGATGAGGAAGTTAACAGCACTGTAATTTTCCCTGAACGTGAGCTGTTGTTAACCCTGAAAGACTGACACGTTAAAGTCATACAGCTACAACACTGGCAGACAGGGCTGCAGCATGGGTTTTCCAAAAAATAACTTTATGTAAATTTGATATCTGGTCAGTTTTGTACAAATGCTATTTCTAAGCCCGCCTCAGATGTCCATGTACAATGTGCAGCTGTTGTGGAAAATACCAAATCCATTTCTTTAATGAATAAAATTTTTGTCAAGTTATGAGATATTGAGTATAGGACTGCAACTAACAATTATTTTCATTTTGGTGTTTTGATTAATCACTCAGTCAATGAGTTCAGAGCTGAATGTGACGTTTTCAAATGTCTTGTGTTTGACCACAAGTCCAAATATCCAAAAATCAGGGAATATTTGTCATTGTTTCACTAGTTTTGGTGGATGATGAAAATTATTTACTGATTATCAAAATAGTTGCAAAAAAAATTTTTTTCTGTTGGTTGACCAATCAATTAATCAACCTGTAGTTCAAAAAATGTCACACTCGGCCTTCAGTATCAGTATTTGTTTGCCCATGTGCTTCTGAGTATTTGCACATTGCAGTCTTGATTAGGAGAGTGAGTAGGTTTCACTGTTCCTGTAAAGATTTAAACACTTATATCTGGAATTTCTAAGATATATTTAAATAAAGGAAATGAAACAGAGGGGTAATGCAGCATGTTTATGGCTGCAACTAAGGCACTAATGTAATTCACACATTCAATTACATGATTAATCGTTTAGGCCTCAAAATGGCAGAAAATTGTACAAAATGGCCACGAGAGCCCAAGGCCATCTGCAAATTGCTTGTTTTGTCCAACTAACTGTCTAAAACCCAAAGAGATTCAGTTTACAATGATCTAAAATAGTAAAACAGTAAATTATCATATTGAGAACCTGGGACCTTGATGATGTTTTGCATTTTTTGTTGATGAATGATGTAAATGATTAACCGTACAGTGTTTTTTTTGTTACACTTGCCTTGTGTGTTATTGCTTGTGTTGCTGTTGCAGAACTAGATGTATCTAATGTCCTGTCTATTCACAGGACTACTGCTCGTCCTCATGAGTATTTAAACATTTCTGATTTGCCCAAGTCATGGGACTGGAGGAACATCAACGGCACAAACTATGTCAGCACGACCCGCAACCAGCACATTCCCCAGTACTGTGGCTCCTGCTGGGCCCATGGCAGCACCAGTGCAATGGCAGGTATGACTCACAATAAGTTTCCTACTGGGGACTTATAATATGCTAAATCATTGTTTTTCAATGGTGGTGTAGATCAGCTGGTCCGCACACAAAGTGTCAGATGTATTTTAATATAGATATAATAGTTCCACTTCCTCTTTACACAGAAGGAACTTGAGAGAAATTGGTCAGCCTGCTTTTTATATCTCATCTGTATTACAGTTCTGTATTTGTTCTCTCACCAGATCGCATCAACATTAAGCGCAAAGGAGCGTGGCCATCTGCCTATCTCTCTGTCCAGCATGTGATCGACTGTGGTGATGCTGGCAGTTGCCATGGAGGGGATCACACCGGGGTTTGGGATTACGCTAGCAAACACGGGATCCCAGATGAGACCTGCAACAACTACCAGGCAAAAGACCAAAGTGAGTGTCCTCCAGAGCACAAAGTAATGGTTACAATCACTTACAGAGTCTGAGTCTGAGCTGTGGATTCTCTTTGTCCCTCTCCAAAGAGTGCAAGCCCTTCAACGAATGTGGCACCTGCACCACCTTTGGAGTGTGCAATATTGTGAAGAACTACACCCTGTGGAAAGTGGGAGATTATGGAGCTGTCAGTGGGAGAGAGAAGATGATGGCAGAGATCTACGCTAGAGGACCCATCAGGTTTCGTTTTTGCTTTTTTTTTTCAGTCCATTGGGTTTGATTGTCATGCTTCATGTGTCCAGGCAAATTTTAATTATATAGCAGATTTTACTACACTCAATGTGGTTTACATTAAGATGTACTGTACATGCAAACATCTGCCCATCCAAACACAGCGAGGAACCCCTTATCCCACTCACAGACATAAACCACAAGTAGACACACACAGTTACTAATCATAAGTCTGAGAACATAGAAAGGTTTCAGTTTGAAAGTAGAAACAGTTGTGACAGATCTCAGGTCATCAAGAGGTTTGTCACAGAAGGACAAAGGGTAAAAAGTCTTTCACAACCATGCAGCTCCACAAAGGAGCGCAAATGGGGAAAAAAAAAAGGAATGAAAAGAATTCAGATGAATGCAACGATCAGACTGACTTAGACTCTTGTCTCTCCCCTTGACTGCAGAAAAAGACAGATGAACTATATGGGACATCACTTGTATGTTTCTGATAGGAATTCTTAAACACATGATGTGAGGTTTACACCTTGCCACCATTTTGCTCAGTGGCAGAAAAAAATGCAAAATTGGGCACCTAGAAGGATCTGAAATGGAGCAAGCAAGTAGCAACCACCCCAGCTAAATGTGGTAGTTAAAGAGACCTGTCAATCAAGGCAGCACACACCCAAACATACCCCTGCTTTATGCTGTAATGAGTTCCTTCTACATAGTCATTTTTTAGCAGTAATCTGGTCACTATCAAAATAAAGGTTGATGGTTTGATATTATAAACACACATTTTCTCCTGTCTCCTACATCCTTCAAAGGAAATCTCATTGTTAAAAGATTAGAATTAGAGGGTCCACATTCAGCTGCCCTTTACCCAGAGGGAAGATGTAATCTGTGACGTTTGTTTTCTCCAGCTGTGGGATTATGGCCACAGACAAACTGGATGCCTACACCGGAGGCCTCTACTCTGAATATCACGAGGAACCTTTCATCAACCACATCGTGTCAGTGGCAGGATGGGGAGTGGAGGATGGCGTTGAATACTGGGTTGTGCGTAACTCCTGGGGAGAGCCATGGGTGAGTCCTCATCAAAGAGAAAATTTCACACGGTCAAAGTAGGAATGGTTGTTTTCTAAAAGATGACTTGCAGCAGATTTGAATACAGGTTATCTTCCTTGTTTACAAGAATATGTCACTTAAAGCCCCTGACAACCCCTGTTAAGGTAAAGGAAAACCATCCTGACTATCCTAAGGTTTTATTTATTAAATGTCTGACATTGCCAAACAAGATTTGAATCACAGTGGCATCTTCCTGGCAACCTAAGCAAACAGCCTCTGTCATAAGATTAAAATATTGCCAAATTCTGGGACTTTAAATGACTTCAAACCAGAAAGCAGATGTAACAACACAGTCAGAAATATCTCCCCTGAGATAACCTAAACTGTTGCAGGTCTGTATAATAAACTGACATGTATTTCAGTTAATAAATTAGTTTTACTGATTAATTTGTCAATTTTTTTTAGAATCTACTGTGAAACGCTTTAACTGCAGCTGAATTTATAATTTATTGTATAAACGTGTCCCAAATTGGGGCTGCAATGAATGACTATTTTCAGTATTAATTAATCTGATAATTTCTTATGACCAAGGTGGCTGTTTGGCATTTTGGCTGGGAGATTATTACAATACTTAATTGATTATCAGAAAAGTTTCTGATTTATTTATCCTCTCTCTTTAGGGTGAGAAGGGATGGCTCAGGATTGTGACCAGTGCCTACAAGGGAGGAAGTGGCAGCACATACAACCTGGCGTTGGAGGAGGACTGCATGTACGGTGACCCAATTGTCCCTAAAGCCTACCTCTAGAGGAGACCAGCACTCACAGTGTCAGAGGTCGTCACTGCACACGCTCATAATGTCTTCCTGTCTTGGGCAGAGGGAAAGTTTTTATATGTAAAAGCTTGAAAAGGGAAGTTCAGAGTTTTCTTTATAGAGATCTTATCTGCGATTATTTTTTACACTTGTAATCAGGGGTCAGATTTCACTTCCAACATCTTCCAGTTGGATATTAGACCTGCTCGAATTAATACAGATTTTCTGTTTTTATCACAGTGGGATCTACAGGCTTTTAACAGTCTGACACTTTTAAATTAAGTTGGAGTGAAACACATCAGTGCAACTAAATTCTGTGCTAGAGGAAAATTTAGCCACTGCATGCTGAACAGCTACAATGGGATAAATACATTCAGTTTACATCATCAAAAAGACATACATACAGAAGGTTTTCAGTTTTAATCGTCAAATGCAAACTGACTCAGCCAAAGAACAGAGTGTTTATAATTTGTCTTGCACTGCACCAACACTGAATGTTTTCAGCGTCTGGTGTTAATGTATTGACAAGATTGCACTACAACCTGATGCAGGGTTTGTACACAAAAACTGAAAAAAAAAAAAATCAACTTGAAGTGTGCCTTATGTGTGTTTGCGTCAAGATTTATGTAATTTTCTGTTTGTTTTCAAGCTGAACAATCAACAGATCTGATATTTTCAAAAAACTGATATCTTGTGTTTCAAACTATGCCAATAAACGCAACACTTAAAAAGTGATTCTCAACACAAAAGCTGTCCTTTGAGTATCAGTTACTCTCCGTCTGCCGGGCTGAAATGTGGTTGTAAAAAGCTCAGTTCACGTTATTATACAGTTTCTTAGAGAGTCGGGCCAGTTCTGCAGCACAGTTTATCAACCGAATATGCTCAGTACAGGCTGAAAGCCTGGCTTTTATTTTATATAGTTTCTTAATATGAGTCATAAAAATGTGACCAAAAGAGTGACGTTTTATGATCATGATTGCATTAAATTAAAAAAAATGCACTAAAGAATACATATTCAGGTTTTTATTTTAAAACATCTTGAACCAACATAAAAATAGAAAATCAAATGTACAGGTGAAAAAGAAAAATATTTTGCCGCATCTTCGGACAGCTTCCTCTGAAATATTACTATACTTCCATCGTTCTACCAGCTCAGTGACATTTGCCTTTTTGTTGTCTCAAGAAATACTAATCCTCATTCACTTGGTCAAACCGACACATCCATCTTGTGTCCAAGCGATGTGTTTCAACGTCAAGCAGAGCATTTGGTTATCATTGAGACCACAGATCCTCTGTCCCTGTGAGGTCTTCTTGGTACATTCTCCAACAAGAATGTTTTCAGTGTCATTTTCCACATCAGTTAATCATGATGAAGTTTGACTTGCAATGAGCTGAAAAAACAAAAAACAAGGAAATAATAACCACATGTTGCTTCAAGAGGATGAGAAGAAGTTTTTCCTGTGATCATGTGTGAAAACCACTTCCTGTTTGCAAAGCTCTGATGTTGTTGTGCATGGAATTAATGAATTAGAGTATTTTTAAGTATTATTCTGTCTTTGAATAAGTAGCATGACTGTGCTGTCACAAAATGTTAGCATATTGCTTACCAATGAACTCAGCAACAGGATCGTGTTCTCCCTCTGTGCGGATCGTCCCTGCGATGCTGTCGTTCTCCAGGATGGGCAGGAAGAGCTGAACAAAGTCTGATGTGTAGGGAGGTGCGATCACATCCAGCACCTTTTTAAAGAGAAATAATGGAGTTAATTAGTTTGTTCTAAAGGTGTGTTTTAAAACACAAGTTATGTATATTTTCTGATGGGTGTTTTTGTAAGCAATATGTAAATGCAGCGGTAAAACAGGCCTGTTTTCAATTATGATCAATTGACAAATGCTGATTGGTCAACACTAAGACAAAACTCACAACCATTTATCATATTTACCCTGATAAGCAATTAAATAATTTTATTAAATACACCCTGTGCACAAGACTCACCATTCTCACGGTGGCAATCTCAGGCTACTCAGGCTATTACTTTGATGCGCTCAACAGCACATCATGGATTATGGATCTGACTAACATTTAAGATACTCAATTGTTAACCCTTTCCAGGCATCTCTTTTACCAAAAAAATAAACCAAATAAAAAATAGGTTCAGCTCACAACTATTTCAAAATAAGATTACTGACTGATATTAGGTTGGTTAGAGATTCAGTGTTGACAAAGTTTCGATTACTTGCCGAGCTCTACTCAAAAATATTCTTCAGACTTGTCAAACTTAATTTAGTATATAAAACAATATATTCAACTTCACTCAAGACCATTTTATGTCCTTGAATGTGTAAATTAGTTTGAGACTTTCAGAATCTGTAGACACCCAGTAACTTCTGCGATGGAGGAAAATATTTAAACCAGAAGTCACTTCTTTTCCCACGTTTTACCTCTTTAACATTTATGGAGATCAGAAGCTGCTGTTACCTCAGTGACAAAGTATCTGATGAGGGAAATATCCGTGTTGAGTTTCTCCAGACACTTTCGAATATAACCAACTACAGGCAGGACGTAGCCACGACTAAGCAGGTGAACCATTCGGTCCAGCAGCGTCTTCTTCAACTCCAGCTGAGGGGGAAGTAAAATCAACATGTCAGCTGAGAGGTCTCACAGTCACAACATACAGACTTCTGTTGAAAAGAGAAATGAGAATCCTTCATTTAACCCAGAAAAACACACACCTGCTCCATGACGTCCAGCTGAGAGTGCTCCGTCTCAAACAGTTTGATGAGCAGCTGGAGGACCTGTGGATGCAGCAGCTGGTGACACGTACAGATCTGTGCAGAGGGAGAGTTTGCTTTTAAGTTGAACTTCTGTCTTTAAAGACTGAAAATGAACCTTTCATCTGGTAGTAACCTCCTACCTCATCCAGCAGAGCTAAATGTACTGGAGTGTGGTCTGTCTGGAGCTGAAAGTACCGCGGCTCAGACACTGTCCAGTCCACCCACTTTAAAACCCCCATGGCAACTACTGGAAACCTGAACACCAACAGACATGAAGTCAAAGGGGTAGTTAGTGGAGAGTCAATGAAAATCATTTTATATCAAAATAAAGGGTTTATTTATACATTTACTTCATCATTTTCAACAGTTTTTTACTCCAGTATTGTAAAACTGTTTGTTAACACAAGTTGATAATATGGCAATGTTATGTTTACAGCTTTTTCCATTGCCCCCAGGTGGCTGAAAATAATCAATAAATACACCTTAAATAACTTGCACAACAATTTGCACTAATTGAATGAGCATTATTTACATTTTACTGTTTTACACATTCATTCGTTAACTATATTTAGGAGTTAGCAGGTTTTGTGACAATGACATTTTGCTTGTCCACTCACCGGATGCACTGGTACAAAGTGCCGAGTTCAGCCACCAGCTCTGTAGCTCCTTTGTTCTCATTGCAGCACAGGTTGTGCACAGTTTCTATGGCCTTAGAAGTTGACTTCAGCTCGTCTTTATTGATGTTGACTCGCTTGTTCTGGGATTGAATAGGTGTCACATGTTAAAAAGAGAGTTCAAGAAGCAGGTGTGGAATGAGCAAACTTAAAGAAACAAATGAGCATATACAGTGGTCAGAAGTCAGAAGTTTACGTACATCTCAGTCAAATACATTTAAACTCAGTTTTGCACAATTCATGACTTTTAACAGGTACACCTCCAGTTAACTCAGATTATGTCGATTAGCCAATCAGATGCTTCTAAAGCCATGACATAATTTTCTGGAATTCTCCAAACTGTTTAAAGGCAGTCAACTAAGTGTATATAAACTTCTGACCCACTGGAATTGTGATACAGTGAATTAAAAGCCAAATAATCTGTTTTGAAACAATTGCTGGAAAAATTACTTGTGCCATGCACAATATAGATGCCCTTACTGACTTGCCAAAACTATAGTTTTCTAACATGAAATCTGTGGAGTGGTTAAGAAATGGGTTTTAATGACTTCAATCTAAGTGTATGTAAACTTCAAGAAATAAACAACTTACTATTGATCAAAAGCAGGTGACAACTGCGTGTTATACCTCGCCTGGAATTTAGTTCAACTACCATACAACTACTGAAAACAGGTTTGCACATATGTGACTTTCTTTTTGCTAACAGCAACACATTTGCATTTTTATATCAGAACATTTCAAACAGTAGTAAACTGTTCTCTGTACCTTTTTCCAGGTCTCGACCACACTGGCAGCGTAAGCCAGGATATGGATGTATTTATGTTTGTGGTCTTGGTTGATCTTTGATCCAGGCTTAAACAGCGACTGCATAAACAGGTCCAGAAAGGCAGGCACCCTGATCTAAAGATGAGAACAGTAAATATTTCATTCATCAGCACTTTAACAAGCACGTAGTGGACATAAACAAAGACGTTCTGTCCTCACCAGCTCCACAGGAGGAGGGTCCATACTGCTGAACATCTTGAACAGAACTGTGATATCTGCAGGATTCAGGGCTCCTTTCGACAACATGGCACCCAGCGCCTGGCAGGCTCGAGGGTAGGCTGCTGCTGTACCGAGTGCGAGGGTTATCTGACTGGCATCATGACCTCTGAAACATAAACCGCAACCACATAACGCCAACAGTGAAATTTGGTATTTGTTACACACACACATAAACACAACAAGGCAGTGTCCTGGGGCTTGTTGCAGGAGGCCGATTTGCTGGTTATCTGGATAAGTTTGCAGAGTAAAACCTCAATCACTCCATGTTCTAGTTTTGAATGGATTCCTTGTTTTATTCAGCATCCTCATCTACATAACCTCATTTTACAATTAATTGTATCCACTTGATCAATTATACTCTGTGAAACTACTGAGAACAGACCATGTCAAACTTGTAGATTCCTTCTGAAGGAGACAACTGTACCTCTCGTGTGCAGACTTCTGCACCTCCTGGCCGATCCTACGAACAGCTGAACCGCCTTGTTCCTCCTGAGCCAGGATGGACATCATCGCCTGGGCGAAGAGGTAGGTGTGCTCGCCGTGACATACCATCTTCTACAGGAGAGAGGAGGAAACCACTCAGCAGAGATCATCAAACACGGGAACAGGAAACCAAAAACAGCACTACAATCACACTTTAAAGATGTCAATCTCATATTTAAAAAAAAAACTACAAAAAACTGCAAGATACTAAGGTACAATATAAAGGCTCTGATATTTGAAAAGATCAAACCAGATTTTACAAAAACTAACCAAATTCATAATGAAAAGGGCCTTAAAATAATAACTGGTAAAGCTTATGTTTCATAGAATCATGGTTTACAGAGAGTAAGTGTAAGTTAGCCTCACAGCAAATTCTGGCAGGTTCTTCTCCAGGTTTTCCTCTCCTCCATCCAGCAGCGTGGCCAAAGACGTCCTCAGTACTCGAGAGAAAACCTCCAGCTGCTGACACGCTGTAGACACACTGGTGATCTCACCCTGATAACCAGCATCTGAAATGAGCTGAACACAAACAGAGGACACGTGTGACTAAATGAACTGCTGCAAAGCAAACAACTGTTCAAGTTCAGAAAACTTAAACAACATGGCAAAGACAGATTTTTTTCATCAGTCACATCTGCACTATAGTATAATGTGAAGATAAATGACTTTTTATCCCCAAATTTACAAAAAGTACAGTATGTTTCATGTTTAGCTGTAACTATTAAACTGATTATTTTCTATTATTATCAGTTCATCGATCCATTTGTTCACAATGTTTAGGTTATAGAAAAAAATAATGCCCAAGTATCAAAGTGGACTTCAAATTGCTACTTTTTCTGAGCATCAGCTAAAACATCCCAAAAACTTTTAACGTAAAATTAAATCAAACACAAAAAACACCGCCATCCTCACATTCAAAAAGCTAGAACTAGCAACACAAACATGTTTTTTTTGTGTAAGTATACCTTTACAGTGAAGTTGAGCATCAGGCAGTCTGGGTGAGCCTCTGCCAGCTTGTAGAAGAGATCTCTCCACGTAGTGTGAGCTATCATCTGCTCGAGCCAGGCAGGAGTCTAAAAACACAGCAGACCCTATTTGTTTCATGTCTGAATACCTTCTCTACTTGTCACGCAGACGATTTAACAATATAGCTGGTCCATGAGAACTTCAGTTATATGTAACTTTTATGACTAAGCCTTTTCACAGGATCCTCAGGATTTGAAGGAAAGTGTTTGAGTGTTCAGAAATCTCACCTCTCCTTCAACAGTGAAAATAGAATCAGCTTTCTGGGGGTCAAAGTGCTTTATCAGGAGACTCTTGAGGTGATTTTCTACTCGCTCTTGGACCTGAGCAGGCTCTACACCTGCAGTCAAAATAAAGAAATGACGGATTAATAAAAGGTCATCAATAAAGCTGCATGGTAACAGGTGGAGATGGGGAATGTTTTTTCTAGCAGAGCAATGGTGACTCGAAGCCCCGAAAACGTGATTACAAATCTTGTAGTCTGTCACATACCCATCTGGATGAGCCACTCTGCCAGCAGGTTAACAGTCTGAGCCACAGCAGAGTAGTTTTCAGAGAGAAGCTGGATGACATGTTCTGGAGATCCACCTGCTTGGAAATACCTGTGAGAGAAAAAAAATATGGTTTCAATTATTGTAGTAGATTAGTAGGTTGGTTCAAGTGTCCTCTTTTATTGGTCAAGTTACCAACCTCATTTTCTTGTTCTCACCCCAAATTACGCAGGTGTTATGGAGTGTGAATATTATTTTTATATGAGGAGACAGGTGCTTACGTTTTGAGGGTGTTGAAGATTGCAGGCTCCATGATGTAGTCCCTGCTGGAGAATTTCTGCAGACAATCTTCCTGGGTTTTCCCGTCATTTTCTCCTTCAACATAACCATCCTCCTGAAAGATACATAAGTTTATGCTTCAGTAATATTATCTCTGCTCTGAATACAGTGAAATGTACATAGTGGAGTCAACTTTTAGATGACTGAGGAGAACTGAGAGGTGCCATAGAACAAACACCATGAACAATATTTTCATGAAACGATCAGATATATTATCAGACTGTGACATATCTATTTCATGCAGCAGTTGCACAACTTACTGACCATCACCATATTTAAAGCACATCATCATTTAGTTGGTTTATTATTATGTCTCTCAAATGCCAGAAAATAGCGGGGAAAAGCCCCGTGACAATTTCCAACATGGTGACTTTTTCATTCATCTAGTTTTGCCCGAGTAAAAGGTCCAAAACCCAAAGATATTCAGTTTACAATGCTATAAAAACAGAAAAGCAGATAATCCTCTCATCTCATCCTCTCATGGATGTCAGTTAATTTTCTGTCAATTGGCGAATCGTTAAATATCCTAATCCCTGCAGCTCTGTCCAAATGCGCTCTGTTCTTTAGTTCAATAACTCAGTAAAATGTCTACAACAAATTGACTTCACATAAGTGTATTTCTGTGAGGTCCTATGTATGTGTATGTGACTACTGCTGGATTTTCACTGTCCTTACAAACTATTTGACAAACCAGTGTCTATAAGTGTAATAAACACAGCTGGAAGTAATTTGGCTGATTGGTTTACCGACAGTCTTCTATAATTAAAGGTTACACACCAAAAATAAACATGCAGAGACAGAGGTAAAACAAAAGGTTTATTGGCAATTGCAGATAAGTAAGCAGGATAACGGTTAGCATGTCGACCAGCTGTGTCGTTAGTTAGCCTGTAGCCGGCTAACCGAGTCGCCAAGCTGCTCTGAGTTATAATCATACAGGGCATCCGAATACTACAGCTGTGTGGACACACCTGTCTCTGCACATTAATTCTGTGTTGTCTTAACGGTATTGTACAAGTATCACAACGAATCAGCAGCTGGTGGGACTGCAGCTAAGCTAACGCTGCCCTAGCTAACAGCAACAAGTCCTCTTCTCACCGTGTTGCCATCCGTGCCTTCCCAGTCTCCTCCGCCGCTGTAATACTCCTCGTCCATAATGACGGGAAAGAAGTGACTTTTAATTGGCTGCAATAACCAAGATGTGAGTTTAAAATCTTAACGTGACTTGCGAGTGTTTGTCTCACGTGGATGATACTGGGGGACGCTAACCTGTTTAGCTAGTAAGCTAACAACAACAGTAGGAAAATTATTATTCGAAAATGGCGAGACAGTGATCGACATGCCACGCCCCCTAAAAGATAGGAGTATTATCCCCTGAGTTCAGGCTGTCAGGTTCTGTTGTCTTAAACACAGCAACAACCTGACCCAACATTAGAAAAGTCCTCTTAGCTATGTTATTTATTTTCTGTTTGTATATTTTTTGCCTTTTCAATTTGTACTGATCTTACCTCATTACACTGTGCCCTGTTTGTTTTTTTAAAGAGGTTTGCACTAATGTATCACTTGCCATATTGTTGTACATTTTCTATTTCAATAAAGAGGGGAAAAAGCTGAACACTGAAGCTGAACATTCAGAATGTGAGGTCATGGTTTTAAGCTTCCTGATCATCAGATCGACATCAAACTGAGCAGGTGTACTGCTGAGGACCCAAGGATGTGCAGTGTCGACTGTCAAGTTTTTTGGGTGAGTAGCTCTCAAGAAAATCGACAGAGAGATATTTTAATTATATTATATTTTAAACTACACTTGCTGTTACCATGGTAACCATGGTTTCTTTTGACCTCAGATCCCTTCGATGATGAACGAAGAATTTTTCTACGTGCAACTTGGACACAGATGATGATGTCACATAAAATGTGACCAATTGCAGTCAGTTTAATTGGTAACATTTAACTTTTAGAAGTGGGAGCAAACTGTGGCTGTGCTCAGAAAGGGAAGAAAAATCGCAAGAAAGAAAAATATGCGGTTATGCCTGGTAAAGAAAGTGTATACTTCGTAGAGAGGTACCTGGAGCATGGGGCTTCTGGAAAAGTGGTCCAGTGCACAAGATTAGCCACCAAGGAGAAGCTAGCTGTGAAGATTGTGAGGAAGGAAATAAGCAGTTTGGTGAAATAGAGGTGGCCATAATCAAGAAACTCAGGAAGCTTGACCAAGACAAGAACAACTTGGTCAGGTTTGCCGAGCATTTTGAGTATAAAGGACATGTTTGTCTGGCATTTGAAATGCTGGACATAAATATCTATGATTTCATCAGAAGCAGAGACTTCCAGCCACTGCATCTGTCTGAGATTCGAGTAATCACACAACAAATGCTGGTGGCTCTGAACGCCCTCAAGAGCGTAGGTCTGTCACATGCAGATGTCAAGCCAGACAACATAATGTTGGTTAATCATCAGCAGCCCTTCAGGGTGAAACTCATTGGCTACAGGGCCCCTGAAGTTATGCTGGGCTTTCCACTTGATGAGGCTGTAGATATGTGGTCTCTTGGCTGCGTTTTGGCCTTCATGTACCTTGGCCAGAACCTGTATCCAATAAGGTGTGCATATCAGGTAATGAGAGCCATCGTGCAGATGCAGGGTCTGCCTGATGATCACTTGCTGAAGTCTGGAATCTATTCCAGCTGCTTTTTCAGCAAAGACAAAGACTCCTCTAACCCTTCATGGAGGCTGAATACAGAGGCTGAATACATGCTCCTAACAGGCTCCAAGACCAGGCGGTATAGAGGCATTTTTGACGAGTTAACCAGTCTAAATGACGTGACAAAGACTCGCCCAGAGGTGAACGATACCACAGAGTCTGAGGACACACAGGCCTTTTTAAGCCTCCTCAAACGAATGCTGCAGGTAGATCCTCAAAAAAGAATCACCCTCAGTGAAGCTCTGGGGCACCGTTTTATTACCATGAAACATTTTCCTCATGATGCAAACCCCAACCCTCTCATGTCAGCAGCCTTTTCGACGATAACAAAATGCCAACTGGAGGAATCATCAGTTAAATTCAAGCACTCTGTAACATCCAGTGAAGTTGTAAGTTTTAAAGGAGAATCCATTTTTAGTTCGGATGACTCACTTTCATCTATCTGATGAAGAAACTGCTTCTTGCCCGAGTGATGAACGACCACCCACACGTAGCTTAGATGAAGCCAAAACCACAAATGATGGAACCCCAGCCACAGCTGACAGGACCGCTAGAGACAACAACAAGAGACCACTGGAGAAAGCTGGCTTAGATGACGCCACTGCTGCTGAGACCAATCAGAAACCACTTCACTTGAATGAGGCAACTTCACCTGCCGCTGATCTCCATGATTCTGCTGGGGACAGCAGGAGCACCGATGAAAGAACCAAAGGATTTGCCAAAACAAAGAATGCAATGCTTGCTCTTGATGGGAATTGTTGGGTTCTTTTTGTTTTGACTTTAACAAATCCTTTGGTTCTTTCTTCGGTGCTCCTGCTGTCCCCAGCAGAATCATGACGACATGACAGCTACATGAGCACCCAGGCTGCCCCCCACCCCTGCGCACATGTGCACGCTCTCTCTCTCTCTCTCTCTCTCTCTCTCAACCCAACCGGTTGAGGAATATGGCCGCCCACCCTGAGTCCGGTTCTGCTCGAGGTTTCTGCCTTTTCAAAGGAAGTCTTTCTTGCCACTGTCACCTAATGCTTGCTCTTGGTGGGAATTGTTGGGACTCTGTAAATAATATAGAGAGGTCTAGACCTGCTCGACCGGCACTATACAAATAAAAATTGACTTGACTTGACCAAAGCTAAGACTGTGTATCTTGTGACCCTGAGGGGCACCAGTGTTATGACCGTTCACATCCTCAGCGGGAACTCGGTCCATCATATCTATATGACCTTGGTTGCTTATGGCAACTGCTATTGGGGACTGGGCTCGAGTCCATCAAGTGTCTTCACAGCTATATTTGAAATAGATCACAACTATTGCTTTTAGGGCTTACTTCTAAGTGACCCGTGGGAACACTGCCACATACCACCTGAAGACTTCAAGATGGAAAAATTCCTTCACAGATAACAGTTGCTTTAATTTTCAGCGAAGACTGAAATGAGACTTTTATGAGCAGCTACAATACGACTACAGATTTCAGACTACAAAAGATGAATTTGACCTGTATGGCCTTCACTTCCAAGGGGATTGACGAGTCCAGGCACATGGGAACAAACATTTTTATTTTATAATGCAAACTGCAACATATGAATTATATTATTTACCCAAAGGAGCAGAAAAAGGTCATATACCCGTGGCAAATAAATCACACAGTCTGTGTTAAATCTAAGTCCAACACAATATTTTCATCCTAAACCATAAAGGGAAAATCCACCCTAAAACAAAATGTACATTCCTTTGATGTCGGACAGTTCATTCTTACTTTGTGAACATCATCAAGTCTCACCCAGCGCCAAGAACTACAGATCCAGGGCTAATTTTTTTCCTCCATTGACAGCGCAAAAAAGGAAACCTGACTTCATATCAAAGTCAGTGATTTTTCAAGGGATATGGGCAAATATTCAGGTGCAAACTTCTGAACATTTTGGATCAACAAGCTCAGACATACAGTCATTGCCTCTCTTGTTTCTGATTCGAGTTGTTCACAAATTTTAACTGAACTGTGTAATATCATAGGATTAATAAAGTGAATTCTTCAGAGTTTTAGCTTCATGCCTGCTTCAGGCATCCTATCAAAGAATGTCTAAGCACAAATATAGTTCAGGTGAAAAGTGAACTTCAATTAATCAGTTCAGTTATTGCTTAGATAAATAATAATTACTCTACAAGAGAAAGATAAGTTTCACATTGTTCAGATGCATGTAAAAAAAAAAACTGTTCTAAAATGTAATGTCAAATTGACTTTTTTTTGGTTGAAAAATCCCTGCGCTGTTGGTTCTTGAAACATTTTGCCATTTTGTACATCTGCATCAAGTCTTGGAAAGTTTCAGAAAGGATTAGTTGATTGGCTTAAAAAATGAGCCACGTGACGAAAACAGTGACAGAAGTCTTTTGTAACTCTGGGAAAAAAGTAAATAGCACCATGTTCACTAAGGGCAAGCCAGAAGGTAAAGGGGGGTGAAGCCGCAGGGCACACAGAGTTCAGGTGTGCACTTAAGTGCTGCAGCTTGCAACAAAACTGCTGATCCTTCAAAGTCACTTTTTGGTCTTCATTCTCCTTTTTTGTAATCTGGCTGTGTGCAGCTTATGCAGATATAGTCCTCCTTCTCTGCTCGCTCAGCAGACAGTCCGACACAGATTTGGTGAAACCACTGGTTGCAGCTGCCGTCACACTGGACCCAGTTTACCTGAAAAGTGGAACATTTTGTTGTTTAAATGTGTTCATCTCTCTCATAGCACTACCTCTTTGTGTGATGCAAATACTGCATGTATTGTATATAATGAAATGATATAAAACTAACCTCGTCACCCTCTGGCTCCCTACACCATGGTGCAGCACACAGTGAGTAGTCCTCCTCTGAATCTGATGGAGCAGGGTCAGATACTGTGTGTGTGGGAGAACTAGTCCTCTTGGTTTCTTCACTCCTCTCTTTGCTTTTCTTGGACTTCTTCTTACGGCACTTCTTGGCGTTGTCACTGTGCTGAGAGTCGGAGCTTTCCTTCCGTCGCTTGGTCCTTTTGCTCTGACCGTTCACTGCCTCCTTTTTGAAACCGGAGACTCCATTCTGCATTAAGACATAAACATTATAACAAATATACCAAAAAGTAGTGAATAAATAGCAAGAGTGATTGAGAACATGATCCCCAAGTAATTAACTTAATCATTACCTTGTTATGGTGTGGGCTCCCCCTCTGAGACTGTTGGTCCTGTTCTGTGTTGTTCCCGCAGGGGGCGCTATGTGAGGGCAAGGGGGCCAGTTTGTACAGCAGGTATCTGTACAGTTGCTCGGTCTCAGGCAGAGTGACCTGCAGTAGGAATCCCTCCACCATCAGTTCATCCAGCTCAGGACCAAGTCCTGTGACAAATATGACGGAGGTCAGAGGGTAAAATAAACAGAATGAATGCAAAGTAATGTGTAGATGCAAAGTGGAAAAAGCTTTTAACACTGACCCTGGAGTGGAACAGACTGGTGCTCTGTATAAAAAGATGAACCATTTATTTCCTGAGTCAGATGTGATGATATTCTGGGTCCAGCTCTCCCCTGAAACAATAAAGAACAATCAACTGTGTCTACAGGGCCATCCAACTAATGTCACTCATAACACA